CCTGCCGTCCTTGTGAGGACCGGGGCCCTGTGTGGCTCGGAGCCGAGACTGAGGGACCCGTAGTCCGACGCCCGTGTGGGTCGGGACGGTGGTACCCAGAGCCGAGACGGGCACCCCCGGCTGGGTGTGTCCCGGAAGGCTACGGGGCGTAAGAGCCCGTGTCAGAATAGCTGAGTGGGTGTTTGTCACCCGTGTAGCTGAGTGGGTGTTAGTCACCCGTGTAGCTGAGTGGGTGTGAGTCACCCGAGTAGCTAAGTGGGTGTCAGTCACCCGTGCAACGAAGTGGGTGTTAGTCACCCGTGTAGCTGAGTGGGTGTGAGTCACCCGAGTAGCTAAGTGGGTGTCAGTCACCCGTGCGAGGAAGTGGGTGTTAGTCACCCGTGTAGCTGAGTGGGTGTGAGTCACCCGAGTAGCTAAGTGGGTGTCAGTCACCCGTGCAACGAAGTGGGTGTTAGTCATCCGTGTAACTACAAGTTGGTGAAAATAAAGAGTGTGCTACCCGTGAAGACGTCTCCCGCCAAGTTACTACTTTACATATCCACTGCTTGATGAAGTCCTCCCTCATGGCAATAACTCGCTTTGCTTTGGGATGCTCCAATCCATCGCGCCCCTGTGCGTGAATTGTTCTCGTCGCTCCGTTGCCACCGTGGTCGTGACTTTTGGGCGTGTTTTTTCTCCTTTTCTTTGGCCGCTATTCAATCGGCAGCCTCGTTGATCGGCGGTCATCCCCCTCCCAGTGACGTCCTCCTCAAGCCCGCTGACTCGACGGTCAATATGACGTCTCTGATTTATGCTTGTTCTCTGATCCACATGCTCATCTTCCTGTCTCTAAAAAATGAAATTCGTAGCATTCGTATCTTTTGAAAATTATTTTTATTTGTCCGGATATAGAATGAGCCATTCACGTACCCGAGTTCTGCTACTAACAAATTGGATTGACTCAGATTAAATTGGCAGTCACAGAAAACATGCGCCGCTTTCACTTCCTGCTCTTATCCAATCGGCATAAAATGTCCGATTGGAAGCGAAATACGGGAGCCACCGTGCACGCGCCCCGCTCATTCATCCACCCGTCTCTGCGCTTTGCCGAAAAAGCACCGAGGCTCCCAATCGATCAGCCTTGCCCCCAGCGCTTGCGGTGTTGGAGGCAGGGAGCGGTGCCATCAAATCGGGGGTAAAACGCAACGCGGGGCCGCGGTTTAGAAAAGTGGAGGCCAAAATGCAGCTCGAGGGACTAAAGTGTACAAACGCGCGCATTGGGTAGAACGGACTCATTTAGATGCATTTAGAAAAGCCACTGTCGTATTTATGGAATGCGTGAATGAGAGGACAAGAATAGCTGGGAATGGGAAAACCTGTAATGTAATTGAATGAATGGCTTTATCTCTGGATTTAGGGTACTGAGTGAGTGAGAGTGAGTTTGGGTGTCCATTTTGCAATGGAGACCTGGATGTGAAAAAAATAGAAATAATGTCAACGTGCCAGGAAAACTGGTCATGGGTGTGGTTTACACGGGGTTCTTCTCCTGTTGTGGTTCATGGCGAACAATTCACGTGGTTCAGTTCATTTGGTTGATATTGTATTTGCATTACGTTGAGTTGCTCACGTGGAATGCTATCCCCCAGGGACATGCTTTGTGGTTCACGTTTTGCAGTTAACTCTCTCCAAAATGTGGTGCGGTTCATGTCGCGTAGTTCACATGGTGCGGTTCATGGAATGAGGTTCATGTAGTGCGGTTCACACAGTGCGGTTCACACAGTGCGGTTCGTGGAGTGCGGTTCGTGTAGCGTGGTTCACACTTTGCGGTTTCTGTAGCGCGGTTCAGGCAGCCCCGCCATCGTGGTGCATGATGAATGGATTGGTTGGGAGCGTGATGGGTCCGTCAAGGGCACCGCGGAGCCGGCCGCTGACCTTGCGCTCACGGCAAGACGCACAAACTGCATGGGCAGCTCCCTGAGCCAGATCAAGGGGAACATCTTCGCCGGATGTGCAGTCGCTCTCGAATACATTAAACATGCGTGTACATGTGTGTGTGCGCCCGAGGAGAGCGGTGGCGCAGCGGTTAGCACGCCACGCTACGAACCCGCTCGTGGCCTTCACCAGTGACGATTATCTGAACCGTTCCTGCACCCCTCTTAGGTCGACTCAGCCTCGAATGAGTACCCGGTGCAATTTGTAAGCATTGCCACGAGGGAGATAGCGGTGGCCGGGCATGGTGCTGTCTGCCCACCCCTAATGTGCTGTGCCGGCCTTCATAGGTGCTTGCAAATAGCACTAGGCCCAAAAGTCTGTTAAGGCTATACGGGGGGATCTTGGTATTTGTACACCCATGTGCACCTGTTTTGTGTGTCACAGTTGTTGTCATGGTTCACGCTGCATTAGAAACCTGGCAACCTGAATTATATTCCCGGCCACGGCCAAATCTCGGTGGCAAAAATATCAACTCGTCCCTTGGTTGACGCAGCCTTCTGGGTGGTACCTGGTGCGTTGCGTTAACATCAGTGTGACATTGAGTGGCGCTGGCCGTAGCACCCAGGTGCTCGTTAACAGTGCTTGCCTCATCCGCATATGCATACCTGTCAACCCATACGGTTTACACCGTATTCTTGTGCAGGGAAATAGAGTTTTCAAATCCATACGGCATACGGCCGTTTCAATACGGGCAAAAGTAAATAAAAACAATTGTCTGTTTGTGCTTCTTCCTCGTGATGGGACTTTGTAGGATGAACTTTGAGATTTATAAGGGCACGGGGTGACCAATGTAGTCTGTAATAAGGGAGGCACTGATAAGGGGTTTTCAGGTTTGCAGATGTAGTGACATATGACGTTACTACTGTATCGGGTCTGTATACACATGACGTCACTGCTATGTTGGGTCTGTACACGTGACGTCACTGCCTGTTCTGTATGGAGGCTGTCGATGGGTGCCACGGGGGTTGTGTCAAGCCGTGGCACTCCGAGTGACCCCGGCTGGGCACGTGACCGGATCCAGGAGGGGGCCAGAGGCCCTGGGGGACCCTGGGGGGGTCATGTGGTCGGGGAAGTGGAGCCTTCTCGTGGGTTCGAGAAGGTGGGCGTGGCCAGGGTGTGGCCGGCCACACCAGGGGCGCTTATAAGCGGGCGCAGCGCAGAGAGCTGGGCTTTTGGTGCTTGGGATGAAGCCGTCTCATGAAGACTCTGAAGAGAGAAGCCTCCAGTCATCGTGGCCAAGCAGAAGCCCTCCTGGCTTGGCCACGCCAAGTGGTACCCGAGCGTTAGTGAGAGTGGGACGGTGGTCACCACCTCATGTGTAGGGTGTGTTGCAGTTGTGTTGCAGAGTGTAAGCGCCTCTATCGAACCATTACACATATGTAAGCTATATATGTCTCATCTGTTTCAAACACTGGTGGTTCAAACACTGGTGGTTCAAACACTGGTGGTTCAAACACTGGTGGTTCAAACACTGGTGGTTCAAACACTGGTGTTATGCCGGCAGTATGATTTTGATTCCCAGGCATATTCAACTTTCGTGGCGAGCAGCATTTGAACCTGTGCGAGTATTATCTGAACCTGGCCTGGATTGTCTTCCCATAGGTCTACTCGGCCTTACATGTCTACCTGCTGTATAGCATTGATTATGCTCGCCATTCACCACAGTGGCAAAAGAGTGTATATTGTTGGAATAGCACCACGAACTTGAATCGTGATAATTCACCGAATCACAAGGGAACGGACACTCGCCACTTGCCTCGGTGAACATTTCAACTGTGCAGGGCCCGTGCAGCGAGGTTTGGTTCTGGCCGTATCCGCCCCCTTGTTTGTGACACGCTAGCTTGAATAGGTGCGAACTAACAGCCTTTGCCTATATGATTTCTGCGGCTAAGCAGGGGATCTTTGTGTGTGTGTGTGCGAGATGGAGGGGGCTTGGGGGGTGGGGGGCTCTGATTGCTGCCTTTCAATTGGTTGTTCCAAACTTACCCGGGTTTGTCCCGTGACATCCATTGATGAAGCCATTACCTCTGCACCCGCAGCTCCCCCGCCGTCTGTCCCTGTGACCTGCCATCGGCGAGTTGAATTTTAATTTCGTAAGCACTGCCCGCGGAGCCCGCTTATGGATTCGTGTCTGCGTGGGCGACAAATTGACATCGCTTTCGTTTTCCAGCGGCCGAGGTCGTTCACCGCAAAAGTCGACGGGAGTCGTTTGTTTTGATCGGAAATTAGGCCAATTTATTCCTGCGCCGGCTCCAGCAGGCACGGGCGATGTTTTTTTGTTGTTGTTCGACTGAAAATGCAGCTCTCCTCTTGCCCGACCAGCGTTGCGGCGGCGCTGCTTCGACAAGGAGATGATAGATTACTCCTAATTGACAATTAGCGGCGCGCGTGTGCGCGGGGCGCGTGCATTGGTCCTTTCCGTGGACGGGGCCGTCGGAGCGACCGGTTGGCACTGGATTGCGGCGCTCGCAGTGCCGCAGGCTTCCCGGAGGGCGCCGGCCTCAATGTCACCACGCCCGGAGTCGTGTGCACTGCGAGTCCACTTATGTTCCCAGCACAGATGGGACACGGGGCCTGCGGGTGGGTGGAGTTGGCTGCAGCCTAGACACAGCCTGGCCGGTCGCGCCGGGCCTCAATTGGTCCTTGGTAATGGTGCGAGCGAGGAGGGGAGCGGAAGTGTCATGGGTTAGTGCACTGCGTTATGAACGTGGCGACCCGAGTCTGATTCTCATTCGTGGCTAAAATCACAGACGACTCGCCTAACCAGTCCTGGGCTTCCCCGAGGTTGACTCGGATTCCTCCAGTATAAATAAATATTCTGATTCCGTCTCGGTGTTAAATGATGGTGCAGTGTGTGAACATCAGCACTGATTAGACGAAGGCGGCCAGGCGTATGCTGGCCACCCCCACGCCCCAGCCCCCCACCCCCCTTGTGTGCTCTACCTGTATTCATAGGTGCTCGCCTCCAACACGTGCCCCCCAACAGTCTGTGTCAAGGTAACATGGGGGATGTTTGTCTCTGTCTGCAGGGGTGTGTGGGTGTTTCGGGGCGTTTCGCCCGCGCTACAAGGTCCTTGTGGACAGCATCTACCCTATAAACCCACAGGTAAGAGGTCATCATCATCATCCATGGATCATCAGTCATTGGCGAGAGACCCGATCATCCGTCAATTATCAGTCAATATTAATCATGATCATCAATCGCCGTCGTCTCTCTAAATACAGGTAGTCCCAGAGTTACGATGGTCCGACTTACGATATTTTGATCTTACGATGGCGATAGCAATACGACAAAATTGCCATCAACAACCTAACATCGTTCAAATGTGCAGACGACGGACAGAATTTTGGTGAGTACAGTACAATATGATACGTTACGATACGTTCAATGCATGTATGATACGTAGCTTTACCGATTTCATTTTAGGGTTACCACGATACGATACGCATGTTAAAAGTTTTTATAGCAGATAGATTGTTTCCTGAAAAACTTTCTATTAAATTGCAGTTCATATAGGTAGGCTAAGAATTTACCTTGTTTTTTTTACTTTACATTTTACTGTGCAATACAGTATTGTAATTAATAATTACATATTGTATGTAGTTTCTATAGTACGGTACTGTAAATTGTTCTGTTTTGCTAAATTATCACCATTCTTTAAGACACCTGGGTAGGCTGGGCCATCTTCGACTAGCGATATTTTCGACTTACGCTGGGGTCGTCGTAACGCATCTCCATCGTAAGTCGAGGACTGCCAGAGCTTGAACACAATTGTTGTATTTGTTTTCCCAGCACTCGTTGGAATGACGTTCAAAATACTTACAACGACCCAGATTATTTGAATCCTCTGTTCATCCTTTAATTTCAATTTACCACGTACAGATTATTGTAAATTCGTGCTTAAGTCGGTGTTATAATTCCATAACTCGCACAAATTATTTTCTGGTTATTTGTCGAAATTTCACTTGATTTATTTTTAAATGAACTCGTTAATGCCTGGAAAATATTAATATATTTATATTGTGTAGGTCATTTAGGAGGTGGTACCTAGGACCTCCAAGCAGAACGAAATTTACTGCATTTATGCATGCATACCTTGATGAAGACATCCGAAATGAAAATTGGAAACATGGAAATTTTCAATTCCGTTTTTGCGTGTGATGGCACCAATTTGTTCAGGATCTAAATGCCAATGTCGAGCTCTGCTGGCCATGACGAGAGTGCTTCAGGGGAGAGTTCGTGTAGATTTGCTGTTCCTCCTCCTCCGTTGAAGGGGCGCAGACTGCAGTGGTTTACGATACGCTGCATAGTTTGAGTTGCATGACCACACTGTGGCTTATCTTGCATTTTCATTTGATCAATAATTGTCAAATGATAGATTTGGATAGAAAATTACGCTGCGATGCGAGTACATCCCAACAAATCTGCATGACGATTTATGAAATCTGGTAGATGAACATCACACGACGATTCACACTTCCCTGTCTCCCAGTGGCCACACTCTCCGCAGGTTTAGTGACGACCAGAATCGACTCTCGCAACAACAATAACACTAAGTGTCAGTGACGTCACCACGGCACTTGTGCCTAGCTCGTTGCACTGAGGGCACAGTGCACCGAGCTGGGTGATTAGCACAGTTGGCTACACACAGTGTGATAGAAGTTCAACATACATACATGCGTTGACGCTCGCTCGCTCACGCACGAACGGTGACGTGCGCGCGTGTCGTGTGCAGGATGGCCTGGTGAAGCCGAGCATGGAGAGGCTGACGTTCTACGCCGTGTCGGCGCCCGAGAAGCTGGACCGCATCGGCTCGTACCTGTCTGCCAGGCTCAGCCGCGACGTGGCCCGGCGACGACACGAGTGAGTGCTCGCGCGTGAGGGGCACGTGGCCAATCGCTTGCCGGTGGGTGGCTGCGGCACACTTGAGCAGCGGGGCCCATCCTCTCTCCCCGTGTGTGCGGGTGACATTGGCCTCCCGGTGGCTCGTCTGTCTTTGGCGACAGGGCGATTGATACACATGCAGGCTTGTTGGAGACGTATCGATTTGCTGATTAAAATGAATTGTTACCAGGGCGGCAGCTCGCCCCCCCCCCCCCCCCCCCCCCCCGCTGTCCTTCCCACCCTGACCCCGCGGTCACCTTTGCCTTGACCTCGCACTCACCTCCAACGGTGCTCTCGCCAGGTATGTCGTCATCTCCATGGAGGCCCTCGACAAGCTGCTCATGGCGTGCCACTCGCAGTGCATCAACCACTTTGTGGAGAGCTTCCTCAAGATGGTGCAGAAGCTCCTCGAGTCCAACGAGCCACAGCTGCAGATCCTGGGAACCAACTCGGTATGATGCCAACCCTGCCCTGTGACGTGCGAGGTGGGCAGGGTGGTTGTGAGCTGAGGACTGCGCCTGAGAGATTTACGAGCTCTCGGTGCGATTGATGTATGTGTGTACGTTGAACTTCTTTCGCACCGTACGTAGCCAACCACGCTAATCGGATTGATGCTCGGAAGCTAAGCGGAGTTCATTGCACGACAGTGGCAACTGATATCTTCAATTGCATCAGAGCTCAAATGAAATTCAAATGCTGTACCAAAATTATCTGGGAGCAATGTTGAGACCATTGTCTTGCGACATTCGAGAACTCTGGTCAGCCACGGTGGGCTGTCCAGATGTAGGATATCAACTCGTGGGCTCCGCCCCTCTGACTCAGGACCACCCGGCCACTTCGCTTGGCGCCATTTAGATCCGCGAAACTTCTCGCATGGTTAACGGTGGACACGCAAACCCAATACCAACAACTATTAATTCGTGGAAACGCACATCTCCCAATACATTAAATTTCCCATCTCGCGATCAATATCTATTAATTTCGTATATAGTGTCGTTTATTTATTTAAATTGATCGTGGCCCTTAACTAAATATAAAACGATTAATTTAGAGACATAAGTGGTGTCTGTTTATAGCTGGAAGCTCGGCTACTAGGAGGTCGTTAATCTGATTTTCTGAAATCAGTTTTAGTGCTCATGCTGCAGCCGATTAAGTCAAACAGTGTGATGTGTTTAATGTTTTATTCGTGACCCCAATTTTATTTAAAATAAAAATTCTTATATCATACATATGTAGTGAGTCCAATTGAGTCACGGACGTTATCTTGGGAGCAACACTAGTTTATTACGCAACTTCAACACAACATCGCACAACCTACACTCGGGTCTCGAATGTCCCATCTCGCCACGCTGCGGCAGAACTAGACACGGTTCGCTATCCCGGCCCGGACCACAAGCTGGGCCCCGGACCACGTGGCTAGAGGCTTCCTCTCCCCGACGTTGATCTTTCTTTACCAGCCACACACAAGACCCCGAGCCCCTCACGGGGCCCCCGTTATATCGGCCTGGGCTGGGGCTGGCTCTGCCCTTCGCCATTCTCTCCTCCGGCCGCTATGGGCAGGAATTCCACACAACTCTCCCTCTGCCCCACCCCCCCCCCTCTGTCTATTTAAGGCCTCGACACAGAGACGTTGTCTTTCTGGGTGCCTATGTGTGTGTTTGTCTCTGTCTCTGTGTGAGTCTCTGATTGTGTGTCTCCGTGTCTAAGTTTTGTCTCTCTGAAATTTAGCATTCTTTAGAAGAACGTAATCAACCAGGTGGGGTGTTGACTGGTGTTGGCCGACTCTCTGTGTTGTATTGCATTATATTTCCAAGTTTACTATGTTTGTTTTCTCATTAATTTTACCTGATGATGGTTGCTTGTGTTGCAATCGAAACGTCGTGTTCTATTATTATTAAATTTCTTTCTGCGTGACTTTACCGAAAGAACCAAAGAATAAGACTTGGTAAGGCTTTTTCTGGGTAAACACGTCTAATAATAATCCATCATTTAACATCGTCGTCATCATCGGTCGCTTATCCGTTAGAGTCGTGGTTGCACCGGCGATTCCTTGCAACGAACCCTCTCCTCAAGCACTCATGGTTGTTGGTGACCCGCGTAGCCACGCCTGCCACTGATCTCCCTGTTCCAGACGCTACGTTCATCATCATCATTATCCCAATGGTCCTTGGCCGGCCTCTCATTCTCGTCCCGCCAACTGGGTCCAGAGAGCTAATGCTGGAAAGCCCCTGTGGTGTTCTAGTCCAAAACAACCATTCTATAAATGTTACCTCATCTCCAGAGTCGTTGTGGACATATGCACATGAATATAATTTCCTAAATTGTGACTTTCCAATGTTGCCAGTTGGGCTAGAAGTTGTCTTTTTTTTGTTGAGGAGTCCGAGTGCAAAAATGGCAATCTGTTGTAAACATATCAACCATCTGGACCATATTAGTTCAGTGAATTCCTGCATCACAAGACCTCCACAATTCATTGTGCAAAGGTTAGGATACAATTTTGCCGCTCGTTTTTTGCTCTCGGCTTCGGCAGCCGAAGAGTTGGTGTAACAGAGGGGCTGCGTTCATATTTGGGTGACGCAGGCGAGGCGACTCGGCAGAGCGAACAGCGGCGCGCTGTTAAATGTGGCTGCGGCGTAATGAATGGACCGGTGCAGCGAGTTCATTTAACCGCAGCGAGAGATGCTGCAAGTAGCAACGAGTAGCTTCTAAAAATAACGTGCACCGCCCTGTGCCGAGGCACAGCTGTGGGTGATGTGTTACCGCGGTCGTCGCCATCGCTGTCGCGTTTTCGAATTTCTGATATTGCACCAATGTTCCCAACCGGTGAGAAGACATCACATTGGGGCGCCACGGTAGCGAGATGTTAACTACCTCGGCCGTTATACAGGAGCCCCTATGGGTTCGATCCCAGCCCTGACGCTTGTAAATTTGGAGTTTGCATATTCTCTCCGTGGTCGCGTGGATTTTTCTCCGGGTCCTTCAGTTTTTCCCTCCACGTTTAGAATCAACGTGCGTTTAGAGGAAATTTGACTACTGCTGTAAATCTCCACGTGATGAGCCACTTCGTTCAGCTGTCATTTGTGGCCGGGTCGCTTCTGAAAAGAGCTATATAGTTCAGTGGGCTGAACCTGGTAATTTTTTTTTTAATGTTTTCGACAACCGAATAACACACGGAGAGTTGTGCACCACAACCGCGAAAACTAGCGCAGTGTTGCGGTCACTTGCAATTTCAATTTGTGCAGTCGCTCGTGATCAAGCCAAGACCATTAAATAAATTCACCACAACTCATGGAATTTCGGCTGAAGTCCAGAACTGTGGCTCTGGATCATTGCTTTGGCAAGGTCGTTATGAGCATTCTCACATTCATGATTTCCAATCAGTGATGAATTTTTGTGAAATTAAATTACCTTACACAATTTGGTTCTCAAACTCAACTTTTATATTGATATACGCTAACTGACCTTTCCGATGGACGTGTGTGATTGTGAATGTGCTGTGTGTGTGCATGTGTCTAAGTATGCTTGTATTTGGGGAGCGGCAGCGCAGTGACCTTCCCTAGATCGACTCGGCCTTAATTAGTACCTGGTGAGGTGTGTAAACATCATCATTGGGGAGACAAAGGCAGCTGGGTATGGTGCTGGCCACCCTCTCCCTCATGTGCCGTGCTGACCTAATTGACTGCTTGCTAACAGAACTTGCCCTAACAGTCTGTTAATGATGTAGATGCTCACCCCGAGCCCTCATTATTTGCATTGCCTTTGAGCTGTACGCCTTTTGGCGTCCTCTGGTCGAGCACCAATTGGGTCGAGGCTCAAAAGAAAGCCGTCCCTGGTGTGGACCAATCAGTTTCAAGGACAATGCATCTATTATCAAAGTCACGTAGTAGGGAAATAATAAAATAATATAAATGTAAAACAAAAATGTTTTTTGATTGTTTAATATTCATATTATTTAATTCTTTCCCTTCTACGTGACTTTACCGAAAGAACCAAGAATATGAATCCCTGCAGTCATGAAAGCTTTAAATCAAAATTATCATTGTATGTTTTTTGTTTGCATTTTGACTGCTAGTATTGTGGTTAATGCAGACATGAATCCTTGTAAAAATGTTTCAGTTTTGTTGCCAGAAAAAAGGGGAAAACCCCTATTATTATAGTCTGTTAAAGGTTACGGTATATGGGGGAACTTTGTCTTTGTGCGTTTGTGCATGTACGTTTGTGGCTGCGTCTTTGTGTGCTCGTGTGTCAGCGTGTTTGTGTGGATATTCGTGTGTACCACAATGTACGTGTGAATGTGTATAAATGTTTGTTTGCACACGTGCATTTGACTGTATATTCTTCCTGTTAACACCATGTTGGTGTTGAGTGAATGTGTGTGTGTGTGTGTACGTATGTTGTGTCCGTGTGCGTGCTTGTGCACGCGTGTGAAGAACTTAATCAGCAAATTGGCTTCTCAGAGTTATTGTTTGCTGTCGTTATAACCCAAGCCAGTCTCTGCCTGTCTTGTCTCCTATAATTGCACTGTGTCATCGCGTGCATTAAAATAAATCCTGCGTGTGTTTTTTCTTTATTCTGTCAAGTGGTTTCCGTTCCGCATCGATCTCTCCTGCGTCCGCACCGCCTCTCAAACGCCCCTTCACCCCGTTTGCATAGAGCACCGAGATTATTCCCTTCTCCCGATTCTACATGACGTGTGCGAAGGTTCCAAGGAAAGGTCAAAGCCTCGTGGAGGACGTCCGCTGGTCTCAACGCAGTGTTACGTTTAATGCGGTGGGGCAGAGAAGGCGGCCACTCCGTGGTTCGCCCGCATGTGCATGCGTGACGCTTTGACATTTGGGAAATCTGGTTTCAGAGGTTGACGGCTCGCAGAGTAAACTTGAACGCAAGATGCTGTGTGCTCGGCGCTGCGGCCGTGAGGAACAATGATTTCGTTCGTGTGCAGGAGTGGGACGATTGCGGTGTTTAGGACCACGAATTTACGGCGGCGGCACGGGGGAGGAGGGTCTTAGTCCAGCTATGGATAGACCATGTATATGTTCTGCTGATGGCGATGATGACGATCGAGTATTTGGAATGAATACGGATTGTTGGGCATGGAGCAATCCATAACAGCTGCAATTCGATGAATTGCGTAAAAGTTCGAGGTCATGATTTTCATGCTTCATGTTTATACCGTCTGGTTTGTAATGCCAGTCTCGTATGTTTCATCTCGTTCACGCGGTCACGATGAATTGACTTTACCCTCTCGTTTGTCATGTCCACGTTTGTCGACTGCTACGTTATATATATAAATATATCGACTCTGACGTCATATAAACATCTCCAGCACGTTTGGGGTTTGGTTTTTCGCCTTTATTAATTTAGTCATGAGAGGGTTACGTTAGAGGTCATGCTTGCACATCATTTGCATACAACTTGGACATCATCACAGTGATTCAACGAAAGTATCGGCACAAGTGGACCGTTTAAGAGGCCCTACCGGCCAACGCGTTGCGGATTCTCATCTCGTTCATGATTGTTCTCACCAGCGCCGTGTGCGCCCCCCCTCCCGCCTCCCCCCGCCCCCCCCCTCTCTCCCCCCTGCCTCCTGGCGGAGCTTGCTTGCAGTTTGTGAAGTTTGCTAACATTGAGGAGGACACCCCCTCGTACCACCGCCAGTACGACTTCCTCGTCTCCAAGTTCAGCGCCATGTGCCACTCGAACATCGAAGACCCCACCACTTGCACTGAGTGAGTAAGGGCGTGGACCACGTGGCTTGAATGTGGGGTGGTGAACTGGCACGGGAAGAGCAGGTTCTGTGTTTTTTTCCAGGCGATGAAGGAATTGATGGGCCCTCCCGCTCAGGTCGCCAATTTATCGGCATGCACGGCGTGCACTTTGAGTTAAGTGATTAGCGGAGGAGGAATCGCTGATATTCATTAAGACCGTGGGCGTTGAATTCGGAGCAATTGCAGGGCCGAGTTCTATCAAGAAATTAACCAATGGACCGTGCCAAACCCAGCCCAAGTTTCATAAGGAACCCACTCCCACATAATTGGGATGCTTGGAGAGAGACCACAGCAGAAGGATGCCAGCCATGGCAAGCTGTGCCCAACATCCAGCTGGCAGTGCAGAGAGGAACTGGTCACGGAGAACAGCCAGGCTTCATGTGGGGTTGTCTGGTAGGGGAGCAGAGACAAGCGAGCTCAGGAAAGGACGTTTCGGCAGTGGGGGAGCGCAAGGAGGCCGCCTCTGGCGCCATCACGCGGTGGGGGAAGGAGCGGTGCACGCTTTGCAGTTGAGCCCCCCAGAAACCAAGAAATGTGCTCTCGCTGTCCGACTCGTGCCGTGAGCAGTCCGACATTGTGCTGCCGAGCGTGGCGATTGTGCCAACTGTGGCTGAGAAGTGGTGGTCTGGGATGGCTGTGTTCGGCATCTCGGGTTGCCTGAGAGGCCACATCGAGTGCTCGAGTGCGATGAGGTGGAATAAGGCGCCCTGAGCAAATAAGCTAGAACCCAAATTGTGTTGTGATGGCGAGGAGTGCCTTCGACTAGAGTGCAGAGGGGTGTCACGTCGAGTCATTGCGAGCACCCAGTGTGGTGTAAGAAGGCGTTGATTACAGGGGTGTTGGGAGCCCTGGGACAGGGGTTGGCAAGCTGCAGCGCCAGAGCCGCGTGCGGCTCTTTAAGGAACCGCTTTGTGACGTTGTTTATTAAAGACCACCGGCTCGTGTTCACCACGTCGTCCATTGCTGTTCTTGACGTATTGAGTTTTTCTTTTACCAAAAAAAAAATGGCTGCTCTTGTTATTTTGGTTTTGCACAAGGGGGTCACAACAACTCCCAGAACCCTGATGACGAGCCATGGGCAGGATAACGGCACGGAAATTATCGCACTGCTTTGGCGGATAGTGGGAACATCCCCATATGCGGAAGGTTAGGTTAAACAGCCTTTAATGCCCAACGGTGGCTCAGAGAGACAATGAGTTTGGGAATGCGCAAGGACATAGGTGTGATTGTGTGTTTGATTGTGTGTGTGTGTTTGATTGTGTGACTTACTGTTTGAAGTGGCACTGCCTTGTTGAAGCGTGTAGGGTGACTTGCCTACAATTAAAGACAGTCGCCCCTCATAATGCCTCATGCTTGCATGACTTAACCCACCGTATGAGCAGTCGGGACCTGGCTCACCAAAATACATCATAGTGAGGCTGGCAATGGTTTATATAGTTATTGCTACGTGCACACTCTACACCGTCACCAGTGGCATGTGGGATGTGAACACAGTCTGTGCCTTGCTTAGGTTGTGTCGGCCTTCAATGAGTGACCTGGGTGTATTGCGTAAACTTCTTGCGTGCCGTGCCGGCCTTGAAGAGCCGCTCGCTAGCAGCACTTGCCCTAACAGTCTGTTAAGGTGATACTTGGGTGGTCGGGGGAATTTTTATCTTTGTCGCGTGTCAGCATCCGCATGTCAGGCCTGAAGGGGCTGCAGGGCGTTGTGCGCAAGACCGTGAAGGACGAGCTTCAAGCCAACATCTGGGAGCCGCAGCACATGGATAAGATCGTGCCCTCGCTGCTCTTCAACATGCAGCACGCCGACAGCTCGGAAGGGTGCGCGTGGTTTGTTGTCACTTCCGACCGCACCTCCGATCAGCGTGGTTGGCTACGTACGGTGCAAAAGAAGTTGGACGTAGATACGCACAGAGAGCGCTGCGCCGACGGCCACTCGGCGCGTACCGAGCGGCGGCCGATCCGGCGCAAGTAACACGGCACCACTTGCTGCACACACGTCCAGTGACACTCGCTGCCTCGTAGGTACAAGGGGACGTGGTTCGGTTCCTGCCTTGAGCGCCGCCTCTCCGTGTGGATTTTGTGTTTTTCTCCCTCCGTTCTGTTAATACCTAAAAAAAAGAAAAAAGCCATACAGTGTAACTGGTATTGGGGAAACATCCCACTGCTCCAAAATTGCCTGCGAAATGACTCGATTGGAATCGCGCACAGCGGCAACATTGCCCCCTTACCGTTCGGAAACCAACCGCATGAATAAACGTGTGGGGGAAAACCCACGCATGCGTTTGCACTCGGAAGTATTTAGCGAGCAGTGTGGAAGTCGATTGGTAGCTGTCAGTGGGGGTAAAACAAGTTTGCACAATAGGTAGCGGTCTTTAGGAAATGCTCTTCATGATTTGCAAATTGTCCTTTTTGTGCTGGTTTGCGTCTCTAAGTTATCGGCAACCCCCTTTGATCAATTCTTCCAGTTTTTTTCCAGAGTGTAAGTCCCCAACAGCCTACACAACTTCAAACTAAAGTTTTGTTAAACTTTGGTCAGGTTTACAATATCTATAGTGCCGCCGCCCCCCCGCTACGGACTGACGGATTAAGTTAGTGTATAAATGCTTTTAACCAGATTCATAATAAAATAATGCTGGCTTCGGCGGTGTAAATGTGTCACAAACCCACCTCCACTCGACTTGTAAGGTTTGTCACGTGAACAACACGTGCAAATTACTGTAGACTCTCGATTATCCGCGCTAATGTACAGGGAGGATGGCTGCGGATAATAAAACAATATCCATTTTCTGGGGATCTCTATGCCAAAAACCACTAATATACATTATTGTTTAGGTTATAATATATATTGAGTTTGTTAATGAGTGGGCCCAGAAGACTGGGCCCACTAAGTGGATGATAGCAGAGCCACGCCAATCAAGATCAATGTTGTAAAGAAATGCAACGACTGTACTGTAGAGGCGATCACGTGGATTTCGGATTAACCGGAGCAACATATTTGCCGGGTTTAAGAACGTGACTTGCAATCAACATTTCCAAGCATAATGATGTATAACTCTATTTAGAATATTCATCTGGGCCTCTCCTTGCGTCCGGCAGCCAGACTCCGGGCTCGCCGGCACCCATGGAGCAGGAGAAGCCGGAGAGCCTCGCCGAGAGCTGCCTCCGCGAGCTGCTGTCCCGCGCCGCCTACGGAAACATCGACAGCATCATCCGGCCCGTGCTGATGTGAGCGCTCCGCCCCACTTGGTATCCGCGCTGCTGCCGCTGCTCCAGCGCTGGGCCAGCAGCATCTTTGTGGGCTCCTGAGTTCAGGCCCTAAGGCTGTGTGGTTTTGTTTGTTTGTCAAGGGGCTGATGTCTGTGTCAGAGCACTTGAACTGCACCTCTTACTTCAGGGGTTAAACCTGTGAGGTTGTTCGCATCTCAGGGCTCGCGTCTGCATCGTGATGCTGTGCAACCACTTTTGAGATCCTGAGTTGAAGGTCCCAGAGTTTGATGTCTGTTGAGGGCGTCAAACCGGCACGTATAGACACGTGCCACCACATCAAGCTCACACTTCTAGGATTCTTCGGTGGCATTCCCCGAGGCTCATGGGACCAGACGAAGGCAGCATGTAGATATACAATTTTGACCGAATTGTGGGAGAAGCGGCTCAAGCCGTGTCTTCATGGTTGCCTTGTTGTCTCCCTCGGACACTTGAGGGCACAGTGGCCTCTGTGCCCGGTCGTCCATCAACACGCAACACGCATGTCGCATGCATATGTGTGTAAGAGGGGTGGCGCAGTGGTTGGCAACCCGGATTCGTTTCCCGCTCGCGGGTCAACACCACCAACGATTATCTGAGCTGGTCCTGAACCCTCCCCTAGGAGACAAAATTGGCCAGGTATGGTATTGGCCAGGTATGGTATTGGCCACCCACCTCCTCGTGCGCCGTGCCGGCCTTCATAGATGCTCACGAACAGCACTTGTCCCCACAGTCTGTTAAGGCTATACGGGGAATCTTTATCTTTGGTGTGCGTCGCAGGCACCTGGACGGTCACTCCCTGTGGGATCCCAACACCTTCGCCGTCCGCTGCTTCAAGATCATCATGTACTCCGTCCAGGTGCCCGCCCGCACCTCCCATCTCACTGGGCGGTGATTGTCCCGCCGAGCTTGTGAGCGTGACTCAGTGGCCGTCGCGGCGCGCGTGAATTGCATTTTGTATTTCCTGCACCGGGGGGGGGGGGGGGGTACAAAGCCCAGGGTTTGTCAGCTGCTCTGAGCAAGTGGGGGTCTGGTGGTGGCTGCTCTGGCGGTAGCCGCTGCTAGCGGGGGCCGTAGTTGCGGGCGCCGCGCTGGCGATTATCTGAACTGGTCCTGGGCCTCCCCTAGGTCGACTCAGCCTCAAATGAGGTCCTCGTGCGACGTGTAAAAACATTGCTACTCGGGAGGCAAATGCGGCCGGGCGTGGTGGTGGCCACCCACCCTGTCGTGTACTGTGCCGGCCTTCATCGGTGCTGCGCTAGCAGCACTTGCCCCAACAGTGTTGCAGGCGCCACCGAGGGTTTTTTTTGTTTATATATGCTGGCCGATCCATTTACAGATACCACATTAACATAAAAGTGAGAAACTGCAGCGAAAATATATTTTTTTTTCCATCTGAACTTCTACAATTTATATGTACTGCATATAATATTGGAGGCATGGTACATACATATATATGATGTTTTAATCCAATGCACCTATTTATTATCAGTTCCTCTAAGAAGAAAGTAAGAGGGGGTCATTAGAAGTCAGTAGGGTATCTATAAACGACTCAATCCTGCGTATACTTGTGTGTACCTGTGGGGTATCTATAAATGGCTCACTCATTGGTATTCTTGTGTGTCCCCATCTCAGAACCAGCATGCCCACATGGTTCTGCAGAAGCTGCTCGGCCACCTGGACACGCACAGCAAGGCCAGGGCGACCGTGCGCGCCGGGGTGGTGCAGGTGCTGTCCGAGACGGTCTCCATCGCCGCAGGGGGCTCCATCGGTCAGCGGATTGTCTTCCTCTGTGCACACTCTTCGCTCTGCTGAGCGCAATCATTCATTAATTCGCCTTCGCTGTTGCCGGTCGTCGTTTCGAGCTTCACTCGCGCGAGCGTGCTGTTGATGTGACTGTCATTCCCCCGCACCTCCGATTAGCACGGTTGGCTACGTACGGTGGAAAAGAAGTTCAACGTACATTCGTGTGCTGTGGGTTGTCAGCGCTCTATTATTAAGCGAGCTGGCGTGCGATCGATGGTTTGATTCCAGCTATAGCTTTAACCACTCCTGCTGGGCATCTGTGAAAAACAGCTTTGGGGCTCATCAGATTCCCCCAGTACAAATACAAATTCTGATTGTGAAATGAAGGGCCTTCACTTGAACTGTATCCTCACCCCCGCTGCACGTCGGTGAGGCCGTCGCGGGGTTGGCTAATGGGGCATTGTTGCTGATGCTTGGCCCGCCCGCAGGTCCGGCCGTGCTGGAGGTGTTCAACTCGCTACTCAAGCACCTGAGGCTGAGCGTCGACCAGGAACTGCGCTGGAGTAATGTGGGGGGACAGGACGACAGCGCGATGGATGGCGCCAGCGCCGAGGCCATGTTCCAGGATTCCGTCGTCAAAACTATAGGTGCCGTAATCCCGCTCCGCTCCACCACACCGGGGTGGGGGATTGCCATCGTCGGCGTCGCCACCCGCAGGCCGAACGGCCGTTGACCAGCCGGTGAAACTGACTGCGGAGCAGAGGTCGCAAACGGGTTTTGATTCCTTACCCGTACCCGTACCCGGCCGCACCAGGGTCGCAAAGGGGTACCCGTACCCGGCCGTACCCGTACCCTACCCGTACCCGGCCAGGTATGGGTAGGGTATGGGTATCGGGTACCTGATTGCGACCTCTGGGATGAAGCCATGTTGCAGGCGCGGGTGGGTTGATTCTAGGAACTTGAATTGTGAGAAGAGACAAGACGTTTGGAAATGAGTGACAAACAGTTACTCACCAGTGACTCACGGTCTACCCGTACCCGGCCGCACCAGGGTCGCAAACGGGTACCCGTACCCGGCTGGGTACGGGTATCGGGTACCCGGTTGCGACCTCTGCCGAACGGCCCTTGACCAGCCGGTGAAACTGACTGCAGAGAGCGCCAATGATTTATAAATCAGAAAAAAATCTAAAACCCAGCCACGCAGTCGCCTATGGCCTGCTTGATCCTCTCTCGATCCAAATGAATGACGTCCGTTTTGCTACTGATTGCATTTGGCTCCTGAGCATGCAGTGTTGCCTATTCGCTGGATTAGACGAGAACCTATGGGTCTCGAGGATCCGTAGTGGTTCTCTTGATTTTCTGAGTATTTTTCCCAACAGCATTTTCTTACGTAGGCCCAGCCTGGACTTGTTTTGACCTCGCTTAGGCTCTTCAGCAGGCTGTGGCTCGGTAGAGGGGTATCGTAGAGACCCCACGGGGTCGCCTGAAGGCCGAGAGGCTGTCCGCTCGCTCTTTACCACGCCCGTATCCCGCACCTCCGAGTAGCACGATTGGCTACGTACGGTGCTAAAGAAGTTCAACATGTGTAGGTACATACTTAACGGAGCGTCACCCTGTGCAGGCTCCTTCGCGGGGATCCTGCCTGACTACCAGCGCTCCGAGATTATGATGTTCATCATGGGCAAGATGCCTTTGCACGGAGTCGGAGTGGATATGGGCAGCACTGGAGACAAGTGAGTACTCATAATCTTATCATTTTTTTGGGGGATGCTGCATTGGCAGCGGTGCACAAGCACAGATGTAACACTTCCTTAAAAATAAAAGTATCGTAAAAGGTGACGTTTTTGGCAATGGCCTTTCTACACAGCACAGAGGGAGGGAGAGCACAGAGAGGGATCAGGTGACACGGCGATTCTGACATCCAGAATATTGTCCTGGTGATGCTTGATGTAGTTTCAAGCAAAATGTCCCATCTGATTTGGTTATGAGGATCGTTCTTCAACTCAGCTGAAACAACAATTGGCACGATGTTCTTACGCTTTTACGCGCAGCAGTTATTTGTTTGGCTGTGTCAGGTGGTGGAGGCTTCTTAACGACAGATTTCTTAGATCGCTAGGTGGCCTAACCCAACAATGAATCAATCCACGTGAAGAAATATCCTGCAGCCAGAGGGTGGTGGTACTGTAGTCCTCAGCCCACAGAAGGAAAGTCACAAATTGAGTTGGGATATTCAATTCTTTAAGGAAATTATTACCCTATCGGTTATCAGTTCGATGAGTTGACTTACGAGAATGTGTCTGCTTGGGTCACGTAAACCAATTTCACGCTTTCCATTTGACTAAAAGCACCTTTTACGCATGCAATTCGACGCATGTGTTGCGAGCTTTCGGAATCGATAGTAACAGATCAAACAGAGTAATTTTACTCCTCCAGCCATTGCACTTTGGTTTGGAAGGCAATAGTGGCTGTGCTACGGAGGCACTTCCCCTTGCCGTGGGGCTGTGTGGAAACTCCGTCGCCTTTCCCAGGAGGGGCTCACTGATAGAAATGAGCGGCAGCTCTTTCTCCTGCGTCATCAGTTCTCCTGCTGTGTTTGTCTCACCTGATGACGGTCGCTTGTGTTGCGATCGAAACGTCGTGATCTATAAATTTTCTACCTATGTGACTTTACCGAAAGAACAAAAGAGTATGGATTCCTGCAGTCATGAAAACTTCAAATCTACATAGACACGCTGAGTGGTGGGGCATCACTACACAGAGACACTGCGAGTGTGGTTGTCTTCTGAATGCCGAACCGTGGCCCAGCTGTCCGTCATCCACCGGCCGTTGTTATTATTGACGACGGGATGTGGGGGGGGGGAGATTTTCGAGCGTCATAAAGATGCAGATCTAAGTTTTCACCGGCCTGCCATTACTATTATTACATGGGTGATTTGTTTGTAACAATACAGATGCACTGCATGATTGTAATGATGAAGCATGGATAAGTATGCATTGATTGTACAGGAATCGTGATGAATCACTCACAGTCAGCACATGCAGGAAGTGTACGCAATGTGAAAATGAATGATGCCATCACCTAAAATCAAACGTTCAGCTGCATCTCTCTCGAACTCTGCCTTCAGTGCAGCGATTATACGACTGTGTGTGTGTATGAGCAGCATGTCTTTGTGTGGGCATGACCCACTTTGTGTCATTGTGTGCATGATTGTGGGGACCGGTGGTGCAATGGTTAGCGCACTATGAACCTGGCGACCCGGGTTCGATTACCGTTTACAGACAACACCAGTGATGATTAACTGAACCAGTCCTGGACCCCCCCCCTAGGTCGACTTAGCCTCAAATTAGTACCTGGGGTTATGTCTAATCATTGGCATTGGGGAGACAAAGGCGGCCAGGCGTAGTGTTGGCCACCCACCCCCTTGTGTGCCGTGCCGGCCTTCATAGGTGCGCGCTCACATAAGTTGCGCCAAAAGTCTGTGCAGTCTGCACGGGGGGGATCTTTGTCTTTGAGCATGCTTGTGTAGTGACATCGCCGGATGTCACTGTGCGTTCCCGGCCCGAGAGAGGCACGGTGTGCAGTGTGACGACATCGCGGATACCACAAGGGTGTGGGTGTCGTACCGGCTCTAGAGGGGCCCAGTGAGCGCTGATTGATAGCGCTGGATGGCACCACGCTCGGCGTGCAGTGCCAACCCTACAGGACAGGGTGTGTGGGTGCCGGCCATAGGATGAGGTTATTAAAGGCCATGGCACTCTGGTTGACCCGAGAGGTCACGTGACCAGTTAAGTCGACAAAGGGGCCCCAAGTGGGGGGGGCTATGGGGGTCACGTGGTTGGGATCGAGATCCGTCCCGAGGATTCTGGAAGGTGGTCGTGGCCAAGGGTGGAGTCAGACACGCCGCAGAGAATATAAGGCGGGTCCCAAGAGGGACCAGGGTTGTTGTTGTTGTTCATCCTGGAAGAAACCTTCGTCGGCGTTCTCCGTTCAACGAGTCTCCAACGCGTGGTCCTGGACCCGAGCTGTGGTCCGGGTCCGTAGTAGCGAGTTACGTTGTAACTAGTGTAGTTAGCCTGGTGGTCACCACCGTAGGTTGTTCTTCTGTTAAGGGGAAGTTACTCCGTGTGTTGGAGTTAAATAAGTAATATTTAAAAATACTTTTTTTAAAACACGCTTTTATGAAATGTACGAGTAATGGAAGAACTCCACGACTCCAGGAAGTGGCCCCGAAGCTTGCCATAACGTAAGGGACCGTGGTGGTTTACAGCCAACGTCAGTTGAGCGTGGACAATTAGACCCAAGCCGAAACATAACATATAAAATTTTTGTTTTAATTTTAAATTTTTTAATAGAATATAGTATTGTCATCAGTATGACATAAGTATACCAAGTTTGCAGTCGATACCACATTGGGAAGTGGGTTAAAATTGAGTTGCAAGATTTGAGGATACGACAACAATAACAGACAGAGTGAGTTAATAGAAAGCGTGTAATAAATGTGTTGCCTTCAAGTATACGTCTGCGACTCAGTTGAACTCACTCCACTTGTATGCATGTATGTGTAGGGCTGAATTCGATTCTTACTGACGACCAACACCAGTGGCGACTATTTGTACTGGTCTTGGGCCTCCCCTACATAGACTTAGCCTTAAATAAATGTGTATCTGGTGTGGTGTGTAAACTTTGGCACTGGGGAGACAAAGGCGGCCGGGCGTGGTATTGGCCACCCATCCCCTTAGTGTGCCATTCTGGCCTTCATATGTGCTCGCTATAACCGTGCTTGCTTATAAACAGCTTGTTAAGGCTATACGGGTGACCTTTGTCTTTGTTTTTTTGTGCACGTGTTCTCAGGGAGCAAGCCGACCACATGTATCAGGTCATGCTGCTGAGGTCCGTGTTGAAGGTAAGAGAGTCATGGTCCCTTGCGACATCATCGGCAGCGCAGTCGCTGCTGGTAACAAATCTCACGCTGCTCGGCTTTAGGTTACGCTTGGCAGTGGAGGGACGGAGTTTGAAACGTTTTGCCGAGTTTTACTCTCCTGAATCTGCGGTGGGATATCGATCGGTTTTGGGGGTTGTTATTTTTTATAATGACACTGCCTGCCTTTCCTTCAACTTCGTTTGCCCTGCAGCTTTCTCGGGCTGCTCGCGTTTCCCTTGTCTGTATGATGCACATTGGGGTTGTTTTTCTGGCTGCCTCTGCATGGCCCCTTCTCCTTGTCTCTCTCTCTCTCTATGCCTAGGTTGTGTTATTGTTTGTTTTTTAGTATTTGGCTGCTATAACTTTCCAAGTGATAAGCCACTTCGTCGAGCTATCATTTGTGGCCAGGTCGCTACTGAAAAAGAGCTATGTAGCTCATTGGGGGCCTGACCTGGTAAAATAACAAATAGTAAAATAATCGTTGAAATAGTTTAGTTTATTACTGTGTGTCTCGGTCTCTCTTCCTTTGCCTCCACCCGTCTCGACCTCTCCGTTTCTCCAGTTCTATCTTATTCTACACTTGGAGTGCATTATACGTACATACTTAGAGCAGTTTTGCAGCATCCATCCCGCAACACACTGGATTCTGTTCATCAGTCAGGAACTAGGCACTCCATCCCTGACTTTAGATGACAGTGCTCAAGCCTTAGCTGATCCTGTCCTTTGTACAGTATCAATGACTGATCATTGCTATTGCAATACATTGCTTATCCCGTACAGATGATGTGTGTGATATTAGTTGGTGTTTGGGTTTAGAACACTTTAACACATTCCTGCGGAGGGAGCTGGTAGGAACGTTGGGTTGGTCGGTCAATGGCCAGGGTCAACGGCGGCGTGGTGTATACCGCAAATATGCCCGACTGTGAGGGCGGGCACAAGCCGGCGTGAGTAGGTTAAACGTTGAGTTTTATAAGGGCACCACGGGGTGACCAGCCCCACCCCATCCAGCCCCAACCCTCCCACCCCCCACCCAGCCCCACCCTCCCCACCCAGCCCCTCACCACCCTCCCCTCCCCACCCTGCCCCTCCCCTCCCCACCCTCCCCTCTCCACCCAGCCCCACCCCTCCCATTTTTGGATGCACGACGGATGGACACAATAATCCCCTGTGGGCTGGTGAAATCAGGTGGTTCCTACCAGTATCATATGAACTCTCCTTGAAGACTTGCCACTCACCGACCCGACCATCAACCACCTCGTGGTGTTCCCCAGTCGACTCCAAAAAAATTAAGAGGCATGAAAGCAATCCCACACACACGAACTGAAGCCATTTCCTGGATAACTAATCTGGACATAGACTTACGATTCGCTACTCATCCAGCCGTGCGTGCGTTCGGTTCGTACTGCGTGTTGTTTCGCATGATGTCCGACGTTTCGGTCCACGTGCCCGGGAGCTTCGTCTGGAGCGGGGACTCCCCCTCCCTCGCGAGCACGTGGAGTGGAAACGTTGGACACGACGACGAAACAACTTGCTGTGCGGCACGAATACAAACAGCCATTCAGTGCTCCCGCGAAAACCTACCCAGGAATTCATCTTCTTGGTTCTTTCGGTAAAGTCACGTAGAAGGGAAATAATAAAATAATAAAAATAAAACATAATAAAATAATTCTCACGACGTTTCGGCCACAACGTCGGGCTTGTCTGCCCGACAGACCTGTTCTCCACCTGAGGACGGCTGCTTGCGTTGTGGCCGAAACGTCGTGAGAATAATTTTATTATGTTTTATTTTTATTATTTTATTACTTCCCTAACTACGTGACGACTTTACCGAAAGAACCAAGAAGATGAATCCCTGCAGTCACGAAAGCTTTAAATCGAAACCTACCCAGGAAGTCGAAGAACCGATGATTTTGTCAAGGAGGCCAGCCAATTGCAGCTCCCTCGCGCTCATCCGCAGGTGGTGCCGGAGCACAAGGCAGCAGGCAGCCTGCTGTTGGCGCTGCCTGGCCCCGTGCTGGAGCCGCTGCTGTGGCCGGCGCTGCTGGAGGAGGCGGAGGCGCGCGTGCTGGCGCTGCGGGTGCTGCACGGGCTGCTCGACCGCCACCACAACCTCGACAAGCTCACCGCCGTCCGGTAAGTGTCCCATCTCCCTCACCCCCCCCCCCTCTCCCCAGACCCATCTTTACTCCCACCGTGAGCCCCTCCGTCGGACATGCAACTGAGTTGTTCCGAAAATGATTGTTTAGCTTCTGAAGGAGCTCCCCAGCACATGGCACGACACGTTGGACATCGTGCCGAGAGACACACGGCACAGAGTGAAGATGCACCCGGAGTGCTGCTGTACTGCGCACAACCGCCATGGCCTAGGCTGTAGGCAGCATTTAGAGTATTTGGCTGCTGTAAATTCCCACGTGAACACATTCCTGCGGAGGGAGCTGGTAGGAACGTTGGGTTGCTCGGTCAATGGCCAGGGTCAACGGCGGCGTGGTGTATTCCGCAAATATGGCCGACTGTGAGGGCGGGCACAAGCCGGCGTGAGTAGGTTAAACGTTGAGTTTTATAAGGGCACCACGGGGTGACCAGCCCCTCCCCTCCCCACCCAGCCCCGCCCTCCCCACCCAGCCCCTCCTCACCCTCCCCTCCCCACCCAGCCCTTCCCTCCCCACCCAGCCCCTCCCTGCACGACGGACGGACACAATAATCCCCTGTGGGCTGGTGTAACCAGGAGGGTCCTACCAGTATAAGCCACTTCGTTGAGCTATCATTTGTGGCCAGGTGGCTTCTGAAAAAATATCTATATCGCTCAGTGGTTTTACCTGGTAAAATATCAATAGTTTATTGCTCATAGTAGCCTGGATAAAATCTGAAAATGCTGCCAGAAAATGGTTGAAGTGGGCAGCGATGCACTTTGACATAAAGAAGATTGTCTTCTCCAAGGTGTGTAATCTGGTTAAATAAAGTATCTGTCTTACCTGTGTATGAGAATCATAGTTGAAACACATTTTTTCTCCTAGTTTATTATTCTGACCATGCACGCATACAGATAATTCAATTACAGCGCTGTGCGTTATTGAAGTTAATTGTCCATTGATTCTTTATTCTGGGAAACAGACGCTGGAGATGATTTGCACTTTGCTGCCTGTGACTTTACGAGTCCACATTGCGTGGTCGTAACTTACGGTTTATCATTTTCCGGTAGCTTCCTTAAAAGCCCTTGCGGGGTCCAGAGGCAGCTGCTAATGCCGTTAATGCTTTGTGAATGGCAGATGCGAGCTTCCGTAACCACTGTGTTTAATGAAGCTCACCGTATATTAAGGTAGCTGCCAATAGCCGTCGAGTCCTCGTTTTTACGGGCATTGTTTTTTCTTTTTGAAACACAAGTCGTGTTTATGTGCATCGCTTAAGTCAAAGAGGGGACGTGTGGTAGTCCTCGCATATCTTTTCATGATGATAACACCAGCCAGTATTAGAACCGGTTTGATAAATGTGTTGGTATGCACGTAATAAATACGCTACGTATCACTGTTATGTTGCATTTAATACAAGCGTTATGTATTATATTTTGAATCCAAGTATTTTTTTTGTGATTTCATGCACATATTCTACTTAATGGGATTCAGCTGCAAATAATATACAGCGAACAACTAATAATCGTGGGGTCTTTATTATCGCGGACTGCGTGTTCGCGACAAACTTATTGAAGCTCTCTTGAAATTCGTGAGGTTGCATTTTAAATATTCGCGGCCGTAGCTCCTCCCCACTACTCGACAGGGAGGAGCATGGCGTGTGTGTGCGTGTGTGTGCGTGCGTGTACGTGTGTGTGTAGTGTGCGTGTGTACGTGTGTGTGTGCGTGTGTACGTGTGTGTGTGCGTGTGTGTACGTGTGTGTGTGCGTGTGTGTGCGTGTGTGTGTGTGCGCGTGTGTGTGTGCGCGTGTGTGCGTGTACGTGCGTGTACGTGTGTGTGTGTACGTGTGTGTGTACGTGTGTGTGTACGTGTGTGTGTGTACGTGTGTTGAACTTCTTTGGCACCGTACGTAGCCAGCCGTGCTAGTCGGACGCGTGGGAGCGGCGTGGATGGTGAGAGCGTGAGCGCTGCCCACGCGGCGATCCCTCCCGGTCTGCCTTTGCCTGCCGCACGGATTTACACGCGAGTGCTTTCCTTTACAACTGTTGGGAATTACGTGGCGTGTAGTATTTATTTATTCATTGATATTTGCACTTTCAAAATATGTTTACGTTCATCATTATTAAAGGCAAGGACTTGCCCCACCATATCTTCCCACTCTCTTGTATCTTCTCTGTGTGCCTTCTTGACCTCTACGTTCTCAATCTTTGCTGTCTCTCTCTCTGTTCCTCCTCCTAGTGGTCAATCCACGCTTTCTCTCTTCTCGCCCCCCTTCACTGGCACAAACTTCCCGCTCCACATTAAACGGTTACCTTCGCTCACTAGTTTCCGCTCCTTATTGTGTTCTAGCTCGCCACACAACCCCTTAATCTCCCCCTCATAGCCACCACCGCTACCGTTCCCTCTTCGTATGCTCATTGTATGGCTCTCACTCATTCAACAAACATTCAATCCATTCATCATCATTATCATCTACTGTCAACAGTTTCCCTTTCACCGAATTCACGCATCACAGATTCGCCTTTTGCTTCCTCTCATCTGTTTAATTCACCTCATCTCCGCCATGACATCTATACGTTGCGCCGTTGTTAATTCTTTGTAAAGTGCCTTGGTTGAGGCGCTGTATACATTTCGTGAAGAAAAGATAAATAACAGTAATACTATAGTGTATGTATTCATTAATACATACATGCAGTTCGTATGTTTACGTTTAAACGTCATGTATGTTTATGCCCCCTAATCCAATTCTCCCCATAAGCTTTAATAGTTCACATTCGTGGAGTTAATATTTGCGCCGTTCTCCAAGAACTATTTCCCCTGAAAGAGGTATTTGCTCTAAATGATATTCTCCAGCGTGTATGTTAGTGTCTCATATGCCGATCTGTCATACCCCCGTTTTGTTCTTACAGTTATGCGTACATGTTGCCCCCACTGGAGCCACCAACACTAATAGAACTAAATTAATCAATTTTATTTTACTAGGGAAGGCCCACTGAGCTATACAGCTGTTTTTCAGAAGCAACCTAGCTATCACAAATGATAGCGCAACGAAATAGCCTATTGTGTAGAAATTTACAGCAGCCAAATACTCTAAGCGTACGTCGCTTATAAATGCAGAGGGAAAAACCGGAGGACCCGGAGAAAAATCAACGTGACCACGGGGAGAACGTGCAAACTCCAAATATACAGGCGTGCATCAGGGTAGCGATTGAGCCCACGGCCTCCTGCATACCAAACGAGGGAGATAACATCTTGCCACCGCGACGTGTTCACGTCGGAAGTTTTCTACTTTTGGTTGAGCTAATTCGGACATCGTTCTCAAAGGGCACGAGACTCACCACGGATCCTGTGACCCCCCCCCATGGGTCTGACCTCACGCCGCTGACCACAGTGGGGGCTCTGCTCACAGCTGTTTTACTGCGGCTCTCGCCGTGTAAAACTGACGTTCGTCGCCGCCGCCGCCGCCGCCGTGTGTCGAACCTGAACGCTTTGCAGGATCGTGCACGACCTGGCAAGCCTCAAGCTGAAGATGGAGAAATGTTCCAAGCAAGACGCCACCTTCATGAAGAAGGTACGCGAGTTGCACAACGCAGGCACTGGTTTCTCCTGTAGGGTCAAGTGCTGTTAGCGAGTACCCCACTATACTGGAGGTATCTTTGTGTGTGCCTCAAAGTGCACCTGGCCTGGCACAAGCACCGTGGTGACGTCAACGCCACTTAGTGGCGAATGGCGGCTGTTGTTGTTGTATGTGTCTGTATCTACACGTGGTGTCTGTATCTCTACGCGTGGTGTCTGTCTCTACACGTGGTGTCTGTGTCTCTACGCGTGGTGTCTGTGTCTCTACACATGGTGTCTGTGTGTCTACGCGTGGTGTCTGTATCTCTACGCGTGGTGTCTGTGTCTCTACACATGGTGTCTGTGTGTCTACGCGTGGTGTCTGTGTCTCTACACGTGGTGTCTGTGTCTCTACACGTGGTGTCTGTGTGTCTACACGTGGTGTCTGTGTCTCTACGCGTGGTGTCTATCTCTACGCGTGGTGTCTGTGTCTCTACGCGTGGTGTCTGTGTCTCTACGCGTGGTGTCTGTGTCTCTACGCGTGGTGTCTGTGTCTCTACGCGTGGTGTCTGTGTGTCTACGCGTGCGTGCAGAACGGACAGCGGCTGTACGGCTGGCTGTACGAGAGCTGCGTGGCGGAGGGGAACACGCGCGCGCACTACGAGGCGCTGTACGTGACGCTGGCGCTGCTCGCGCTCGAGACCGGCGGGGAGGAGTTTGTGGCCATCGACCTCGTGCGCCTCGCGGTCGCCTTGCAGGTAGACCGCACGCTCGAGGGGAGGGAGGGGGGGGGCAGCAACTCTAAAAACTTTTATTCTTTTCTTTATTTTACCAGGTAAAGCCCACTGAGCTGTATAGCTCTTTTTCAGAAACGACCACAAATGATGGCTCAACGAAGTGGCTCATCGTGTGGACATTTATCGCAGCCAAATACTCTGAACGCGCGTTGATTCTAAATGTGGAGGGAACAACCGGCGGGTACGGAGAAAAATGAAGACGACCACGGGGAGAGAGACATGCAAACTCCAAAAATACAGGCGTCGGGTTCGGGATCGAATCAACGACCTGTGTACCAGGCGAGGTGTTTAACATTTTGTAACCGTGGCGCCCACGTGAGTTAACTGTGCCATCCGCACGGTGCACAAGAGCGACCTCTTAATCCTTGGCGCTGGAATGTTGCCAAATGGAGTGCAGAGCGGTCCACGTGACGTGACGGTTGTTTTGTGCGGTCGTTGGTGACCGAGCTGCGACCGTCAACGTTCAGCGCCTGAGAACCCCAATGTAATCACGGGGAGTTGGAGCCGGATTCACGCCCAGGATCTCGGTGGTGCTCTTCGCCACTTGGCCACCTCCTGCTAACGAATGGATTGTAATCGCTGAATGAATTAAGGCTGTCACGTTTGTGAAAATGATCCCACTGTGGGGTGGCGCTGCGGCGCACGTGAACACGGCGTCGCGTTTGCGTGCCGGTGGGCTCATGCCGCGTCTCGTCAATGCTGGCCGTGCGTGCGTGCGTGCGAGCAGGAGGCGGCGCTGGAGGAGGAATCGTGCTCCTCGGTGTTCGCTCGCTGCGCCACCCACGGCGTCGTTGCCGCCTTCCTCAGCCTGCTGGCGCAGCGCCCGGCCCTGAGGCCGCTGCTGCAGCACGTGACGGCCGTGAGTCGGGGCAAGGGGGGCGGCGTGGCGTTGTAGGAGATGCGTGCGTGTGGCAGCAGGAGACACAGACGCAGTGGAGATGTCCAGGTAGTCCTCTACTTATGATGGAGGTGCGTTACGACGACCCCAGCGTAAGTCAAAAATATCATAAGTTGAAGATGGCCCAGCCTACCCAGGAGTCTTAAAGAACGGTGATAATTTAGTAAAACAGAACAATTTACAGTACCGTACTGTATAAACGATATACTGTATGTATTTATTAATTCCAATACTGTATTGCACAGTAAAATGTAAAGTAAAAAAAAGAAGGTGAATTCTTCGCCTACCGATATGAACTGCAATTTAATCGAAAGTTTTTTCAGGAAACAATCCTATCTGCATCACGCAAGGCGGGAGATGCATACATCCCAGCAGCGTCCCAACGTACAGCATCGTACCTCGTCCGCTGCTGCGTTTGCCTGCCGCGCGAAATTAAAATATTTTACAATTTTATCGTATCGCTATCGCCATCGTAAGATCGAAATATTCTAAGTCGGACCCCATCGTAACTCGGGGACTATCTGTATAGGCAACACCTGCGCAGACACGGCAGACGAACAACAGATGCACCCGCGCTATAGAGACGCGCAGTGGAGGTGTATGGGCGACACGTGCAGACAGACACGTATGTGTGAGTGCATAGGGCTACAGCGAGCCTATAGCCCTATGCACTCACACACAGATTTATATAGAGATTGGGAAGTGAGTAAGCGCATACGGCTGTTATTGCATCAACAAAGCTTTCTATGTTTGTGTATGTGTGAGTGGGGAGCGGTAGTGTAGCGGTTCGCGTCCCTGCGCTACTCACCTGCCCACTCAGTCCTGGGCCTCCCCTAAGTCGACTCAACCTCAAAATGGTGCTGGCCACCCACCCCCTCATGTGCCACGCTGGCCTTTAAATGTGCTCACGAATAGCACTTGCCCTAAGAGTCTGTTTCTGCTATGAGGGGGATTTTGGCATTTGTGCATACGTGTTTGTGGGGAGCGGGGGTGGTTGTGGCTAGTGCGCTGTTACAAACCCGCTTACCTGGGATCATTACCCACCCACAGCCAACGTCACTGGCAAGTAATATCTGAATCTTTTTCTGGGCCTTCCCTCGGTCGATTCAGCTTGGTGCGATGTTTAAATATCAGACAAACGTGGCCAGGTGTGGTGCTGACCACAACAACGCCTTGTGTGCCGTGCCTGCCTTTGCAAGGGCTCACGGACAGGACTTGCCCCAGCACTCTGTAAAGGCTATACGGGGGATCTTTGTGTGTGTGCGCGATTCAGGTCGTGGAGCACAGGAGGAAGGTGGCTCCATACCTCTTGCCTGACGTCGCGCTCGCAGAAAACCCACGGTGAGGGGTCCGGCTCTCTCTGGGTGCCAAAACCACTTCCCCGCCATTCGCCACTAAGTGACGATGATGACACCACGGCGCCTGTGCCATGCCAGGTGCACTGTTGGGCCACGTGAAGTGTCGAAGGCTCGCTGACAGGTCACGGGACAGACCCAGGTGTTGTGGGTTGGCTGACTTAGATAACTGGCAGATGCACCAGATGTGCCCCCTGCTGTGCCCAACTTGCTGCATTTTAGCTGCCTTGGCACTCCTCTGCCCTCTGTTGTTGTTGGAGGGCGACTGCCTCCCAACTGCCCAGGAGCGTCCTTCACGAGCCTCTTCTATAGTGGGTGCATTCACACGCACACACTCAGGTTCACGCACGCAGATCCCAGCGCAAGCATTCCCTCTTTAGCCTCTTAGTCAGCAGCAGCAACTGCTGATACAGAGCACTCTCTAAGACGAACACGACGCACAAAGTGGAGGTGTGGCCAGCAGCATGCCCAGCCACCTTTGTCTCCCCAGTATTGATCCCCACACCGCAACAGCCACTCCTTTTAAAACGGATTTGACGTAGTTGAGACCCATGACATTCACAGCTGGGAATCGAACCCAGGTTTGCTGAATCGTAGTGCACCTCTTCCACGCGCATGGCACAAACAATGTCAGCAGCCACAGTTCACCTCTTGAGTGGCAGCGACGTAACCGCAGTTCTTGTGCCAGGCTAGGTACACACCTCGAGGCCATGTTGAAGTTAGCGGCTCACTAGCAGGTTACTGGACAGGCCTATGAGGTGTTGTGGGTTAACAGATCTGCTCCATCTCTGCTGAGATGGGAATGAGGTCATTATTTTCATGTTTTCCTTATGGGTTAAAAAACGGCACATTGATTTGAATAATAATAATAAAACTACTGCTGGATGCGTCACATTTCTAGCTCGCGAGGGCGCACGTTTTACCGTGCGGCACTGTCGGGGCGGGAGGGGGGGGGGCGGTGCGCCAGGCGGTTACGTGGGTTGCTGAGATTGCTCGTCTGTTATGCGCACATTCGGAGCGCTGTTTGTTAGCGACTGCCAGTTCAGCGGATGCGACCTGTTAATGCGTGCGTATGGATTCTCGTAAAGTATTTAACGTGAAACGGAATGTTCCGTTTGTTTTGGCTGGACGTGGGTGGCGCGGTGTTCTTAGTGCAGGTCTAATTGCCCGATTTTAATCGTATCTTTATCTTGATCCGCGTGCGTGCATTTACGTTGCGTATTTGTATCGTGCAATGCGAGCGTATGCGCCGCTTGTGTGCGCTGCACTGGATGTGGGTCACCTGCCGTCGTGGTTGTATTTTTGCATGACCGTATTTTTACCTTGTGCGTGCGCGTAATGGGGAGCGGTGAAATAGTGGTCGGCAAGCGCTGCTACCGAGTTCAAATCCTGGCAGTGGACTAATCATTGCCAGGTGATAGCAACGCCGTTGGTGGGGGGGTTGGGAATGTGTACGTGTGTGCGCGTGTGCATGCGTGTGGGTGTGCGTGTGTGCGTGCGTGTGTGTGTGCATGTGTGTGTGCGTGTGTGTGTGTGCGTGTGTGCGCATGTGTGTGTGCGTGCGTGTGGGTGTGCGTGTGTGCGTGCGTGTGTGCGTACGTGTGTGTGTGCGTGTGTGTGTGTGGGTGTGCGTGTGTGCGTATGTATGTGCGTGTGTGTGCGTGCGCGTGTGCGCGTGTGCGTGTGCGTGCGTGCGTGTGTGCGTGCATGTGCGTGTGCGTGCGTGTGGGTGACCGCCGTTGTGCTTGCCGGTCGCGTGGCGCAGCCTGCCCAGCAGCACGCCCAAGGAGGACAAGTCGCTGCTCTTCCTGCCGAGCGTGATGGCCGAGGCGCTGCAGATCGCCGGCCTCAACGGCGAGCGGGTGACCGTGCCCTTCGTGCCGCTCCTCCATGGTGGGTCCCGGACTCCGCTACCGGCCCGCAGAGATCGGGTCTTCACAATCTCATGAGGGGGGGGATACGGTTGGGGAGGGGGGTAGGCATGTCTGGGTATTTTTTTCAGCCGCCGTATCCTAAAACTGAGCATGATATGCGGTTGGTTGTCTTTTTGAACCGTAAATACTGTATCATGTAATTTAGATGCTCTACGGTACACGTAGAATATAATCACAGGGGGGTGCGGGGGAAGGACAACGAACTAGACGCCCAAAAAGCGGTTGTCAAGAAATGCGTTTGTCATCACAGCCATTGCGAGCAGATTGAACATGGGGTGAAAAAAAAGATGCTTCCACAAAGCACAAGTTTCTTTTCAAAACAAATTTGAGAGAACCCTGATGTTCATATTCCTGCATCTGATGATACAGACAACAGGCTGTTAATATTTCTTATTCACTCACATTGTATCATCTTGCTTTAAACTATTTAATATCCAAGCAATAACCGCGGTATCGATGCCACGGAGATGCAGCCAAACAGGGAAACGAATAAAGTTCGTTTTCCAGTTCTTCGTCTGCAATGCGGATTGTGGTCGACGTTTGCCAGTCTGGATGGGCACGTAGTAGCCTGTGTCCGTGAAGGCGTCCGCGTGCTGGGGGCATTGGTGGGGGGGGTTGGCTCAGGCAAACGCCGCCGCTCTGTGCACAGACGAGGACGCGCGCTCGCACAGGAAGAGCATCGTGGACACGGTCTCCATGCAGCTGGACCTCGAGTGGAACGAGGGCACCGACGTCGGCCAGGTCAGCGAGCCACAGCGAGCCACGATTTTGCTTCACCGTTCAATGCCATGCCACACACCAGGCCACACGGAGCCACACAGTGCCACATCATGCTATTACTGTTCTTATCAATTGTTATGCTTGTTTACCCAGGGAAAGCCTCGCCGAGTATCATACATTCGTAAATAACACGGTCCCGCAAAAAAGCACGTAACGGGCGACGTTTCTTGCACCAGAGAGGTGACCACGATAGAGGCGTGCGTCGGGGTGAGAGAAGGAGACCACCACGATCGAGGGGAGTGGAGAAGAGGCAGGACTCGTAGATCTTTCGTTGTGGCACCGGCATCATTCAGATCATGAACCTGCAGAAAACCAGGAAATACGTCCCGCTAGGCCACGTGAGTGCTGTACCACCCAGAGCCACGTGACTTTTATGTCACATGCCAAAGCTACACAACAACATGCCGTGTCTTGCCACATCACCTCACGCCACATCAAGTCACATTATGCCACAGCAAGCAATGCCATTCCAAGTAATGATATGTCCTGTGCCATATCATGCTACACCATACCACGTAGAATTATACTAAGCCAAGTTACACCAAGCAGTGTTCCTACATAGCAGTGTCTTCATGTACCTAAAGTATTGGTTTGTGATGGAAATGCCATATTCCTCTGAGAAGACTGTTTAGCTTGAACTTGAACCTCTACCTAGTTGAGGAAATTCCACGTTTCACTCCTCAAGTAGATTGAACCACCGCCATTGACTTCTTGACTTGGGTCAATGCGTAGATGTTTTGCATTTTGAGTTGATGGATGTTTAGGTTGTCATTACCACTGCGATTATTCCGCTGCTGGACAAAGACTTCTCGATGTTGACGTCGCCTTTTGTTTATCACTTCTGCAGCCACCACACTTTGCACGATTTAATCGCTCGGCCTCTTGTTTCATGTCGCCCACTAAAGTCGCTTCCCCGAGAGTCGTGTTGCTTTTGACACACTGCTCCGCTTTGGCAGGTGGAAGAGATCACCTTTGAAATGTTGAAGAACGCCATGGGTGAGTCGACCGACCCGTGCCTCCGGCGTGGACGGCCCGGCGAGTTTTGATAGCGACGCGCGCGGCAGGTCGTGAAACGTCGCGTTGCCATGATTCGTACCCTTCGACACTTTTCCCACGAGCTCTGCGATTCTCTGGGTCCGTTGCGCCCTGCAGGATGCGGAAAGTAATGTAACGATAAAGTTGGACGTGATACGATGTACTAGGCACACGCAGTTAGATGGCGCAACACGTATCTGAGGGTAGGCCGGCCACCGCGTTACTGTGTCATTCCGTTTGCTGTACTGTATCACCGTACTGCTCGGCTCAAGACGGTGGTTGGTCGTTGACCACTCTGGAATTGTGTTATGATGGTGCACGTTCCACGTTATTACGGGGCCTTTTCCGCGTTATAACGAGTCCTGCCCCTAATGAAAAAAACGTGTTATAGCGAAAATGCGTTGTGTGAACACCTACACGTTCAGTGAGGACTTAACGTCCCTGGTTTGTGAATGTTACTATGAAGGCAATGGGTGTGAACACAACTGTATAGACACGAAAATTTTTTTAGAAATTACATAAACAAGGAAACACTTTTAGACACAAGGGAATAGATTCTTGAGTTGGATCTGAGCCAGGAGTTTCTGGGTCGCGTTGGGGAGGGGGAATGATTAGATACACACCCCTATTTGACCACGTGTGTGTGTGTGAAGGCAAGGCGGCAGCACAGAGCACACAGCTGGAGTTGACTGCACTGCCCTCTGCTGCCCAACACGTAGCCGTGACGGTCCCGCTTGATCTCGCCGGCTTTAACGAGCAGCTCAGGCGTCTACGTGCCCACGCCGTTGATCCGCGTCTGTTGCGTCTGTGTGCGCAGTGGACAGCGCGTCACGTGACGAACAGGAGAAGGAGAAGAGGCGGAAGGTGATGGAGAAGTTCCAGAAAGCCCCGTTTGAGGAGATCGCCTGCACAGTGCGAGGCTCGGGTAAGATCGCGCACGTGTTTGGGAGCAGTGGTGGGGTACAGCGGGGGCGAGATGTTAACTACCTCGCCTGGTATACAGGAGATCGTGAGTTCGAGCACGGCCCTGGCACCTGTTGTATATTTGGAGTTTGTTTCTGCTTGTGGTCGTGTGGATTTTTCTCCGGGTCCTCCTGTTTTTCCCTCCACATTTAGAATCAACGTGCGTTTAGGAGTCTTTGGCTGCTATAAATTTCCACGCGATAAGCCACTTCGTTGAGCTATCATTTGTGGCCAGGTCGCTTCTCAAAAATAGCTACGTAGCTCAGTGAGCCTTACCTCGTAAAATACAAAATAGTGAAGTTAGAAGCGGAGAGGGCAAAGTGAAGACCGTTCAGAAACCAACCGCATTAATGAACGAGTTGGGTTACCTGGTGAAATATTTTTTTTATTTAGTTTCTGTTGACGCACTGGGCGGTGAACCAGTCAACGCGAGTTTGTTTGAAGCCCAGCAACAAATTAAAAGGATATCGCTTTTCAGCACTGGTGCCTTGCCAGTGTGTGTTGCAAGAGATTCTGCCGACATTCAGAAATGGGACATTGCCTCCTCTCTCTGGTTGGGAGTTGCAGTTGTACGTTGAGCTTCTTTCGCGCCATGCTTCACCAACCGTGCTAATCGGAGGTGCGGGGAAACATCGGAGGTGTTTTCTAACTTGATGTGTCGCCACATTTCATTTCAGGCGGCGATGCTGCAGAGCAAATATGACCAGATATTCGAGATCAATATCCGGTAAGTGACACCCGATTATACATACACGGGGGCATTGCCCCCACCGCAACACACGGTGAGTTTTCATGTCAATGTCTGTTGCTCGTGTAACCCAGCCTAGTCCAGCCGAGGGTGAATGTTGGCTCAGAGGGCAGTACCTCTTGAACTGAATCCAGAGGCAGTGCATTGACGGCGTCTTCCCGGGTTGTTCTCCGCGATGACGTGAGCACCTCTGCCGACTTCAGGAAGTCCCCAGGAAGATGATTTTTCACGTGACAACATCGTAACGTGACAACATCGTAACGTTGACATGGCCACGCGGTGGTAGCGCTTGTTGCAGAGGTTCACGGTTGGAATCCAGTGGCCGTCCCGATTAATACTGCGGGTGTTATTAGCCGTAAAAAATAATACGTGCCGTCAGTTTCAAGGTGGATGTTAAAGATAATTTTCTAATTGAAAACTAATTTCTTAAGAACTGATTTTTGTGTTTAGTTTGTTGTCCTTCCCCCGCACCTCCGATTAGCACGGTTGGCGATGTACGTTGCGAAAGAAGTTCTACATACATACATCCTGTGACGTCATTCACGCGTGTCGGCCATTCTGTGCTGGCCTTATGTTCAACATTTGAAAAAAAAAATTAGATTTTCCCGCAAATTATTTTTTGGAATGTACACTACATGGTAATAATTGCCCCCTACTATGAACATTTTGAAGGACCCTTCTGCAAATACTTCCTTGGGTAACAAGCATAATAAATAAATAAAGGGTAAAATTATTACACAAGTGGTATATGCTGGTGGTAAAATCCAAACAGTAACAAAACACAACAGCCGCCGTGCACCGCTAAGTGGCTGTGACGTTACCACAACGCTCATGTCAGGCTCCATGGTTATGGTTTCACTGCATCAGATGCCACCACCTATGGTTCTCATTGCACCAACTTTTTGCGTTTTGACCACCTGGCACTTCCGCTCATTTTTCTATGACCGCGCAATAACATCTTGCACGTGCCTCCTCTACACAGCCTCCACATGACACACACACACAGGACGCGCACACATGACACGCACACACACGACACGCACACACAGGACGCACACGCACAATGCACACACACGATGCACACACACGATGCACACACAGGACGTGCACACATGACACGCACACGACACGCACACACACACACACGATGCACACACAGGACGCACACACACACGCACACACGCGACACGCGCACACACGATGCACACACAGGACGTGCACACATGACACGCACACGACACGCACACACACACACACGATGCACACACACGACACGCACACAGGACACGCGCACACACGACACGCACACACACAACACGCACACACACAGGACACGCACACACGACGCACGCACACGCACACGACACGCACACACACGACACGCACACACACGACGCGCACACACACGACGCACACACACGACGCGCACACACACGACGCGCACACACGATGCACACACACGACACGCACACAGGACACGCACACGACACGATGCACACACACGACACGCACACATGACACGCACACGACACGATGCACACACACGACACGCACACAGGACACGCACACAGGACACGCGCACACACGACACGCACACACACAACACGCACACACACAGGACACGCACACACGACGCACACACATGCACACGACACGCACACGACACGCACACACGCGACACGCACACACGCGACACGCACACACACGACACGCACACACATGACGCACACACACGACACACACACACGACACGCACACACACGACACGCACACACACGACGCACACACACGACACGCACACACACGACACGCACACACACGACACGCACACACACGACGCACACACACGACACGCACACACACGACGCACACACACGACGCACACACACGACACGCACACACACGACGCACACACACGACGCACACACACGACACGCACACGACACGCACACGACACGACACGCACACACACGACACGCACACACATGACGCACACACACGACACACACACACGACACGCACACACACGACACGCACACACACGACACGCACACACACGACGCACACACACGACACGCACACACACGACACGCACACACACGACGCACACACACGACACGCACACACACGACGCACACACACGACGCACACACACGACACGCACACACACGACGCACACACACGACGCACACACACGACGCACACACACGACACGCACACGACACGCACACACACGACACGCACACACACGACACGCACACACACGACACGCACACACGCGCACCTCCCCCCTGGTTTTCGCGCGAATGCTGACGATGGTTCCCGGGCTTCGCAGGCCACCGCCCAGCCCGTCGGGCTCCGTGCCCGGGAAACTGGGCCAGATTCCGTGCCGCTCCGTGCCCGTGTACGAGATGACTTTCCCCGACCTCTGCGTCTACTGAAGGCGACAGTCGGATGCGGGGGAGAGCGTTGGATGGCAGAAGACTCGCGGCAGGCAGGCTCGACCTTGGATTGTCCGAGACACCAGGCACGTGTGGTGTGTGTGTGTGTATGTGGTGGGTCGTAAAGTCCCAGTGCTGTGGTGTGCGACTGGGCCAAAGCCCCTCGATCTCCATTCTGCATCGTGTGTGTGTGTGCGCGCGCGCGCAGCCGACACCAGCTCCATTACTGCGTAGGATTTCGTGTGTTTCGCCGTTCTTAGCTCTCCGATGTGTTTTCAATCAAGTGCCTGAAGGAGGCACGTGGAGCGAATCGTCGGACATCGTGCCGAACAAAACCACCACGGCACAACCCCCGAAAACGCATCGGAGAGCTCGACATTACCCCCCGTTTATACAGAGGGCTTCTCGATTCACAGTGAATTGTCATCGGAGCCAGACGGGCAGGCATGTTATTGCAAACGCATTAAGAAAGAGTAAACGGGAAATGCTTTCCATAAATAAATCGAGAGCCCATACTCGGCGTTTGTTTTGCATCTTGTGGAATTGAGTGCGTATAAACTTTTCCGCATATGCGCACGTTTACACGCAAATCCTCAGCCTTTCTAAACATCAAAAACCATTACAAAAGCCAGCGGAATTCGTGGTTGGTTGGTGCTGCATAGAGTATATTTTGGAGCAGTAAAAATAGCGTATTTTCTTCGAGTTAATGGTATCTCGCTTAACTCTGGCATTTAAACACCAGCCCTTTCCTTTGGCTCGAATCATTGGACGCTTTCTCCGGGGCTGCCCCCACGATTTATTCATTCCTGCCTTTGGAGGCGTTCTCTTACTTGCAGTGTACTGAACTGCACATTTTGTAACGAATGACCAATACTTGGATTTTAACAGTTGACGGATCGCACTCATCGCGTGGGACGTTCTTGGATAAGCTACCTTACTAGACAACACTTGAGTTTTGACCGAGGGCCTAACAAGGAGCAATATAAATAGGTTGACCTTCGTGCAGTACGAGTATGTGTTTGTACGTCTTACGAAGTAGGCTCTGCGCTATATATAGATATTTTGGGTGGTGACTCTTTGCGTGTGCACCGTTTGTCCATTCGCAACTGGTTCTAGGTGCGTGCGCTGACGGAGGCATTTTAATTTTTTCGTGTCCTGCGCCGGCAATTGGCGAATGGAGCTTTAACGTTTTACATCTAATGCTGGAGTGATTGATTTATTTAGCACACGCGCGTGCGGCATTACGTCGCCATTTGTCCGCAGCGTAAAATGTTGATGGGGGAAATCTTCCCGCGGGCGGCATGTAGTCTCGCTCGGACGGCGCTTGCGATGACTGCCAACGTCCCAACACAAACCAAACGAAGGACGAATTGTAGATGGGAGTGGCCGTTCTTGTCCCGTGGCAGGGATGGTGATGGCCGAGGTGGCTTACAGCACTTTGTAGAATTATACAACCAGCAGCGAGAGAGGCGATAGCAAAGTGTGGAATGGTGGGTTTTGACAAGTTGAGATGAAGCACTTGCTTGGACATCCTTTCCACACGGTGGTTACTGTGGCCACTGCTAATAATGTGGAATTAACAAAACGTAAGCCGGGCCAACCAGTCCATTGAGCAATTGTTCAACCAAACGTACGGATGCACTTAAGAGTATAAAACGCAACACGAGGTTATCGAACGCAGACACGGCCCTAAGCCCCTGCGTAGGAGTGGATATGGCACAGGACGCGCTCTCGCCCCTCGGTCCACTACCTAGAGCCTCCCGGCTCCGTGAGCTGCGTGTGCCGTGTGGTGAGAGGTGAGAGGGCGTTGCGATGCCACCCTCCGTCGCTGCTGCTTGTTCGTAATTATTGGGTCCCAGGGCCACGATGATTAATCGACTGTCGGTTCAACAGCGGTGATGCAACTTGTATGGCGAAACCTTCGGAGTTCTAATCCTGCCAATTTGGTTATGCACGCACTTGCGAAATCTTTCAGTTTAGTTGTTCTGAGGGCATTATAAATCGGTGTGCTTCGGGATTAAGGAATGTACAGGAATCGTCTGGCTAAATCAGTGTGCCAATGATGATTATTGTTTTGAGCACTGCATACGTTATGCCAAATGATCGAGGATTGTATAAGTGTAGGTTTAGGGTGGTGGTTGTGAGATTGGTGGTGAGCGAAGTGAGAATGGAGGTTGTTTCAATTTAAAGCTTTCGTGACTGCAGGGATTCATCTTCTTGGTTCTTTCGGTAAAGTCACGTAGAATGGAAATAATAAAATAATAAAAATAAAACATAATAAAATAATTCTCACTAAGAATTGCGATAATTATTTGTGAGAATTATTTTATAATGTTTTATTATTATTTTATTTCCATTCTACGTGACTTTACCGAAAGAACCAAGAAGATGAATGGAGGTGTTGTTAATCAAAAAACGCTCTTGGCAATACTGTTGCATTAAAAATATATATGTGTGTCTGCACCCATTGAGATGGCCGGTTGTGTGGAGTGGGGGTCCACATCCTACTCCGTCCTGTTGGGTGGGTCAGGTGGGACGATGAAGGGCACGGTAAAGGACGGTCGGTTATGGCCACTCCCTTGGAGGTGAGGTCACCGCTTTTGGTCAGACTCGGGACTCAACAGAGTTCTCGATCTGCCTGGTGCCTTCCACGAGCTGGACCCAGCCTCGAGCGTCAGCAGAACTCTCGACTCTCAGTTGAGTCCCTCGATTGAACAACTCGATTCGATGGCGGCGCGTTTGCCTGCACGCTCTTAACAGACCACACACGTGCAAATGTTGACCTGCCCGTGCCGCGAACGTGCGGGGCGCAGTTCAGCGAATGTCGTTTCAAGGTTATCGAGGAGCAATGCAAAGCAGGCTTTGATCAGCCAACGAGGCGTTTGTAGAACGTTTTAGGGAATGTGATTTACTGTTCAATGGATGCACACACACACACACGCACGCCTTACACGTTAACATGTATCATGGTGTATTCACACAAACTCGCTATACATTTTGATTAGTATATTGATGCAAACACGCCTATACGTCTTTGATTAGCAATCGCTCGTCAATTCTTAACAGCCGGCTTATACGATTGTAATATGTTACACATTTGGGTGGGTGGGTGGAGGTCGCATTAATTACCAAAGTGCGTAGTTCGCTACAAAGTGGTCCTTGAAGAAGGCGTGATGTCGTCTGTCAGAAGAGCGGGTCATTATGTACCGATGTCAAGTGTCAGATTGCAAATGTTCAAATTACCAGAAACTAAAATCGAAGAGAAACCCTGATGTCAGTGGGTGCAAAAATCATCACTGTTTTTACATCAATGTCCGTTCTGGAAATGGATAATGAATTCTCGATGGCCTCACCTGGTCTTTGAGTTATAATTTGCCCAGGCGCGAGTCATAAATTGCCCGATGCTTGAGTCACTGTCTTAACGGTCCAATGGTCGACGATCACTCTTGATGATGCGGAAGTGATGGTGGCGACACTGGGCACGTAATGATTATCTTGGGATTCGAATTGATCCGCGCACGCACTTCGCGATGCAATGCATCCAATTCCGAGCGCGACAATCGTTTACAAATTTTGATTTAAAGCTTTCGTGACTGCAGGGATTCATATTCTTGGTTCTTTCACGTAGAAGGGAAATAATAAAATAATAAAAATATAAAACAATTATTATTTTCCTTCTACGTGATTTTGCCGAAACAACCAAGAATATGAATCGTTTACAATTTACGATCATTATGTACAAATGTTCAAGTTGAGAACTAATGGAGCCGAACACTGTCGTGTGTAGGTGAGACTGCATTAACTGAGAAGGCTGCAAGAGATACAAGAATAAATTGCAATCCTGTGACAATCCAATTGAGATGGGGGGTGGGGGGGAGAATCAATACATGCCAAGTGTTGTACATAAATATACCAATTCCAGCATGGGCACGCGACTCGGCCTGATTTGACCAATTGGTGAGTGTGTGGCTTGCGGCACCCTAATCAATCACCAGCTCTGGCTGAGTGTCGTAAGTAGCGGTAACTCGGAAAACGATCAGCCGTCCATTCTGTTCATTATGCGTTTAGCAACTGTTACGTGGCAACTAATTGACCACATTAAAGCCAACGGCTAGCAGGTTTTACAACGCGAGGTTCTCCATTTCTAGTATCTCATAGTAAGGCTGCTGGCATACACATGGGTCCTGTAAAGTAGTATCTCACATTGATTTGCCAACTTACAATTAAGATTCCATGGGATTCAATAACTGCCTAGCTCCCCCCTCCCCCCGTCTCTTTTTTTTACTTTTATCTTTTGCACGTGCACTGATGTAGTCACTTCACAAGATATTCAGCCTCCGGTCTCCACCGAGGTCCAGTTTCACCGCATCTGCCAATCGATAGCTGCCGCCCACGCTACGCCCTTGTTTATTCTTCGGGAGTGCACCTTGAACCGGCTAAGAATGCAAGGAGATCCATTTGGTTCTGTGACCTTCGCGAAAAAGACACGTGGCTTGTGAAATGTTCCGCGTAAAAAAAAAACAATTAGCAGCGTGAAACATGAAAGGCAACTTTGATGTTGATTCATGTTGACATTGGCCTCATGACGTGGACATTAAAATTTCAGCTGGACTTATTTTCAATGTGCCTTCCGCTCCCCTATGAATGGGCTGATTTGATACGATTATATGGCCTTGAAATTGAGAATTGTAAAATTAAGGTGGTTTCATTCAGTGTAATTGGTTCACAGTTTCGGACATGGAAGTGTGCTATTAAAATGCCCGGCTTTCTAGCCTCATGGAAAACGTCACAATTGAGTCAAGGGCTGCAGCACCGTTGGTGGGCTCGGAAAATCTGGACCGGAGTGAGGCATGGAGACTGGAGTTTGTTCGAGTGCTTGCGTTATTTTTGGACCAAATAATGGATGATTATCACTCCCAACCTCTCGCGTTGTCGCTCCGCTGTGCATTACTGCGGTACGTTGTGCGCTGTTGGGCTCTTACTTTATTTCCAATTTATGAAGCTCGTCACGTTTTCACTTATTTATTGCGGTCATCAATTCATGTTCTCTTCAGCTTTACATTCACGTGATTTGTTTCTGTGCAATAAAGTGGAGAATGTATTGTTACGCATCCGAACTCTGTCGTTTTTTGTGACATTTAAACTGGCCCAGTGCGTTTCGCCCCGACTTGACTTATGTACTCTGTCCACTGATGAATCAAAGTAGTCGACTGACTAATTCAGTCAACACACCGGTGGGCTAAAGTAGTGAACTATTTGTCGTTTGTCAACGTGACACATTTTTTTACTGATTGGCCGTGTCGGGTGGTGGAGGGTTGCGACACGTTTATAAATAACGCGATCTCACCCCAAAACCTTTACTATGAATAACACTGGTCAACACACTTTTTCTGGCATAAGGTATTTCAACGGGTTTAAGGTAATTTTGGGGTGCTGATTCTGAATCTGGCATCAGTTTTTGTCTCATCAAATCAGGTTTTTGAGATCTCAAATATTGCATTTTCAATAAAAACTGCAGAAGAAAAATATTAAATAAATGTGGATATCTACATAAAATTATATTATAAATACACTTTTCAAAAAATACAGCACCATATTTTAACACTAAAGCAGTCACTGACTCGCAACGACCTGCGATCATAAGTGACAGAGTTAATTTCGGGTAAAATCAATGAAAATGGGGTATGCCGATAGCATAAAATGAGATGTGATAGAGCAAATCTGAGATCAGATTTGGAATCAGCACCCTGAAATTAGTCTAAAACAGCTGCAAAAGTCCAGGCCAGAAATTGTTTTTGTTGACCAGTGTTATTCAGTCCTTTCGAAGGTGTCTGAGTGGCTAAGGGGAGTGCTCATTGGCGGTGGCACTGAGCCCACGCTGCTGAGATTCTGCATTCAAATTGAGGATTCAACTTCCATGGTGTTTCAACCAGTCGCTCGAGTTGTTCGCTGATGATCTTTACTCCACCTGTGGCCACAAATGCCAGCGCACAAAGAACCTTCCTGTCATTTGGACCGTACCTTCATTTGACACGTTTCAGTAAAAAAAAAACTCGATTAATCCGAGTTTGATTTTGTCGTGCGACGCACGTTCTTTCCACATCCCCCAAACTAATAAATACAACTATCACTGCACTGTTGAGCTCTGAAGTAAAACACTTGTCGCCCTCCACAGGGCTCGTCTGAAGTTATGATACAATGTGACGTTCCACGTGGAAGTTTCATCTCGGGCCGTGATGCCAGCAGGAAAACTACGATACAAAAATGGTGTTAAAGTTTCGTCTATGCCGCCTCCCAAGCTGCGGTGTGTGTGGGGTGGGGGGTGTGATGCGTCCCGAATGCGGCAGCAGCTGCTGCTAGGCTGGAGGGGAAGGTCGCTTGCGTCCCAGGTGACGTGCAGGGTCTTCTCCCTCCAGCAGAGCTGCCTCCTCTTGTCGCACCGATACCGCACAAACCCTGCGCACCCCCCCCCCCCCACAGCACGGCCCAACATCAAACGCGGCCTTCAAAGAGTTAATCCGTATAACAATAATATGTGGGCTATGACGAGATGTGTGTTTTGTTGTTGCACCGTGTGATGGGTTTAGAGGAAGACAGTCTCACAATGATGGTATTCATAAACACATTAAAATGTTACAATACAATTAAGTTGCCTTGCTTTCATGCTACACCCGTCGTTCTAGGGATTCCTCAAAGGGGGTGGATTCTGCTGCTCTTCTTGGTTCTTTCGGTAAAGTCACGTAGAAGGGAAATAATAAAATAATAAAAATAAAACATAATAAAATAATTCTCACGACGTTTCGGCCACAACGCGAGCAGCCGTCCTCAGGTGAAGAACAGGTCTGTCGGAAAGACAGGTCCGACAGACCTGGTCTTCACCTGAGGACGGCTGCTTGCGTTGTGGCCGAAACGTGAGAATTATTTTATTACGTTTTATTTTTGTATTATTTCCCTTCTACGTGACTTTACTGAAAGAACCAAGAAGATGAATCCCTGCAGTCACGAAAGCTTTAAATCGAAAATTTTCTGCTGCTCTGTTACGATAGCCAGATGCCTTAATCGGGCTTGGTCCAAAATATATATTTTTATATTAAAAAAAAACACTTGTTTACCTGTTGATTCGAGACCCCCTTGTGGCCGACTGGACCACTAAGCGTCGCATAACGCTGCCACGGAGCCCCCAATAGTTAGGCTCCTGCCTTCGTCGCACTCCAACTCAACAGAACCCTGACCAGAACCACACTCGTCATATCCACGCACTACCCCGAACCACAGCAGCCAACCAGACGACAGCCATCACCCCAACATTAACAAACCAGACGACCAGCACCTCTCAAGATTCCAACCTCTCGCCCGATACCTCTAAGGATAACCTCTAGGCTAGGGGAACCAAATCCTCAGAGGGCCAAGTCGGATTTCCAAATACCTTTGGCAGACAGCCACAACATTATCGCACGCGTTTCGGCCACTTTAATCACTTCAAGATGCCCGCACTAAAATTATAACCGCTGATTTTTTTTTTCCCGGTCGATTTTTTTCTCTCTCTCTCTCCCATAGTACCCGATGACTGCAGCTCAGATGCTTGCAACGCCGGATGCCCCAACAACCGCCGCTTGCGATCCGTTTCGAAGCGGTAGGGCGTGGTCCATATAGGTTCTCCTACAGACCAAACCCTCACACTGTCGCCGACACTGGCACCTCGCTCTTCCCTCGACTCGTGTGTTACTCGCACATCTGGTGTTCTGAGTAGCACCACCACCACCATCATCATCATACCGAGTGCAAGTGACTTACGGGACCCAACGAGGCATCGGACTCGCCCTTGGCTCCTGTCGCCCCCCACGTTGCACCCTTGAGACCAGCAGCACCTGCAGCAAGCAGGAGTTTGAGCCACACACACCATGTACATGAGTCATGCACCGCACACACCACGTATGTATTCTGAACTTTTTTCGCACCGTACGTAGCCAAGCGTGCTAATCAGTGGTGCGGCGGAAGGACAAACTAAACAAAAGTTATCAAGAAATAAGTTTACAATGTAGATTTAAAAGTGCATAGCTCCAGTGGCTTCCTAATATCGAAAGGAAGGACCGTTCCAGACGGCCACAGAAGCGCGCGATGCAGTCGTCGTCCTTGTTTGATGGCCCAGTCAAAGGCAGATGCGAGGGTGACACGTGGTGTCTCGTCGGTTTGATGGCCCATGACACGCACGGAATGTACGGCCCGGGACTGAACCCGACTCAGCACGGCGAGCAGTGTTGTATTGATGAAAATAAACTCGACATTTATAGTTCACATTTCTGCATTGCGAGCATTGTATTCTCTTCTAGTTGGCAGTAATTATTGCAGTAGCAATAATTAGTTGAGCTCACTAGCCACAGACGTGAGAAGGTGGCAGCCACCTGGTGAGCCGGTGCCAATAATTGTCCAAGCTCTGAAAGTCCTCTATGTGTTCAGGAGTTATCAGCCAATGAGTGAGTGCTTTCCCATGTGGGAGGAAACCAGAGCAACCTGGAGGATCCCCACGCATGCAAGGGGGCAACACTCGATCCCATACAGACGGAACAAGTGGAGTCCATCTTCTTGGTTCTTTCGGTAAAGTCACGTAGAATGGAAATAATAAAATAAAAAAATAAAACATAATAAAATTATTCTCATAGTGAGAATTATTTTATTATGTTTTATTTTTATTATTTTATTCTCACTATGAGAATTATATTTTATTATGTTTTATTTTTATTATTTTATTATTTCCATTCTACGTGACTTTACCGAAAGAACCAAGAAGATGAATCCCTGCAGTCACGAAAGCTTTACATCGAAATTTAAGTGGAGTCCACTTTTGCGTTACCGCCGTCCCCGGCAACACGTGTGCGATCCACCAATCCCTTCGTTGCCTCCACAGTGCTGCGTGGACGGCCACGTGCGTAGCCACCACAGCACGAACAACATCTGTGGCCAGGTCGCTTCTGAAAGATAAGTTAACATACCTCGGTTGTCTTTACCGAGTAAGATAAAAAAAATCGTTTAGTTTTTTTTGTGTATTTTTAAAAGTTTTTTTTTACCTTTCCGATAATTTGCACTCCAAATCGTGTTTTTGTTGTTGTATAACGTTCTGACTCACCGCTGCTGGACACGTGAAAAAAGAGCTTTATAGCTCATCGGATTCCTCCCGGGTAAATAAACACTCTGATTCTGAACATTGTGCGTCACGGGGAGTGGGTGCAGCATTGTTGCTGCTGCTGTTGTTGTTGCTGCTGCTGTTGCTTCTGTTGTTGTTGTTCAATGGCTGAATGCACGCACGTGGCCGGGGCGGGCGCCAGTCCGTGGTCCCGCGGAACCCGCCCGGTAGCGCAGGACGAGCAGCGTCCCCGCGTGTCGCTGCCCGCACGAGGCGCGCAGCACGCAGCCCTGGCGCGCGCCCTCGCCGGGGATCCAACCGGGCGACACCCGTCGCCACGGCCACAGCGGCCGGCACACTGACGCACACAAACAAACACAGATTCCAACCCCCAACCCCCCCCCTCGTGTGTAGCCTTAACAGACTGTAGGGGCAAGTGCTGTTAGCGAGCACCTATGAAGGCCGGCACGGCACACGAGGGCGTGGGGTGGCCAATACCGCAGCCCGATGTTTACGCACAGCACCAGGTATTCATTTGAGGCTGAGTCGACCTAGGCGAGGCACGGGACCGGTTCAGATATTCGTCGCTGTTGGTGGTGGCCGTGCGCGGGAATCGAAGTCGGGTCGCCGGGTTCGTAGCGAAGCGCGCTGACCGCTACATTATCACTCCCCCACACTGACGCACACACAAATAATAACTTTGTAATAATATTAACTTGTAAGGCACCGCTACACAGAGTAACCGCTTGCTGCTCTTGAATAGAAAGAGAGAGAGAGCGACTCAGAGGCGCGAGGAACCGCAGACACGCGGTGAGCCCGCGCCAACAATTTCCCAAGCTCTGCGGTCCCATCCATATTAAGGTGTGTTCAGACAATGAGTGTCGACAAACACACGTGCACGACCACCACGAGACTGTGCCCAAAAGCACACACTCGCGAATCGCCGAAGTGCACGATGCAATTCCGTTGGCGCAGGTGATGGCCATGATTATTACCTGTTATTTCGCGTATTTACCCAGTCCCGTGGCTCGTTGTTGAGGAGGGTCCAGCCAAGTTGGGTGCGCCCTTGTTGATTGCAAGCAATCCTCGGCGAAGTGTGATGCAACTGATTGTATTTGTTACGTGGTCTGTACGTGGCATGTCGTGAGCCGTGCCATCATCACTGTTGGACCAGCATTGTTGTGAAATGTAAATGGATGGCAGTGACATCACAATAATTCCATAAATGACGCACGACACGTTTCGCATGAACAAAGCGTCAAAATGTGCGTATGGCAGTCTGTGACACACGCACAGATACTCGAAATGCACGTTGATTCTAAATGTGGAGGTAAAAACAGGAGACCCGGAGAAAAATCAACGCGACCACGGGGAGAACACGCCAACTCCAAATCTTTGGGCGTCAGGGTCGACATGGAACCCACGACGTCCTGTATACTGGGCGAGGTAGTTAACACCTCGCCACCATGGCACCCCTTGCATCTTCCCGTAGCATGTATGTTGAACTTCGTTCGCACCGTACGTACCCAACCGTGCTAATCGGAGGTGCGAGCGAAGGACAACAAACTAAACACAAGAAGCTGTTCTCAACAAATGAGTTCCTTCAATCGAGATTCTAAGGGTGCAACGGCTCCAGTGGCTTCCTCGTCGGAATGAAGAGCGTTCCAGACGGCCGCCGCGGGATGCAGTGACCGCCCTTCGTTCGACGGTCGAGCTTTCTCCCCTCGCCACGTGCACCGAGTTTCGCCACTGAAGCGAGCGATGCGATTGCATTAACCGTGCCCTGCCCCCCCCACCCCACGCTGGGAACGCGTCGACGAGGATCTACTGACCGATCATCGCCGGCGGCGTGGGCTGGAGCTCGGCTGTCCGGTTGGAGGTGCTCGAGTCCAGGTCACGGCCGCGGGAGGTCGCCGCACCTGCGCCAAGGACACAGCGAGTTCGTCTCGGGCGCACGGCAACAGCGTGTCCATTGAGTTTGTAAACATGAAGCAAACGACGACAAACATCCCCCTCCCCCGTATAGGGCATTGATCGACTTTTGTCAAGGCGCATTTCCCCCCCCCTTCCAACCCAGCTTAAATAGACGCTCCAAGCGTGGTGGTGTTTCATTTAGACGCTGTCGCCTCGACAGACCTGGTCTTCACCTGAGGACTGCTGCTTGCGTTGTGGCCGAAACGTCGTGAGAATTATTTTATTATGTTTTATTTTTATTATTTCATTACTTCCCTTCTACGTGACTTTACCGAAAGAACCAAGAAGATGAATCCCTGCAGTCACGAAAGCTTTAAACCACTATTATTATATTTTGGCACTGGTAAAGGAGGTCTAATGATGTAAAGACATTGACAGACTGTTTGTTGGGGCAAGTGCTGTTCGTGAGCCAGTCAGCTACGAATGCCTGCACGGCACACGAAGAGGGGTGGGTGGCGTGGTGCTTGTCACCCACTCACTCGTGTGCCCGTTGCGGCATTCATCGGTGCTACTCGCTAAAGCACTTGCCCATGCAGTCTGTTAAAGGCTATACGGGGGATCTTTGTCTTTGCGTGTGGTTCATACGTGGCACCTGTTAGGGCCGGATTATCCGTGTAACAAAAGTCGCTACACATGTAGTAGCCACGGGCCGCGAACTTTCAAGGGCCCCGCGCTAAATGTTTTCAAGCTATCAATTTCGGTTCAGTGATTCTGCACTTGCTCTATTACTATAGTACTATACCGCCTTCTACTTTCATGAACGACTGGGTGTTTAAGGTTAGCGATTTGTCGTATTATCTGGCTGTATAGCAAATGAAAAAATTACAATTACTTTACTGTGCAAGTTAAACATTTATGTTTTAATATTTACGTGTTTTTTAATTTTATGTAGGACCCCTTTATAGCATCATATGCTGCAGGCCCCGCACTTGCTTCATCTGGCACTGGGCGTCTTTTAACTTGCCCAGTAACCACCGGGAGGCATTCGCCAAGGGGACTCCCCACAACTCCCAACATGCGACTGCAACTCACACCCCACTGGGTCTTTTTTAAATCCTTTATATTAAGTTCACTTGCTTGCGCGCTTACGACCGTGCAAATCTTTCGGTCGTTTTTTAACCCACTTCCCGTGATCCAATCGAGCTGACATTTTGCACACAGACTCGTTGTGCGTGACAATTTATTTTCGTGAAATTTTTTTTCCAAAATTTTCCACTTTTTAGGATTTTTTTTTCAAATTTTATTTAAAATACCAATGTGATAAAAATGAAACTCTTACTCAAGAAAAACAGAAATGAATAATAAAATAAAACCGATGCCACGCATATAAAGGATTTATAGTGAAAAACTTTGTTTTTACGGGTTAATTTTTACCGGCCACGGTGCCTCTGCTCGTTGCGGAGGAGCTGCCGCGTTCGTCCGATCGATCGGCGGTCACGGGGGGAGCGTCACTCGAGGGCGGAGGAGGCGGGAATGCGTCTCCTGCCACGCGGAGACACCGGTACTCGCTGTGACGAGCGCCGCAGACACGATTGGGACAATACGAGCCGACAGAATGGAAAGGGGTTAATACACGCATTGCGACAATGCAGCCGCGTGAGATCTCTGTTGTCATGGCTTGTTTGAATCTCGCCACGGTGGCTAGGAGATGTTAACTACCTCGCCTGGTATACAGGATGGTCGTGGGTTCGATCCCGGCCCTCACCGGTGCCTGCTGCAGGGAGCACGGTCGACTTTGGAAGGGAGGGAAGAAACGTGGGGCCCAGGGTGACCTCCTCCACCGTCTGCCGCGTGGCTCCATCAGCACCACCACCATCACCACCACCATCACCACCATCAGCGCCACCACCACCATCAGCACCACCACCACCACCATCACCACCACCATCACCACCTGGGACAAACGACGAGTCCCTGCCACTGGCGTTTTGTGTTCGCAGCGGGCAAGCCCAGGGAGACCACCAGCCATCGTTCCTTCTGGAAAGGGGCCTTCTTCAAGCAACTGAATGTCCTATACAGGGCGCCATGGTGGCGAGATGTTTAACTACCTCGCCTGGTATATTGGATGACCTGGTTTCGATCTTGACCCTGACGCCTGATGTATATTTGGAGTTTGCATGCCTCTGTCCCCGTGGTCGCGTGGATTTTTCTCCGGGTCCTCTGGGGTTTCCCTCCACATTTAGAAACATGCATTTAGAATCTTTGGCTGCTATATATTTCCACATGATAAGCTAATTCGTTGAGCTATAATTTGTGGCCAGCTTGCTTCCAAAAAAGTTATAACTCAGTGGGCCTTACCTGGTAAAATATAAAATAGTTTAGTTTTTAGTTTAGGATGTTTTGCGCTTCTCTGTCTAATCACATCCCAATTGCCCTACTTGCTCTGTCCGGGTCGGTGACCCACAACACATTTTCTCCAAACCCTTTTTCGTTCTGCCAGCGACCAACCCACATAGGTGCAGGTGATTAGGCAACAAGTGGAGGGAGGGAGACCTGGAGACAGTGAGGAGGTGGTGGTGGTGGTGGTGCTGGAGGAGAACTGGAGACGTGGAGGGGTGGCAAGGTGAGCTGAGAAGGAGCGGGGAGGAAGGAAAATGCACAAAATTATTCTTTTTTAGGGGGTAAATTGTATTTCTCACAAAAAACATCTCGCCACGAGGGGGCGCTGCTGTATCTAAACTCATTTTCCCCACTCACGCCCCACACCGGGGTGGACATTACCCGATTAGCGCCCCCTCGTGGTCACCAGTGGCGTTGACTGCTCAAAGTAATACTCTTCGGTTCTTTCGGTAAAGTCACGTGGATGAAAAATAAAATAAAAATAACAGTAAATTAAATCACGACGTTTCGATTGCAACACAAGAAAAGAAAGAACCAAAGAGTATGGATCCTTGCATTCACGAAAACTTCAAATCTAGAATGCTCAAAGTCAGTTTAACACGAAGGCTCTCTGAAAGCCGTTAAGCCGAGCCAGCCCTCAGTGACTCTCCCTTCGCAGTGGGGTTTCTCAAACTCTTTTGGCCCACGAACCACTCGGCCGATGCAAACATTTCCGCGGGCCACCCAGCCCCACACCCCTTGGTGACGAAACGCATTCACTTCTCTCTATAAATACCAGGTGATACTAAATCATGCCGTGTCAACCCACACGGCTTACCCCGTATTCTTGTACCGGGGAAATTGAGTTTGCAGGTCCATTCGGCGTACAGCCGTTTCAATACGGGCACATTTTTTAAGTCTATTTGTTTGTGTGTCTCCCTTGTGATGGGAATTTGAAGGATGAACGTTGAGATGTATAAGGGGCACGGGGTGACCAACGAGGTCTGAATTGGTCTGTAACAAGGTAGGGCACTGATAAGGGGTTGACAGGTATGCTAAATCATTCATATTACCGGAATTTTATTAAGTTTACACGCAGATCTACGTTTTTTTAGGGGGTGACATTTAGATCTTAGGGTTAGGGTAATTTAATCAGGGTAGTTTTACGAACTTCATTTTTTTTAAATGAACTATCGTAAGTAAAATATGAATTAACGTCAGAAACAAAAGGTGTAAACGTTGTCATTAGTTCTGGATCGGCTGCGTTTGCATCGCAGCCACCGCGAACCACTACACGAGAGCCACCTTAACCCAGCCGTAACACCTCACCCCCCCCATCACATCACACCATCACTCCTTCCCTTCACCACCCATCACACCCCTTCCTCCTCCACAAACACTCCACCATCATCTCACACCATCACTCCTTCCCTTCACCACCCATCACACCCCTTCCTCCTCCACAAACACTCTCCCATTACCTCACACCATCATCTCACACCATCACTCCTTCCCTTCATCACCCATCACATTCCTCCCTCCTCTACACTACTTCACCCGTTACCTATTCCATTACTTCGTATTTCCTGAATTGATGGTTGATGGGGTGGGGGGGGTATGAATAATCATCCACAGCAGTGGGAATTTCTACTTTATTACCGGGCGGAATGTTTGCTCCGATACGGCGGCTCACAGTAGGTAGTGTAGTGGTTAACGCGCTGTGCTACGAACCAGGCGACCCGAGTTCCCGCTCACGGCAAACACCGGTGACGATTATCCGAACTGGCCTCCTCTAGGTCGACTCAGCCTCAAGTGAGTATCTGGTTCGGTGTGTAAACATCGCCACGAGGGAGACAAAGGCGGCTGGGCGGGGTCCTGGCAACACATCCCCCTCTCGTGTGCCGTGCCGGTCTTCATGAGGTGCTCGCTAACACCACTTGCCCCAACTCGCTGTGCAGGCTACACGGGGGACCGTTGTCTTTGGTGCCTCACCCGTGCGGGCTGCAGGGAGCACGGTCGCCGTCGGCAGGGAGGGAGGAAACGTGGAGCCGAAGATGACCTCCTCCACCATCAGCCGCGTGGCTCCACCACCACCACCATCACCACCTGGGACAAACGACGAGCCTCTGGCGTTTTGTGTTCACAGCGGGCAAGCTCTGGGAGACCACCAGCCATCGTCCCTTATTTCTAGATTTGAAGCATTCGTGACTGCAAGGATTCATACTCTTAGGTTTTTTCGGTATTTTTTACTTTAATTATTTATTTTTACCGACGTGACTTTACCGAAAAAACCTAAGAGTATGGTAAAATAAACATTTTTTTATAGTAAAATAGGTTTAACTTCCTGAAGAGGCTCCCATTACGCGGAGTGAAACGTCGGACTTCGTGCCTAACAACGCGCGGCACGACCCGAAAACCACGCATCGGTGCCAGACTGCTCCCATCCATGCAACCGTGGAATTTCCACGAATGTACTCTTAGCTTTTTTTGGTAAAGTCACGTAGGGAAATAAATAAAAAATAAATATAAATAATATAAATAATAATAGAAGTAAAAATTATCAATCACGACGTTTCGGAGGCAACACAAGTCTCCGTCATCAGGTGGGGCCGTCACAGCCAGATTTACTGTATCGTGGTTTATAATTTTTATTTCTATTATTATTTCTATTATTTTTATTATTTATTTTTTACCCACGTGATTTTACCGAAAAAACCTAAGAGTATGAATCCTTGCAGTCACGAAAGCTTCAAATCTAGAATTTCCACGAATGGTTTAGGGCTACCATTGAAGATGAATACCGGGGGATGCTCACTTTGGGCACGCAAATGTCGGGCACAAGACGTTGATGGCGGTCTGTGAGCGTGCGCCCGTGGAGGTGGTTCGTGAAGGACGCTGCTGCTACTGGTCACTTGGAAGGAGTCGCCCTCCAACAACAACGGAGGGCAAAGGAGCGACGCTCACAACAACGGGAGCGCCGTATGGCGAGAATGCAGCACGTTGGGCACAGTCGGGGGCACAGGTGGTGCATCTGCCGGTCATCTCAGTCGGTCAACCCACGGCACCTCGGTCTGTCCCGTCACCTCCCGTCATCGAGCCTTCAATACTTCACGTGACCTCAATGTGCACCTAGCCTGGCACAGGCGCCGTGGTGACGTCACCGCCACTTCGTGGCGAATGGCGGGTGTTGTTGTTGTGCATGTCACCACTGCGCTGGTGGTGTTGTTGTTCTTGTTATTTACAGGCTCCATCAGCTCGTGATTACACCAAGTTCTTAGAGTTGATGGTCTCTCAGCGCGATCACTAATAACTCCACCAAAAAACCCCATCACAATAACTTTGGTGAGTCACTTAAATTGACTTACCCCAACACTGAAATGTACAATTTCCAAATCGATTGGCATGCGATGAACAACCTTGGCAGCACATTGCATGCTTGGTTACGTACGGCGCGAAAGAAGTTCAGCATACTATGGGGACCTCATTTGCCAGTAAAAATATGATAATTGGTTCTTTACCCTTCTATCTGGCAACAAAACTGACACCTTTTTGCAAGGAGTCATGTTTGCATAGACCGCAATACCTGCAGTCATAATACAAACAAAAGAACATAACTCTGATAATGTGCACTGGACCAATCAACTTCAAGGACAGTGCACATTATCAGAGTTATGTTCTTTTGTTTGTATTATGACTGCAGGTATTGCGGTCTATGCAAACATGACTCCTTGCAAAAAGGTGTCAGTTTTGTTGCCAGATAGAAGGGTAAAGAACCAATTATCATAAGTTCAGCATACATACATTGTGGGCAACAATGTATTGCGGGGTGCGTTCAGAAGTAGTTCTGTTGCCTCCTCGTTCTAGTTCCCATTGGTGCCGTGGTAGTCGCCAGGATGTCCCGATGGGCACGTGCCATTGTCCCGCCGACGCGATGTCACGGGCCACGACAGTTCCTATTGATCACTGTTACATTGTTTTTATGGCTTTATTTTGGTGATTTTGAAAACTTTTGATTTAGCCATGTTTGTTTGTTGTAGCACAGAGTTAGGCCGATAACTTTAATCTAAATTGTCTTATGGTTGTTATTGTTTGACTTGCATCCTACTGGGATTTTTACACACAGCGTTGAACATACGGTGCTTTTTCTGGAAGACTTTGCTGTTTTCTCCCCCAGGATATTTGTTGTTGTTGCGTGTAGTCACTTTAAGATGTTTCTTGTTCATGTTTTTATTTTGTTGCGGTTGCACCCGAGTCAAGAGCCGCGTGACTCACAGGGTTATACCTAATAAATGAAACTGAAATGAAACTGAAAACGATCGCGATGCAATTGAGGACAGACGAAAAAAAATATCAACAAAAATCCAAAGCCGCACGCCAACATCCAGCGGACATCCCCCGCGTACCTTGAGGAGCGAGAGTGGCGTTCTTCGACACCAAGACGCCGAACAGAGGCGGAGAAGGGGGCAGTGACGCGTCTGCGTGATGAGAACACGGATGGTAACGAGATCCAATCGTGAAGAGGGGAGGAGGGAGGGGGGAAGTAACAAAAACAAAAAAACATTAAACATCAAATGGCTGCATCCTTGATGTGTCGCATTCTCAGAAGCTGAAGAGATGAAGGGAATGGGAGGATCGAAATCACACGACGCGGAGAGAGTCGAGCTCAGAGAGACGAGGGGGTGGGGTAGGCGGCGATGTCCGGCTGTGATCGAGCAACTTGTTTCAGTTACCTTGAAGTGTCGCGGAAAAGCACAGCACGTTGCAGTTGGGAGTGATGTCCTGCGCTGGAAGCCAACGAATACAACAAGCACGAGTCAATTGACGGGTTGTTCAAACATTCTGCACTTGGGCTGATTTTGCAAACGAAGATGTCGTTTTTCTGCTTGTGTGTCTGTCTGTGTGGCTCCGTGGCTGTGTTTTGTCTCTCGCTCTCAAATTTAGTAATCTTTGGAAGAACGTAAATCAGCCAGGTTGGGTGTTGACTGTTATGTTAGCCGACTCTCTGTGTTGTATTGCATTGTATTTCTAAGTTTACTAGGTTTGTTTTCTCATTCATTCGTACCTGATGACGATTGCTTGTGTTGCAATCGAAACGTCGTATTCTGTTATTTAATATATTTTTCTTTCTACGCGACTTTACCGAAAGAACCAAAAACGAAGATGTCACCGTTTACAATGAAAAAAGAAACGCACTCTAGGGGCTACCAGTTGATGAAAAACTATCGCGGTTGGCTGCGTACGGTGCGAAAGAAGTTCATACATACAAAGATGCAAATGTGAAATTATTCCGATAATCTACAAATGGGTAACTGACCGAGAGCCCCGATATGTGCAAGACGTCATTGTTACGACTCTTGCATCCTTCAAATGCCTTTGATCCTTCGGTAGTTTGTTTTACAAAATAGTATATACTCCTAAACAGATTTTCCCACGGCAGTTGCAAGTTTTGGAATCGGCCGCCTTTGGAAATAGTTTTGTTGCTGTTCGCTGTCAATTTCAAATTACCAAAAGCGGCTCACCCTCTTCTCTTTTGCCTTTTCATTGCGTAATGACAGTGGAGTCTACAAGAGGTGTGAGTCGACTAGTGGCCACGGGAGGTAATGTCAGGGGAGTCAGTTGTGAATGTGAAGGGACTGGTGGTTATGGGAGGTAATGTCAGGGGAGTCAGCTGTGAGTGCGAAGGGACTGGTGGCCACGGGAGGTAATGACAGGGGAGTCAGTTGTGAGTGCGAAGGGACCAGTGGCTATGGGAGGTAATGTCAGGGGAGTCAGCTGTGAGTGCGAAGGGACTGGTGGCCACGGGAGGTAATGACAGGGGAGTCAGTTGTGAGTGTGAAGGGACCAGTGGCTACGGGAGGTAATGTCAGGGGAGTCAGCTGTGAGTGCGAAGGGACCGGTGGCTACGGGAATGATCGAAAAGGGAGCGTGGTCAGGTGACGGAAGAGGACGGTGGAGTCTGCCGGTGGAGCGAGCGTCCAGAGTCAGCGAGAATGATCGAGAATGGGGGCGTGGCCTCGTGTTGGTATAAAAGAGAGATGCGCGGGAGACTCGGAGCTGTTGCAGTGTGGGTCTCCGCCTGTGTCAAGTGAACGTGTCTTCAATAAAGTGCCATCTCAAGAGAAGTGTTCAAGTCATTACAATTGCATCATTTTGATCTCAGTCTGCCTTGAAGAGTTTCCCCAGGTAATGTACGTACGTTGAACTTCTTTTGCACCGTACCTAGCCAACCGTGCTAAATCGGATGTGCTTGGGAAGGACAATTCTGAACACAAAAAGCAGTTCTAAAGAAACGGGGTTTCAGTTGAGATTTAAAAGTAATTTGAAAGGCAATTTTATTTAAAACACCGGTTGCTGAATAGGCTCACTCACACTTACCCGTTAGGGGCTTACGGGGAAAGATCAGCTGTGGGATGATCGGCTCGTTCTTCCCCAGGACAATCACATCGTACACATCTGTAGGGGAGGGGGGAAGGGGAGGGCAGTTAAGGCAAAATTAAAATGTGTGCGATAAGAAAGGACATTTGAATAAAATCCCGTTTAACTTTGTCATGAGTATTTTTTAGTGCAGTTCATCTTATATTGTCAGGAGTCGCTGCTCACTGTGAGTATATGTGTCTCTGTGTAAGTATTTGGGTCACCGTGCGAGTCTATGGATCTCTACGTGAGCCTCTGTGTCTCTGTGTAAGTCTTTGGGTCACCGTGCCAGTCTATGGATCTCTACGTGAGCCTCTGTGTCTCTGTGTAAGTCTATGGCTCACCGTGCGAGTCTATTGATCTCTGTGTGAGTCTATGGGTCACTGTGTGAATTCGTATTCACTGTGAGCCTATGAGTCTCTGTGTGAACTGGTGTCCACTGTGAGTCTATGGGTCTCTGTGTGAACTCGTATTCACTGTGAGTCTATGGGTCTCTGTGTGAACTCGTATTCACTGTGAGTCTATGGGTCTCTGTGTGAGTCTATTGGTCTCTGTGTGAGTCTATGGGTCTCTGTGTGAGTCTATGGGTCTCTGTGTGAACTGGTGTCCACTGTGAGTCTATGGGTCTCTGTGTGAGTCTATGGGTCTCTGTGTGAGTCTATGGGTCTCTGTGTGAGTCTATGGGTCACTGTGTGAACTCGTGTCCACTGTGAGTCTATGGGTCTCTGTGTGAACTCGTGTCTACTGTGAGTCTATGGGTCTCTGTGTGAGTCTATGGGTCTCTGTGTGAGTCTATGGGTCTCTGTGTGAGTCTATGGGTCTCTGTGTGAACTCATGTCCACTGTGAGTCTATCGGTCTTTGTGTGAGTCTATGGGTCACCGTGCGAGTCTATGGATCTCTGTGTGAGTCTATGGATCTCTGTGTGAGCCTATGGGTCTCTGTGTGAACTCGTGTCCACTGTGAGTCTATGGGTCTCTGTGTGAGTCTATGGGTCTCTGTGTGAGTCTATGTATCTCTACATGAGCCTCTGGGTCACTGTGTGAGTCTATGGATCTCTGTGTGAGCCTATGGGTCTCTGTGTGAACTCGTGTCCACTGTGAGTCTATAGGTCTAAGTGTGAGTCTATGGGTCTCTGTGTGAACTGGTGTCCACTGTGAGCCTATGGGTCTCTGCGTGAACTCGTGTCCACTGTGAGCCTATAGGTCTAAGTGCGAGTCTATGTATCTCTGTGTGAGCCTCTGGGTCTCTGTGTGAGTCTATGGGTCTCTGTGTGAACTGGTGTCCACTGTGAGTCTATGGATCTCTGTGTGAGTCTATGTATCTCTACATGAGCCTCTGGGTCTCTGTGTAAACTCGTGTTCCTTGCGAGCGCCCTTCGAAGGAGGGCACAAGTGGGATTCACGCGCTGTCCTCTGCAGCCGGCAGCTGCGATTCACGACTCGGGACACCGATGGCACAGGCTGCCACTCGGTGCGTGCGCGTTCGCCGGGGCGGAGCGGCTACCCACTCGTTTCGTCCGGGTTGGCGGAGTCGACGCAGATGCACTGCCGGCGTGGATGTCTCTCCTGCTGCAGGAGCATCCTCCTGTCCGTCACTGGCAGCAGTCACGGGGGGCGAGTGAGCGAGCGAGTGAGTGAGATCACTCGGCAACGCGCGCGCGTTAGCAAAATAATGCGGGAACAATCGTGCACACGCATGGATTTTCTTTTACGGGGTACGGTTTCCTGCATGCGTTTATCTTCGAAAGCATTTCACGTTTTAACGGGTGAGCGCGTGCGCGCGTGCATTAGCTGCCGTGAGATGTGGAGTAGAACCACGGGCACGAGCAGAACAAATAGAAAGCGTGCGCCAGACACAGAGTGCGCGAAGACGCGTGGCGAGACACGAGCGCGGATTTGCGACGTTTATGTTCTTCTTCTTGGTTCTTTCGGTAAAGTCACCTAGAAGGGAAATAATAAAATAATAAAAAGAAAACATAAATTATAATATTATTATATTATTTTATTATGTTAGATTTTTATTATTTTATTATTTCTCTTCTACGTGACTTTACCGAAAGAACCAAGAAGATGAATCCCTGCAGTCACGAAAGCTTTAAATCGAAATTTGACGTTTGTGTTGTTACGCGTGCGATTCAGCGCCTCTATCACGAGCTTACGAATCGATATACAATGATTGATCGTTAAACCACCGGATGATAAACCCAGACTGTGTAATGGAGCTGGCTTCAGTGTCCACGACAGTCATCCACAGCCCTTCTGTGAGTCCACCGACCGCAAAGTCGCCCACGGACTGGGTCCTTGTACTGGACCTGCACCCCGGGCGAGACCCCAGAGAGGGGTGAATGGACATCGTCTCGCCCTCACCATTGTAGACGTACATGGCCATGGAGGAGAGCGGTGACGAGGAGAAGTTCGCGGACACAGCCAGGGAAGAGAGCTCCGCCTGGGAGGCTGAAAGCACGCGTCATGCACACGCCGCGTGATCAAGTTCAAGTTCAAGTATTAGGTGTAGCCCTGTGAGCCATTCGGCTCTTGAATCGGGTGCAACCGCAACAAATAAAAACATGAACAACTTAAAGTGACTATGTGACTAAGTGCAAACAGAAAATCCAAGAAAAGACAGCAAAATATTGCAGAAAAAACACCGTACACCAACGCTGTGTGCAAAAATCCCAGTGGGATGCAAGTCAAACAACAACAACCACAACATCCACCACGACTCGGCCACACGTGCACAAACAGCAATGCCGTCATTCTTCCCTGCTTCTTACTCCTGTGCAGGGTTTTGCACGGCTCGGTTTCAGCCGGGTCTGTCCGGGCTCATACTTCACCATGTCGGTCAGAGTGGGTTCACTGAAATGGGGTCACCCAGGACCGGCTCGGATATCACTTTTCACCCGATGTTATCCTCTCGCCGGGAATTTAACTCGGGTGTTTTGGGTTTATCACGCAGTGTGCTGCCACTCCATCCCCAATGGTTGTAAAAAGTAGCCATCAAACTAAATTATTTTTATTTTTTATTTGACCAGGTACGGGCCCACTGAGCTATACAGCTCTATTTCAGAAGCGACCTGGCCATCACCAATGAAGCGGCTTATCACGTGGATATGTAGAGCAGCCAAACACTCCAAACGCGTGTTGATTCGAATCGTGGAGGGAAACACCAGAGGACCTGGAGGAAACTCCACACGACCACGGGGACAGAGACATGCAAACTCCACCTTTACAGGCGCCAGGGTCGGGGTCAAACGCATGACCTCCTGCGTAGCGGGTAAGGCAATTAACATCTTTCTTCCACAACGCAGCATCAGGCCAGTCTAGCGGTCTCTAGCAGCTCTCAGGCCGCCGGTGCTGTGAGCGTGATCATACCCAGACTCGGCTCACGTCGGTTCAACAAATGAACCCTGATCGAGATCTCACGACGCGGGGTTCGCGTGGACTGCGAGCGCACGTGGCCGTACCATTGTTGGGCCACGTCAGCATGCGGTTGAGGATGGGCATGAGGTCGAGCACCATCGTCTGCAGCGGCAAGGACACTGCGGCACAGCAACGCAAGCGACACACGGGGGGCAAGGAGCCCGTGAGAGGCACGGGTCTCGAAGGAGCTGCCACGCGGTGGTCATACGAACAGCAGTCGTTGATCAGTGGTGGGCAACGGGGCGCTGCTTGCATGAGTAGATGCATCGTTGGAAACGATGCAAGCAGTGGTGGCTCAATATTTTGGTGGGGTGGTGCTGGCAGTGGTGTGAGGGGGGGGGGGTGCATGAGGAAGGTACTGTGTCCCCAGCATCAGAACGTCTAGGCTATGGCTATTGATGTAAAAGGTGCAATCATTCCATGATGCGATGCCAACAGCACCCTGGGTCCCGAGGTAGCAAGATATGAACTACCTCCCCTGGTATACAGGATGTCGTGGGTTCGATTCCGACCCTGATGCGTGTTGTATATTTGGAGTTTACATGTCTTGTGTGGATTTTTCTCTGGGGCCTCCGGTTTTCCCTTCCACATTTAGAATCAACGTGTGTTTAGAGTATTTGGCTGCTATACATTTCCACATGATAAACCACTTTGTTGAGCTATCATTTGTGGCCAGGTCGCTTCTGAAAAAGAGCTGTATAGCTCAGTGGGCCTTACCTGGTAAACTAGTTTAATTGGAATTTGATCGTGGTAAGAAAACTTAAACATTTTTACCGAGTAAGAAAATATGACTATAAAAATTGTCCTTTATTTCCCCATCAGGCGACTCCTGCTTCGGATGCTTGAGAGAAAACCAGTTGCCCCAATAAACTCCACCCACGTAAGGGAACTATAAAGCCCTGTTCTAAACTATAAAGCCCTGTTCTAAACTATAAAGCCTTGCTCTAAACTATAAAGCCAAGCTCTAAACTATAAAGCCCTGATCTAAACTAGAAAGCCTTGCTCTAAACTATAAAGCCCTGGTCTAAACTATAAAGCCCTGATCTAAACTATAAAGCCAAGCTCTAAACTATAAAGCCCTGGTCTAAACTATAAAGCCCTGGTCTAAACTATAAAGCCCTGATCTAAACTATAAAGCCCTGATCTAAACTACAAAGCCCTGCTCTAAACTATAAAGCCCTGATCTAAACTATAAAGCCCTGCTCTAAACTATAAAGCCAAGCTCTAAACTATAAAGCCCTGCTCTAAACTATAAAGCCAAGCTCTAAACTATAAAGCCAAGCTCTAAACTATAAAGCCCTGATCTAAACTACAAAGCCCTGCTCTAAACTATAAAGCCCTGATCTAAACTATAAAGCCCTGATCTAAACTATAAAGCCCTGCTCTAAACTATAAAGCCAAGCTCTAAACTATAAAGCCCTGATCTAAACTATAAAGCCAAGCTCTAAACTATAAAGCCAAGCTCTAAACTATAAAGCCAAGCTCTAAACTATAAAGCCCTGATCTAAACTATAAAGCCCTGCTCTAAACTATAAAGCCCTGCTCTAAACTACAAAGCCCTGATCTAAACTATAAAGCCAAGCTCTAAACTATAAAGCCCTGATCTAAACTATAAAGCCCTGCTCTAAACTATAAAGCCAAGCTCTAAACTATAAAGCCCTGATCTAAACTATAAAGCCAAGCTCTAAACTATAAAGCCATGGTCTAAACTATAAAGCCCTGCTCTAAACTATAAAGCCAAGCTCTAAACTATAAAGCCCTGCTCTAAACTATAAAGCCAAGCTCTAAACTATAAAGCCCTGATCTAAACTATAAAGCCCTGATCTAAACTATAAAGCAATGGTCTAAACTACAAAGCCCTGCTCTAAACTATAACGCCCTGATTTAAACTATAAAGCCCTGCTGGAAACTACGAAGCCTTGTTGTCGCCGCTATGAGGCGCACCTCCCACGACACGTCCGGCGTCTTGAGACGCGGCTCAGATTCGCAATCTCTATAAATGCAAATTTCATTCATAATTGGAACCCATACCTCTCCAAAGAATTCCAGGTCAGGTATGCACCACTACGCATGGAATTTCTTATTACTACGCGTGCGTGTATTCTACATCAATATACGGCATGTATGTAAATCACGCGAGAGTTCATTGAGACAAACAACCTCTTACATTCAAGACAGACCGGGGTAAAAATAATTGCAAATGCTTTTAAAAAAAAAACCGTATTGTAAGAGAGCGAAGAATCAGGACACAAGATTACTGCGTCGATGATGAGCGGGGAGACACATTCGGTGTGCATCATGCAATGCACAAATGTCCATCGTTCAAAACGTGGGCTGGCGTTCAACGTTGACAAGCGTGGGGGGGGGGGGGAAGTTGATATGGGGGGGGGGGGACACACACTTCTAAGTGGCAGGGGGTAGAGAGGATACATCCACCATTGTTCTTCTTGTTTCTTTCGGTAAAGTCACGTAGAAGGGAAGTAATAAAATAATACAAATAAAACATAATACAATAATTCTCACGGCGTTTCGGCCACAACGCAAGCAGCCGTCCTCAGGTGAAGACCAGGTCTGTCGGGGAGGACGGCTGCTTGCGTTGTGACCGAAACGTCGTGAGAATTATTTTATTATGTTTTATTTTTATTATTTTATTACTTCCCTTCTACGTGACTTTACCAAAAGAACCAAGAATATGAATCCCTGCAGTCACGAAAGCTTTAAATCGAATTTCCACCATTGTCGTTGACTTCCCCCCCACTCCCCAGCTTTTACCAGGCGGAAAACGGCCAGCGTGGTGAAGTATGGTCAAATAACCTCGTGTGTAAAAGCGTCGCTTTGGGGAGGCACTCAATCCGGACTGTCCGTGCGCATGTTTCTTTGGGGCTGCGTTTTGTGTTCAGTTCGTTGTCGTCCTCCCCACGCACCTCCGATTAGCGCGGTTGGCTACGTGCGGTGCGAAAGAAGTCCAAGGCACATACATGTTGGACCAATGGTAACTAATTGTTCGTGCGATAACTATAAAGTCTTCAATTGTAGCACAAGGCCAATGCATGATGACACAAGGCACATTCACAATGGTGGTATAAGAATAGGTTTTACCGTTTCTGGCGATAAAACATGTGCCTATGTGTGTGTCTCTGTGTGCCTCTCTCTCTGCTTATGTGTCTGTCTGTGTGTCTCCGTGTCTGTGTTTTGTCTCTCTCTAAAAATTTAACAATCTTTGGAAGAACGTAATCAACCAGGTAGGGTGTTGACTGTTACGTTAGCCGACTCTCTGTGTTGTATTGCATTATATTTCTAAGTTTACTAGGTTTTGTTTTCTCTTTCATTTGTACCTGATGATGATTGCTTGTGTTGCAATCGGAACGTCGTATGCTATTATTTAATTACAAATTTATTTCTACGTGACTTTACCGGAAGAACCAAAGAGTAATTCCTGCAGTCAAAGAGTAATTCCTGCAGCCACGAAAGCTCCAAATCAAGGTGTTTAAGATGTTCAAACACCAAACATAAACTTTTGGCAAGGAGTCACAAGGGTGGTGTTGGCACAAACATTCGCATTAAAATTAAATAAGGAAATAAACTCACGGATCACAATGGGTTGGAATAAAAACACAACTCACTGTTCGTTGCTAAGATGCCCCGCTTGGAGTTCAACACGAAATCTTGATTTCTTACGTTCCTGGTAACTGAGGGCAAGTGGGGGGGTGGATCAGAACGATCCACGTATCAATCGCTCGACAGCGCAGAAATCTAACGAGTAACGAAAGGTAACAGCGCACAAAACCGGAGTGCCTTTTACCTGAAACGAGCAATTGGGGCGGTGCTCAATCCCATTGGCAGCCATGAGCAAGTGTTGGACAATTCCACATTCCTGTGGCAGGGGGCCAGTCGACCAATAGGACAACCACGACTGAAGGAAACATGTCCAAAAACTAATTCAGATCATTGGAATTTTTTTAATAATCTGTGCTATGGCTATTTATTATATTCCGTTTTTCCCAGGGACATTTCTTTTTCCTATTAATATCATGTTTTCAATGAAGATGAACTAAACTATAAACAACAATTTTTTTTTTATGTTACCAGCTAAGGCCCGCCATAGCTCTATTTTTATCAGAAGCAACCCGGCCACAATAGCTCAACAAAGTGGCGTATCATGTGGACATTTACAGCAGCCAAATATTCTAAATGTGTGCTTCTAAATGTGGAGGGAAAAACCAGAGGACCCGGAGAAAAATCCACGCCACCACGGAGAGAGAGAGAGACGCATGCAAACTCCAAATACACAGCAGGCGTCAGGGTCGGGCTCGAACCCACGACCTCCTGCATACCAGGCGAGGTAGCTAACATCTCGCCAAGTCTCTCGATCGAAACAAAGCCTTGCGACAACAAAGCTGAACATTACAATGAAAACAACCCAGGCTGCTGGAGCATTTACGGCGAAGGGCGCCGAAACAGTGGACACGAGTCCAGACGTGGCCCCCTTGTGCCAGAGTGGAGTTCAGAAGAAGAGCGGCGGGGAAGTTATCGTTGTTTTTCTGAACCCACAAACAGCTTCAAATTGCGAATGCGAAAGTATCCAATCGGTGAACAACAACAACTCAATTATAGATTTGAAGCTTTCGTGACTGCAAGGATTCATATTCTTAGGTTTTTTCGGTAAAGTCACGTAAAAAAAAAAACAATTTATTTATTTATTTTACTTTTATTAATTTAATTTTTTTACCTACGTGACTTTACCGAAAAAACCCAAGAATAATAACAACTCACCAGTTGCGAGCAACATGCAGAGCGCCACGGCAGCCGTCGCGACGAGCGCGCGTCTCAACGGCAGCATCTCTCTCGTGAACGGCAGCAGCAGCAGCAGCAGCATCTCCACTCGTTCCCAACGATCTTCAACAACTCTGGCCGTCGCCTGACGCTGCTGGTCGTATTTACCGGCGAGACGTCACGGTAACTCGATTTGTAAATCACGTTGTGGGGTTTCACTCTCTTCCGACACACGACCTGGTGTGCTGAACCAGTAACGAATTGTCACGTTTGCTTTCAGGTGACGAACCTTACTAATTGGCTGCATCGGGTGGTGGCGGGTTTAACGACGCATTCATATTCACGCGATCTCACCCCCCCAAAAAAAGCCTCTAATATGAACCGTAACCTTGTAATTAATCGCAGCTCTGCACAAACATCACTGGAAGCTGTATCGAGACTGCGGGATGAATCAGTGCAGCTCTGAAGCTATTTCCCCCACACAGATGTCCAGTCTGAGTGGCTCAAAGCGCACGCGGGTCGTGTGGCTTCGACTGCCGGACGCCCACAACGCCACCGCCAGGGTGGTTGCCTGGGGGGGGTGGGGGGGCGGTCTCCGCCTCGCAGTGAACGGGGCACGCGGGCGCGGCTCGACACAAGCGACGTCCCCAGCGGCCCTGCCTCACCCGCGGTGCCTCCCCACGGCGCAGTGGACCTTCTCGGCACGACAATGGCCCCGCATCTTCTTGGTTCTTTCGGTAAAGTCACGTAGAATGGAAATAATAAAATTAGAAAAATAAAACATAATACAATAAATTCAATATTTTTATTGTTTAATTTTTATTATTTTATTATTTCCATTCTACGCGGCTTTACCGAAATAATAAAATAATAAAAATGAAACATAATAACATTATTGTATTATGTTTTATTATTTTTATTTTATTATTTCCATTCTACGTGACTTTATCGAAAGAACCAAGAAGATGAATCCCTGCAGTCACGAAAGCTTTAAATCGAAATTTAATGGCCCCACAGTTCCGCGTCCCGCTAACCGCTCCGCTGTGCGTGCCCAGAGCGAACAGCTGGTGTACACGGGGTATGTGTGTGTATGTATGTGTGTGTAGCCCGCATGCCCAGCCACCGCATGCCTAAACAGCTTTTGTTCGGCCGGATCGAGGGGGCTAAACGGGCGCGGCACAGGCTGGAGAAGAGATGGAGTGATGTGGTACAGGAGGACGTGGAGCTGAGTGGACTTGCCGATGACTGGTACCAGCGGTGTCAAGGTCGGCCTCTGTGGAGGAGGCTCGTGAAGGACGCTGCTACTGGGCAGTTGGAGGCAGTCGCCCTCCAACAACAACAGAGGGCGGAGGAGCGACGCTCACAACAACGAGCGGAGCGCCGGGTGGCTAAAGCACAGCAAGTTGGCACAGTAGGGGGCACAGGTGGTGCATCAGCCAGTCATCTCGGTCATCTCAGTCAGTCGACCCGTGGTACCTGGGTCTGCCCCGTGACCTCCTGCCAGCGGGCGTTCGACACTTAACGTGACCTCAAGGTGCACATGGCCTGGCACAAGCGTCGTGGGGACGTCACCGCCACTTAGTGGCGAATGGCGGTTGTTGTTGTGTGTGTATGTATGCATGCATGCGTGTGTATAAAGCTTGCCGAATATACAGAGCACAAACGGAACAATTCAGAGTGCACCCATGTTCAAACAAGCATTGGGAGATGCCCATATCCAGTGGCGGTTCTGAATTTCCACATTCGCATGGCGCGTTAACGAAGTCACCGCCATCATCACAGGCGGATGACGCCTGTGATGATGACGATGGAGATTGGTGGTGGTGATGATTTTCTTGATAACTGCTTCTCGTGTTTTAGTTTGCTGTCCTTGCCCCGCACCTCCGATTCGCGTGGTCGGTTACGTACGGTGCTAACGAAGTTCAACGTACATACAGCATATACGGGGATGGTGGTAACCCATCCAAGTTCTCTATTCAGGCTTAAACCTTGCTTAGTTTTTGAGAAGCGTCACATGATTTGCCCAGGCCGGCTCCAGGTCACACAGCTCCCCGGCTCAACAGCCCGCAAGGATGCAGACAACGCAGACTAAAGAAGCAGGCACTTGGGCAAATTCTCTTCGAATATGCAAATAATATATGAAACTGTGCTTTATTGGTCATTGTTACAATAAAATTACGATGTTACACCAACGATCGGGACATTAATTCAAGCAGATCTTAATCTGAGAGTGTTAAATGCTTATGCAAAACAAAAAATAGAAAATAATTGCAATTGAACAGTTTCAAAGCGTTCTTCTTTTCCTCTTTGTTTCAGGTTTGTCAGTTTTTCAACTGGTATAAAACGCCATCACGAAACCTCTCGGCACGAAGTCACCATCATGAATCATGACCGGCACGCAGCTCACAGATCATGGCAGCAGCATTCCAGAGTAGCGGATCAATGTCATACACACAGGCAAAAACGGGCTGAAAACAACAAGAAAAACCCAACGACGATATTTCAAGTTAAACGACCGTGTCTTCGGATTATGTAATCATTGAAAAATGCAAAACTGGCAAAACATTGATTTGGTCATTTTGAATCTTACACGCCAATACCGATGTTACTCGGTACTGAGGACCGTTCCTTAACCAAATGAGGACTTCATTTGTCCAAATGTAACGCGTTTTTATTTTGGCACACACGCCATGGGTGACCTTGTCTGAAAATGTGTGCAACCATCAGAACCTCCTACCAACAGCAGAGCCAGTCTGGCAGCCCTGGAGCAAACCACGGTGGGATCTCCCCCCCCCCCCGGTGTCTCATTATTTAAGATCGATGAGGGTTGGTGGCATAGGGAGCATGAGTCATGGATAGGTCCGTTTTTATTTACAATTTGATATGGGGGCAGTAGCGGCTGCACCGTGTTTCGAACCTGGTGACCCGAGTCAGATTCTCTGCCTACAGCTAACGTCAGTGGACTCGGGTGATACGAACCACCACCGGTTCCACCCACTTCAACCCGCACTGCCCAGCCTAGGTGAAGTATGGTCAAACAAACTCTCACGATCTAGACGTGGATTGCCAAATGGCTGCAAATTATTATCCACAAATGTTAAGTGCGCGCGTGCATCGCGGCCGTAGCAAGCCACTTATTGGTGGGGTAACTGGGAGTTTGGAAAAAGGGAAAGGCTCTTTTTGCACGAGAGATCTGTGGCGATTGCTGGGATGTTCCTCATGGCTTCAGTCTTGAGCAATCTCCGATGACTTGTGGTTCCCAAGAGGCCCCCGTTTCTTTTTAAATCAACGATCGCAGAACGTCCCCATTGTCCGTGTGGCCCAGCAGCCGGCCAAGGGAGCCACTTTACACAACAGGTCACCAGTTGCATCCACCCCTCCCACCCCCCAGCTAATTTCTGCAGAGAATTAACCGAATCTTTCGCCATCTGCTCTAGAATGGATGTGAAAAGACCCTGTGACATCAGTTCTTCCAAGAGCGAACATGCCAGGCCCAGGGATTAATATCGACCGCGTCGGCGACACGGCAACAACAAAACATATTTCCACGCCCGGCTCACCCGCATCCGATATACCCTCTCGCTCTCTAGCTCAGGCTAACTAGTTGCAGGCCATACCCCGTGACCCGGAAAATATTCCGTGACACATTTTAAAAGCCCCAGCCGGGCGTCATTCCCATAAACAAACCAAAAAAAGAAACTACTACCCCCCTAGGTAATATTGAACTCTCAGGGTCTCCCTTGTGAAGCGACGGGTCAAGGCGCAGCACTGCAACGGCTCTCTCGCGCCACTGCTGGCGGAAGGGCCTCCGCTAGAAGGAGCCGCTCCACCTTGACATTTGGCCTGCTCTTCCACGCCGGCCAGACCGCCTTGGGAGAGGCGGGAGTGCCCACGTTCTACCCCACTGCACGCGACCTGCCGGTCCACTGGCCGTGGTGGTTGGCTGTTTACACCGCTGCGTGGACACGAGGCGGTGTGGAGGGGAGTTTAAGAAACCTGCGCCCTCGTTTGAACTGCCACTTCGGGGAAATCAAATCGAAGCGGCCACCCTCTGGATTGCGAGTCCAGTTTTCTGACCTGACCATTATTACGCCAGGGCAGCAACTGTGCTGATATATGATCGTTATGTTAACGTAGCGTTGTACAGTATTATTATTGTTGTTGTATTAATGGGATTTATGAAATTGTCCTCTGAAGTTTGCACCCTCTCTCTCTCTCTCTTCACATTTCTTCGCTCGACATCGTGAAAAATTTGAACAAGCACAGCATCAGCGACAATGACCAAAAAAACCAACAACCATTGTAACACTTTTTTAAAGCGTTTGGCATATGCATTACGTCGGATCGCTGTCGTGCACGTGCCCTGGTACAGAACCCGTTTGGCTGCAGCACCGCACATGAGCAAGGCGTGTCGCGCCGCTCGGCAGGTCACAGTAAAGGCACAAAGTAAGTGATGCTTGCACAGAGCACGACGGCAGCCTGGCGGTGCCCGCGTGGCCGCTCGACGGGCACAGAGGATGCATCCGAGACGAGCACAGAGCCCCGTACCGAGTGGGCAGGCAGTGCAACTTACTGCACGGGGGGGTGGGGGGGGGGTCACGTCTCTCGAGGGGGCCCCCGGGGTGCCAGGCTACAAAGGGTCGGGGAAACTCTGGGGGGGGGGGGGGGTCCCATTTTATTCCTTGCACGAGTGCCCATGCCAACCACGTTATGCCATGCACAACCCCCTGACTCATCCCATGGTAAGATTCAACACGGAGTTGCTAAGAGATTGATTTGGCTCGGTGATCTCTGAAACACATTTCCCCGCTGCGCGAGTGACACGCACGCGCCCCGCTACTCCGATGTTCACCAATCTCCCGCAGGCCTGAGCGGGGTGCAGGACGCGACGCTTCCCACGTGTTCTCCCGCACCTCCGGGTGAGCACGGCTTGGCTTGCGCGCGACGCGGAAAGACGTTGAACGTACGTCTACGCTCGCACGCGCTGGTTGGTGCACGTGGACTGCGGGACCCACCAAAGGGGAATCTCCACATTGTCCATCTCCTACGAATAGACTCTTGCAAAAGTGACCCATTCTATGCGACTGCCACAGGCCCTGTATTTTAAGCTCAGCATACTACGCACAAGAGATACATCGGTTGACATTCTTCGCTTTGTCCGAATGCCTACACTGACAAGTGGAGTGGTGGTACGGTACTTAGCAGACTGCGCTAAGAACCCGGTGACCTGAGTTTGAATCCCAGCCACGGCTAACAGCAGTGGTGAAAATCTGAACCGGTCCTGAGGCTCCCTCTTCACCAAGCCACCCTGACCAGCGTGGTGAAGTATGGCCAAACAGCCTCCGTGATCAACTCGGCATGAAGAGGCCTTCATGCAGCAGTGGATTGATAAAGGGCTATGCATTACACTTATTTAAATGCTTGTCTACAATGTCTGCATTTGAAATGTAATAAAACATATATTTTTTTAATTTTGGGATAATTTGGGGAGTCTACCATTTCACCGAAACGATATTCCATCAATCCCACGGTCCGTTCTGCAAAATTAGGAATTAAATGAATACATAATCATGGCAATGTTCGAATGCAGTGCAAGAGCTTGAGTTGCAGGATTTCCCAACCAAAGAGGTTCTGAATGATCTTCATTTGAAGTGCACGGTTTAGAGCCCTAAGTAGCGTGCACACGATGGATGACGTTGAACGTCATTGTCGTGGCTTCATGAGGGCGTGGGCTGTGCAATGAGCCACAGAACCGAAGCGTCCTCTTCCTGCGCTAGCCTCTACCTTGCGACGTCCCATATTCTAAATCCATTGAACGTTTTACGCGACTAGAAAAATACCAGCTGAAGGTCCAGCCCTGGCATTTTTCTGCCGATGCCACTGCTGCCAGAATGGCCTCCTCTAAAGGGAGCTCTACAAAGCTCCCTCTGGCTCCAGGGAGCCCTCTTCTGGACCAGGGGTCGGCAGTCTGCGGGTCCGGAGCCGCAATGTGGCTCTGTACGGACTGTTTCGTGACGTAATCAGTGCCGGATCATCCTAGCAGCAAAAGTAGCTACATATGCCACGGGCACCACACTCTCAAGGGCTCTGCGCTCAATGCTTTCCAGCTGTCAATTCCGGTTCAGTGATTCTGCACTTGCTCTATTACTATAGCCCTATATTGCCTTTAACTTTTATGAACGACTGAGTGTTTAAGGTTATCGATTTGTCGTATTATCTGGCTGTATATCAAATGCAAAAATACAATTAGTTTACTGTGCGAGTAAAAAAAATGTTTTTTAATATTTATGTTTTTTTATTTGATTCATTATTTAGGGCCCCTTTATAACATATGCTACCGGCCCCGCACGAGCTCGATCCGGCACTGGACGCACTGTAAGTAATGTACGTGTGCTTTCACGTGCAATGCAGCTCTTAGAATATTGAGTTTTGCACCGAATTCGAAAAGAAGTGATCTTCTTGTTATTTTGGTTGCCGACCGCTGCTCTCGGCGTTTTTTTTTGGCCAACTCTTCCATCCCGGCGAGACGCCTTGAGAGAACTACTTGTTGCGTTTAGTTTGTTGTCCTTTCCCCCGCACGGTTGGCTACGTACGGTGTGAAAGAAGTTCAACAGATAGTACATACCGACGCTTTACCGCAGCACGCGCGACTTGCCGATAGACTGTCCCCCGTGGCGTTCCCGTTTACACCGCTGGGTGAGCAGAGGTGGTGATGGGGAGGGGTGATGGGGAGGGGTGAGGGCAGGGGTGAAGGGGAGGGGTGATGGGGAGGGGTGAGGGGAGGGGTGATGGGGAGGGGTGAGGGGAGGGGTGATGGGGAGTGGTGAGGGGAGGGGTGAGGGGAGGGGTGATGGGGAGGGGTGATGGGGAGGGGTGAGGGGAGGGGTGAGGGGGAGGGGTGATGGGGAGGGGTGAGGGGGAGGGGTGAGGGGGAGGGGTGATGGGGAGGGGTGATGGGGAGGGGTGAGGGAAAGGGGTGATGGGGAGGGTTGAGGGAGGGGTGATGGGGAGGGGTGATGGGGAGGGGTGAGGGGAGGGGTGAGGGGAGGGGTGATGGGGAGGGGTGATGGGGAGGGGTGAGGGGAAGGGTTGAGGGGAGGGGTGATGGGGAGGGGTGAGGGGGAGGGGTGATGGGGAGGGGTGATGGGAGGGGTGAGGGGAGGGGTGATGGGGAGGGTTGAGGGGAGGGTGATGGGGAGGGGTGATGGGGAGGGGTGAGGGGAGGGGTGAGGGGAGGGGTGAGGGGAGGGGTGATGGGGAGGGGTGAGGGGAGGGGTGAGGGGAGGGGTGAGGGGAGGGGTGAGGGGAGGGGTGATGGGGAGGGGTGAGGGGAGGGGTGATGGGGAGGGGTGAGGGGAGGGTGAGGGGAGGGGTGATGGGGAGGGGTGAGGGGAGGGGTGATGGGGAGGGGTGATGGGGAGGTGAGGGGAGGGGTGATGGGGAGGGGTGATGGGGAGGGGTGATGGGGAGGGGTGATGGGGAGGGGTGATGGGGAGGGTTGAGGGGAGGGGTGATGGGGAGGGTTGAGGGGAGGGGTGATGGGGAGGGTTGAGGGGAGGGGTGATGGGGAGGGGTGATGGGGAGGGGTGATGGGGAGGGTTGAGGGGAGGGGTGATGGGGAGGGTTGAGGGGAGGGGATTAAAGAAACTTGCGCCGTTGTTTCAGCCGGCACACCGGGAGATCGAAGTGGTGACCTCTGAACCCCAGTGTACTCACCATCACAGCACGGCGGGCAGCTCTTACGTTATTATGGGGCCCTATGTCGCTGGCCGATCCGGCCATTTACTTCGTAGCAGAAGCTTAGCGTGCCTGACAGATGCTGCGAAAGAGGGAGTGACTCTACATTTCCGGAGATCGCAATTGATTAAAACTCACACCATGGAAAGTTTATTAACATTTCACCAACCTCAGATGAAGTACTTGAGGATTATCTCACACGAGCAGCGTTGCTGCAATTTTCAATTTCCATTCAAATGTGTAAAACACACAAAACAGCCTTCATTGGATTTACAAAAGGAGACGTTCTTCTTTGTTCAGAAATGTATCATATCTCTGTATATCAAGTACCTTCTCGTGGATGTGATGTGAATTGCCACGCCCCAAAAAATTACCGATTCTATATAGAACCCCACCACTCTTTCTCTTCACAGAAATGTGCGCTTTTGTTTCAAAGTACAGTCGTAAATTTGTTTAAACCTGCACGCACTTCAAGCCACGTGCTTCAGCTTCTCATGCTTTTGTTCGTCGGTCGGTCGACGATTCTCAAAATCGTCGCTCACTGCTGGCAACAATGGCAAACGAGCGCCACCCGTTCCCACGTCCGTCGGTCGGAAAGTCGGTGCGGCGTCTCGGTTTAAAGCATCGTTCATCTTCCTCGCCCTCCCCTCGCCCTCCCCTCGCCCTCCCCTCGCCCTCCCCTCGCCCCTCATCTCCGCGACGTTTCGTTTGCGATAATCAGTTCTGAAGAACGACTCCAGCGCGGCGGTGTCTTTGCGCGTACGACGCGTTTAAGTGCAATCGACGTCGTGACGTGGGAGCGTGCACGCAAGAGGCGTGCGGGACAACAATCTAGTCGCTCGCTGTCCAGCACGACCGTAGCCCTAACCCTGGCACAATTATAGACGTTTTTTACTCATGAATGTATATCTGGCGAATAATATGGGTCTTGTGTACAACAAGTAAATGCACTATTGTTTGGGAATTGTGGAGTTGACGTGCAAGTTGTTGTCCAATATGAATAACTGGCGTGAAAAGTTGGATTTCGTTGATTTGTGTTGCATCAGGTTGTTGTTCTCAACCCTTGAAAGCGGGATCTTGAACAGTTGATTTCCCAGAATGTGGTTCCTGAAGGTTCAAACTTTGGGAAAAAATGGGTCTGCGTCAAGGCCACAATTTGACCCATGAACTCAATCGTAGAAAATACGATCCCTGCTGCTTGCATGCAGGGTTTCGTTTAAGGCTTATGAACTCGGCTACAAAATCCCAAGCCAGCCCAGAGCTCTGGAAACTCACTCATGGGAGTCATGTGAAATTGATTCTTTGATTAACGCGGATTCTGGTTCTGTTGGCGTTGAGGTGAGCGATGGCTCCATGGTGTCCGGAATGTGGAACCCACAAGATTGCCCTAAAACAAATAGCACATTCAACAAGCACACCTCCAGTGTTTTGTACTGAAGCTGGCAGAGTTTCATTGCAAAATCTCTCCCCAACCCCAACAATTTACCCATTTTTCTATCATTCTCATGAATCCACACAAATGTCTTTTGGCAGCATGGTAAATACGCAAAACAACTTGACCGCTGGACGCCTCTCTCTCTCTCTCTCCCACCCTCCAACTGTACCATCCCCGTCATAGGAACGAGGAATGGAGCGTCTCCTCGGCGGAGGCGCTCCGAAGGTGAGTCCTCCCGGGGCTGCTCCACGCCCGGACGGCGGAGTCGTCGTCGCCGATGGTGAAGGTCACCGGCTGCCCTCCCATCGGCCGCCCGGCCGCCTCTCCCGCCCGGCCACTCTCCCCAGCGGCGAAGAGGCGCGTCGTGTCCCTCCACGCCGTGTAGGCGTCCTCGGCGCCCACACTCTCGTCCAGCTCGCTCACCGTGTGGAGCAGCAGCGGCATCTCGGAGCCGCCCAGCAGCTTGGCGTAGCACGCCACGGCGAGCTCCGGCGACTCGCCCGGCGCCCGCCCGTCCGATGCGAGGAAGTCGCCGGCCGCCGCGAAGCCCGGCGGGAACACGAGCTTCGACGCCGGTGGAGGCTCGGGGCTGGGGCACGGGGGGCCCTGCGAGGAGAGGCGCGGCGTGCTCGCGTCCGACTCCGGCTCGCCCGGCGACCCCCCGCGCGGCTCCGTCGCGCCCCCCGCCGCCGCCATCGCCGCCGCCTGCAGGAGCTGCTGCAGCTGCAGCTGCTGCTGCTGCAGCTGCTGGCCGGCGCAGCGGGCGCCGTGGACGACGGCGGTGGGGGAGCTCCCGAAGGCGGGCGAGGAGCGCACGCTGCGCGTGGCCAGCGAGCCGGAGGCGGTGCGGCCCGCGAGCGGCGGGAAGGCGGCGTCCAGCTGGCTCAGCGAGCACGAGAAGTCCTCGACGCTCGGGTGGTGCTCGAGCACGTGGCTGCCGACGCTGGAGGAGCGCGAGATGGTGGTGCGCACGAACGGCGGCCCCACGGGGCTGTGCGAGTCCGGGGTGGCCACCGAGAGGCCTTGGCTCAGCGACTGGCGGTAGAACTCGATGAGGAAGTCGAGCTTCTTCTCGATGGACTGCACCTTCAGGAAGAGCAGCAGACGCACGCGTGTGGCCTGGTCAGGACTGGTCGGGACTGGTCAGTCATGATCACCTGGCATGTGCACGCTTGCGTGTAGTGGGTGGGTGTTGCATCTGCCAGTAGTCATCTCAGTGTGTGTGAGTCGATGTGTGTGTGAGATTCGATATGTGTGTGTGTCAGTCGATGTGTGTGTGTTAGTCGATGTGAGTGTGTAAGTCCATTTCTTTGTGTGTGTGTAGGTCCATGTGTGTGTGTGAGTCGATATAATCCGGCAAAAACAACCACCTACCTCCTCGTGGTGCCAGACGGCAACGCTGTGGTGGGCAGTGCCGTGGGGGGAGGGCCAACTTAAATTGTCCATTCCCCTCATGGCGTCTGTAACCACCACATCGGCCAAATGGGGGCTCTAGATGGGTGCAAGGGGCTGGTAACCCCTCCACCTTCAATTAATTACCACTAAATTACGAGTTAAAAATGTATTAAGCTTGTGCCGGAGGCCCCGGGGGGACAGGAGTCTATGATGTCTCCTGGCCAAACTCCATTTGGCGGAGCCAGGAGACTGAATCCTTACTCTCGGGGCTCCTCCAAAAACAACAAAAAACCACTATGTGTGGCCACGTGGAATGATCGAACGCTCACTGCGGAGGAGAGGCTGCCACTCCTCTGTCAGGAGCTGGACCAGTACCGCCTGGATCTCTGTGTAATTCTGGAGGTCTGATGGACCGGCTCAGGCTCCTGCCACAATGAGGGGTGGACAGTCCTCTACTCGGGGCAGGAGACTGCCAAACAACAGGAAGTGGCTCTTCTTCTGAACAAAAGAATGAAGGGGGCGTGGGAGCGTGACGGTGAGTTGTGGGAAGCTGTAAGCCCCAGGATATTTTTGGGCTCGCCTTCCCATCAACCGGAGGTGAGGAGTGGTGGTCGTGGTTACTTATGTCCCCACCGAAGACAAACATCCGTGGAGGGATGCAGGCAAGGCTGATGAGTCAGATGCCTTCTATGACCTCCTGTCATAGGTGCGAGCTAAAGTGGCCCCTTGGGATAGAGTCATCTTGTTGGGTGACTTCGATGCCCGAGTTGGTCATGATGCTGGCACCTGGTCTGGTGTGATTGGAAGGCATGGGCCAGATCAGCTCAATAACAACGGCAGGAGGCTGCTAGATTTTTGTGCAGCCCATGGGCTTGTAATTACCAACACGCTGTTCCGGAATTGGCCCATCCACTCCACATCATGGATGCATGCCGGGTCCAAGCAAGAACATGTGTTTGTACGTCCATGTGTATGTGTGTGTGTATAGTCGATGTGTGTAAGTCGATGTGTGTGTGCGTGAGTCGATATGTGTGTGTGTCAGTTGATGTGTGTGTGTGTGTACGTCCATGTGTGTGTGTGTACGTCCATGTGTGTGTGTATAAGTCGATGTATGTGTGTAAGTCGATGTGTGTGTGCGTGAGTCGATATGTGTGTGCGTGAGTCGATATGTGTGTGCGTGAGTCGATATGTGTGTGTGTCAGTTGATGTGTGTGTGTGTACGTCCATGTGTGTGTGTGTATAGTTGATGTGTGTAAGTCGATGTGTGTGTGCGTGAGTCGATATGTGTGTGTGTCAGTTGATGTGTGTGTGTAAGTCTATGTGTGTGTGTGAGTCTATGTGTGTGTGTGTGTGAGTCGACGTGTTTGTGTAACTCCATGTGTGTGTGTCTAAATTCGATGTCTGTGTGTGTACGTCTGTGTGTGTGTGTGTGGAAGTCGATGTGTTTGTGTGTGTGGGTCGATGTCTGTGTGTGTGTTAGTCGATGTGTGTGCATTTCTGCATGTGAGTGTGTAAGTCCATTTCTTCGTGTGTGTGTCGGTCCATGTTTATGTGTGAGTCGATGTGTGTGTGTGCAAGTGCAAATAAACAAATTGTGTGTGCGTGTAAATCGATGTGTGGGTCGATGTATGTGTGTACGTCGATGTGTTTGTGTGTGTGTACGTCGATGTGTGTGTAAGTCCATGTGTGTGTAAGTCCATGTGTGTGTCAGTCCATGTGTGTGTGTGTGAGTCGCTGTGTGTGTGTACGTCAATATGTCTGCGTGTAAGTGGATGTGTGTGGCTCTATGTGTGTGTGTGAGTCGATGTGTGTGTGTAAATCGATGTGTGTGCGTGGGTCCATGTGTATGTGTAAGTCCATGTGTGGGTGTGTGTGTTAGTCAATATGTGTGCGTGTGTAAGTCCATATGTGTGTGTGTGAGAGTCGATGTATGTGTGTGTGAGTCGATGTGTTTGTGTGTGTGGGTCGATGTCTGTGTGTGTGGGTCGATGTCTGTGTGTGTGTAAGTTGATGTGTGTGTGTGTGAGTCGATGTCTTTGTGTGTGTGGGTCGATGTCTGTGTGTGTGGGTCGATGTCTGTGTGTGTGTAAGTTGATGTGTGTGTGTGTGAGTCGATGTCTGTGTGTGTGGGTCGATGTCTGTGTGTGTGGGTCGATGTCTGTGTGTGTGGGTCGATGTCTGTGTGTGTGTAAGTTGATGTGTGTGTCCTTTTCGCCCGGGCAACGCCGGGTACTTCCCGCAAGTTAGTTATAATCCACACCCACCAAGGCAGCACATATCTGTTCATTAAGAATTTTGTTTTGCATCTATATATATAAAATCGTTCATGTCTGTCTGTCTGTGTGTGTGTGTGTGGACTTTGGCCCATACGCACTTTCATTGGACGGCGGTTGCCCCTGGCAACGGCTAGCCACGCCTTCGCCGCTTTCATTGGACCTGGCAACGGCTAGCCACGCCTTCGCCAAGGGCTGCAGTTTCATTGGACGGCGGTTGCCCCTGCCAACGGCTAGCCACGCCTTCGCCACTTTCATAAGCTCCGTATTTAATTAAATAATAGCCATTACACAGTATTGTTGGAGCGCTAGGGGGGGGGGGGAAGGAACGCCACCCGTACCCTGCCTCTTCCAAGCCGACAATTTTAGGCGAGGCCGCAGGCTTTGCACGCTACTAGGCCTCGACACCCACCACGCCACTCTGAGGTAAATTCATCAAAGTTTTTCCTACTCTTCACTACACCCCCACCACAATGTGTGCTATTAATATTACTTTTAAACCCAACGCGCCAACAATCGATTACTTTAATGTTCACTGTACAAATACTCATTAAGCTGGGTGAGCGTACTGCCAGTCTATCATGTACACTGTAGCCTGCTTATTAAGCTCGGTGAGCGTACTGCCACTCTATCATGTACACTCTAGCCTGCTTATGAAGCTGAGTGCGTGTACTGGCAGTCTATAATGTGGACTCTTGCCTGGTTATTATAATCGATTCTTTATATGTTCTTTGTACAAACAGTCATTAAGCTGCTTGAGCGACCCCAGTTCGATTCCAACTCACGCCCACCACCGCTGACGATTATTTGAAACGGACCTGGCCCTCCCCTAGGTCCACTCAGCCTCAAAAGCGTAACTGCTGTCGTGTGTGAACATCGTCACTGGGGAGACAAAGGCGGCGGGGCATCGTGGATCCAAGTCCCGGGCGAAGCCGGGTCATGTGTATGTGTGTTTGTGTTTATGTGTATGTCTGTGTGTCTCTATGTATGTGTGTATGTATGTGTATGTATGTGTTTGTGTGTATGTGTGTGTGTATGTATGTGGGTTTTTTTTATGTCTTTATGTGTATGTCTGCGTGTCTCTATGTATGTGTGTATGTACGTGTGTGCATGTGTTTGTGTGTATGTATGTGTGTGTCTATGTATGTGTGTGTCTATGTATGTGTGTGTATGTGTGTGTATGTATGTGTGTTATGTGTCTGTCTGTGTCTGCATGTATGTGTGTGTGTATTGTGTATGTGTTCGTGTGCATGTATGTGTGTGTTTGTGTGTATGTGTATGTCTGTGTGTATGTGTTTGTGTGTATGTGTGTGTATGTATGTGTGTGTATGTGTTTGTATGTGTTTGTGTGTTTACGCTCGCATTACACAAATGTGTTGCTGGTCTAAGGCGTTCCTCGCACAGCATTGCCGCTTTATTATTTCAGTCGTTTACTGCCTTACGCACCCTGAAAGTCGTGTGTGTCTGCAGCAAGCGCGTGTATGTGTACCTATGGACGCGCGCGCGTGTGTTGTGTAGGGGGAACGGTAGTGTAGTGCTTAGCGTGCTGTCTGTGTCTGTGTGTGTGTGTCTGTCTGTGTCTGTCTGTGTGTGTCTGCGTGTGTCTGTGTGTGTGTCTGTGTGTGTGCGTGTGGTGTGTGGGGAGCGGTAGTGTAGTGCTTAGCGTGCTGTCTGTGTGTCTGTGTGTGTGTGTGTCTGTCTGTGTCTGTCTGTGTGTGTCTGCGTGTGTCTGTGTGTGTGTCTGTGCGTGTGTGCTGTGTGAGGAGCGGTGGGTGTAGTGCTTAACGCTACGCTGCGCTACCAACCCGGCGAACCCAGTTCCATTCCCGCTCACGGCCACCACCGGTGACGATTATTTGAACCTCCCCTAGGTCCACTCAGCCTCAAACGAGTAACTGGTGTGGCGTATTAACATCGGCACTTGGGAGACAAAGGCGGCTGGGCGTGGTAGATCCAAGTCCCGGGCGAAGCCGGGTCATGTGTATGTGTTTATGTGTATGTCTGTGTGTCTGTATGCATGTGTGTATGTATGTGTGTGTATGTGTTTGTGTGTATGTCTGTGTGTGTATGTATGTCGGTTTTGCCGCCGTGGTGGATCCAAGTCCCGGGCGAAGCCGGGTCATGTGTATGTGTTTATGTGTATGTCTGTGTGTCTGTATGCATGTGTGTATGTATGTGTGTGTATGTGTTTGTGTGTATGTCTGTGTGTGTATGTATGTCGGTTTTGCCGCCGTGGTGGATCCAAGTCCCGGGCGAAGCCGGGTCATGTGTATGTGTGTATGTGTTTATGTGTATGTCTGTGTGTCTGTATGCATGTGTGTATGTATGTGTGTGCATGTGTTTGTGTGTATGTATGTGGGTTTTTTTGTATGTGTTTATGTGTATGTCTGCGCGCCTGTATGTATGTGTGTATGTACGTCTGTGGATGTGTTTGTGTGTATGTATGTGTGTGTCTATGTATGTGTGTGTATGTGTTTCTGTGTTTGTATGTGTGTGTATGTATGTGTGTTATGTGTCTGTCTGTGTGTCTGCATGTATGTGTGTGTGTATTGTGTATGTGTTTGTGTGTGTTTGTGTGTTTACGCTCGCATTACACAAATGTATAATGCGGGTCTAAGGCGTTCCTTACACAGCATTGCCGCTTTATTATTTCAGTCGTTTACTGCCGTATGCACCCTGAAAGTCGTGTGTGTCTGCAGCAAGCGCGTGTATGTGTACCTATGGACGCGCGCGCGTGTGTTGTGTAGGGGGAACGGTAGTGTAGTGCTTAGCGTGCTGCCTGTGTCTGTGTGTGTGTGTCTGTGTGTGTGTCTGTGTGTGTGCGTGTGTGGTGTGTGGGGAGCGGTAGTGTAGTGGTTAGCGTGCTGTCTGTGTGTGGGTTTCTGTCTGTGTGTGTCTGCGTGTGTCTGTGTGTGTGTCTGTGTGTGTGTCTGTGCGTGTGTGGTGTGTGAGGAGCGGTGGGTGTAGTGCTTAACGCTACGCTGCGCTACCAACCCGGCAAACCCAGTTCGATTCCCGCTCACGGCCACCACCGGTGACGATTATTTGAACCTCCCCTAGGTCGACTCTGCCTCAAACGAGTAACTTAACTACTGTAGCGTATTAACATCGCCACTGGGGAGACAAAGGCGGCCGGCCGTGGTAGATACAAGTCCCGGGCGAAGCCGGGTAGTACAGCTAGTCTTAATTTAAAAATATGTTGACTTCATGGATGCGGCATCGGTTTAGGACCCACCAACCCTTTACCTTCAAAGTGCTGGATCAAAAGTGTGCGCCACCGTCCTCGCTTAATATAAGCGAAGGCACGCACACAAATCACAAAGATCTCCCGTATAGTCATCACAGACTGTTGGGGCAAGTGCATCCCACTGGAATGTTTGCACACAATGTTGGTGTACGGTGCTTTTCCTGCAATATTTTGCCGTCTTTTCTTGGATTTTCTGTTTGCACATAGTCACTTTATGATGTTTTCTTGTTCATTTTTTGTTTGTTGCGGTTGCACCCGATTCAAGAGCCGAATGGCTCACAGGGCTATACCTAATAAATGAACTTGAATTTGAACTGTAAGCGATCACCTATGAAGGCCGGCACGGCACACGATGGGGTGGGTAGCCAGCACCACGCTGAACCGCGCCAGGCACTCACTAGAGACTAAGTCGACGTAGGGGAGGCCAAGGGACCGGTTCAGATCACTGTCACTGGCATTGGCTGCGAGCAGATTCCGAACTCCGGTAGTCGGGTTCGTCGCACAGTGCGCTGACCACTATGCCACCGCCTCCCCCTCACACGCAGAAGACTGTCCATCGCAGAGATATCCAACGCAGCCGCCCCCTATCTCCGTGCCCTGTGGTATAGTGAGGGGGGGGGGGGGGGGTTGCGGTGTCTGTGTGTGCTGGGCAGGTGGATGTTTGCTGAGAGTACGTTGACACGAGCCTGTGTTTCGCGGTGGGGGCTGTCGCCCCGTAGGCCTGGGATGACGGATGCTATTGTGAGCGGCTCGCATTAATGCAGATTAGAGTCTCGCTATCTTCCGACAACTGGCGCACGGCGAAAGGTTCCAAAAAACCCGGCGTATAAAGTTGCATTAAACCCGACCCTAGGGGCATGGCGGTGCGGCAAAGCGTTATGGAATGCGCTGGTGAGTGACATCCTGGTTGCACTGATAAAGAGTAATGGAAGTAAAGTAAAAAACTGAGAACGCACACACACACACATGCACGCGTGTGCATGTGTGTCTATACAAAAGGAAAAGATCCCTCGTTTCAAAATACAGGCAGTTGGGGCAAGTGCTGATAGCAAGCACCTATGAAGGCCTGCTGGTTTAGCCAGCACCACACCCAGCCACCTTTGTCTCCCCAGTGCTGATGTTTTAACACACTGATTCAGGTACTCATATAAGGTCGCGTCGACCTAGGAAACGCTCACAGCCAGGTGAGACATTTACCACGAACGTAAGCCATGGCCAGGAATCAAACTCGGCTCGCTGAGCACTATGCGACTGCTCCACCACTCCCCACTAGACAATGCAAAGACAAAGATCCCCCATTTAGCCTTGAACAGACCGTTGGGACAAGTGCTGTTCACGAGCACCGGTGAAGGGCGGCCTTGCGCACGAGAGGGGGTGAGTGGCCATCAATGCACACACTCACACATGCAGCTCACAGTATATTAAGTGATTCTTCTGTATTACATTTTTAAGTTATGATGGGTTTCTATTTTTTGCTTTTTCCTATACGCGTTCAACCTGCCAGAGATATCCCAGTGAAGAATAAGCTTTAGTTTTTTGTTCAGCGTGAGCCATAAGTGCATCTTAACGTGCCAGGGCAGGGCCCTCCTGAGAAACGGTCCTGGGACTCAGATGAGGCCCTACTGCGTGGGTAAACGAGAGACTGCCGCTGTTGAGGTCACGCTGCCCGTGGGAGGATGCTTTGCCTTGTCATCAAATGACTGCGCCTCCGCCTTGCTTTGGCACAATTTGGACTTTGCAAAACACATGCAGAAATTACCTAAAGGAAATTCAACAAAGGAAATCTAACAAATCACATCTTCGTACGCTAATGTTTCCTCTATTTCGCAATGTTTTGCCAGCGGTGCTACTGACAGTGGTTACACAACGCAACTTATTCCATTATCTGCTCCAGTCACTTTCCTGGCAGCAAACAGCACTGGAAGAAGCGAAACCCGATCCCAGGCAGGGCTCGAACCCAAGTTTTCGGAGTTACTGGCTCAGAGTCCTGATGTGAGCATCACCCATCCTGAGAGGCACCCAGCCTCCAGGCTCGAACTCAGGACTTTTAGAGGTGTTGGCTTAGTGTGCTGACACAGGGTTCATTGCCTTAAGCGTTACTCAGTTCCGGGCATTAACTTATAATCTTAGAGACATTGGCTCGATGTTCTGATGCAGGAATCATTAATCAGCAATTTAAGAGACATACAGTCTTGGGCTTAAAGCCAGGAGCTCAGTAGTGCAGGCTACGATTTAAGCAAGGGCTTAATTTCAGCTTGGGCAGGCTTTGGAAAATAGTTCTGCAACCGGCACACCAATCCAGTATATACATCTATGGCTGCATCCACTACTGGTTACATGCCTACTTCAGTCTACCAGTGAGTGTTTTTTGACTCACCATCGAACAAAGACGGTAACTGCATTGCGCGCTTTCGGATGGGCTTCTGCGGCCGTCTGGAACGCTCTTCCTTCTGACATTAGGAAGCCACTGGAGCTATGCACTTTTAAATAATCTCGATCGAAAACTCATTTCTTTCAAACTGCTTCTTGTGTTTAGTTAGTTGTCCTTCCCCCGCACCTCTGATTAGTACGATTGGCTACGTACGGTGCACAAAGAGATTTTAACATACATACTGTACATACGAGCCAGATAATAATAATAATCATTGAGAAATTAAGCCCTGGTCCGAAACAATGGCCACGTTCCTCTCCGCCACTCTCCTCCTGCCCCCCCCCTGTCGCCACCAACCTGCTTCTCCATCTTGATGACCCTTCCCATCATGCTCTGGTCTTCGCGGACATCTGAGGCCCCGCGGATCTCTCGCGAGCGGATCCTTTCTGTGCTCAACGACGGCTGCACCTTCCCCAGAATCTGATCCACCCTAGGCACGCGCGCACACACACACACACAGAGACAAAGCTTTGCCGGGGGCTTCGTGCCAGGGGGTGGTTAATTGACCATGAAATATGGAACAGGAGCGAGTGATCCCGCAGCGTCAATTGATTTTTTCATTACTCACAAAGTTACTTTGAATGAGAAAAAGCAAGATCAACGTCACCTCCCCTTAGCAGCGCTGTGCTCACTTTTTTCCCGCACAGCGACAACCGCCATCAGAGGCTCCCCTCGGCCAAAAAAGAATAACTGTTCCCCGAGACTGCAAGGATCCATACTCTTTGGTTCTTTCGGTAAAGTCGTTGCTTTACGTCATGGGCGCAATACGTAGAGTCGCTCTCAGAGTGGCGCTCACCGTGTCTGCAGGCTCTTGATGCGGCTCAGCATGTCCAGGTGGCCCGCCGAGTACTGCTCGATGACGTCCTTCACGTCGTACGGCCGCAGCGTCTCCTTGAACTTCCTCTTGGCCACGTGGAACTTCATGATGCTGAACGAGCGCACGGCGAGAAAACCACGGTGGGCACCGCCACTTTAGCGGAGATAATTGTTTGGCTTTTGCCACGCAGCAGAAAAGAGGAATAACACTGGTCAACACGCTTTGTCTGGCATAAGGTATTCCAACGGGCTGAAGGTAATTTTGGGGTGCTGATTCCAAATCTGGCATCAGTTTTTGTCTATCACGTCAGGTTTTTGAGATATCAAATATTGCATTTCAATAAAAACTGCAGAAGAAAAATATAAAATAAATGTGGATATCTATATAAAATGATATTATAAACACACTATTCTAAAAATACAGCACCATATTTTAACACTAAAGCAGTCACTGACTCGCAACAACTTGCAATCATAAGTGACAGAGTTAATTTTGGGTAAAATCAATGAAAATGGGGTATGCCGATAGCATAAAATGAGACGTGATAGAGCAAATCTGAGATCAGATTTGGAATCAGCACCCTGAAATTAGTCTAGAACAGCTGCAAAAGTCCAGGCCAGAAAAAAATGTTTTTTTTGTTGACCAGTGTAATCGAGTATGAATGTATCAAAGGAACCTCGGTCGCTGAGATTGTAGCGCAGGCCCTGGATGACTGCACGACTGCTCCCCATTCTAAAAACAAAGGCAAAGCTTCCCCGGATAGCCTGTATAACTTGTTGGGGGCAAGTGCCATGAGCGAGCCCCTGTTGTATGCATGTGAGTTGAACTTCTTTCGCACCGCATGAAGCCAACTGTACCAGACTCGAGAGGGACACCAAGTGGTGGTGTTGCCGGCACCACGCCCGGCCGCATTTGTTTCCCCAGTGCTGGTGTTTGTGCATTGCACCAAGTAATCACTTAAGGCTGAGTCGACCTAGCGGAGGTCCAAAATTGGTTTAACATTCAAGTGTTGTTGATCGCTTCATTACATCTGCAGGATTTGCTATTTACTGCGTGGTGGCGTTACCACTGCTGTTTTGTTTGCGTGTCAGACGCCCTTATGGAAATATTAAACGAATGCTCAGCTTTGTCCACATTGATGCTCATTTAATATAACAAATGCCCCCCTTATTGAACTTCACCCTCGGCCTGCCCACCTTGTTCAATGTTTGCCTCGTGAAACCACTTTGGGGTCTCACATCTGCGAAGATAGCGGCCTTCCCCGGCAGTAAGCTTTGAGGCTTTTGGACGCCTGCCTAATGCCTGTCATTTTGATCCGATGTGTCTCCGGAGGCTCGCGCTGCCGGCTAATGAAAAAGGCAAAAATGCAACGTGGGTATGCTACGCTCCAGCTACCAAAGTCTTTCAACGAGACAAGTGCAGTTATTGTGCTCCTGAACTCGTAAAAATAGCCTATAACTGGATCCACAAGGGTGTCCCTTGGATTAGGAACACCCCCCATACCCAGATATATTAATTACATACTGGATGTATTGTGCTAAGGAACTCGTAAACTACATCGCCTGATGAACAGGAGGTCGTGGGCCCGATCCCGACCATCACGCGTGCATATGTGGAGTTTGCGACTCTCTCTCCCCGTGGGTGTGTGGATTATTCTCCGGGTCCTCCGGTGTTTCCCTCCATATTTATAAACACGCGTTTAGAGAATTCGGCTGCTTTACATTTCCACGTGATAAGCCACTTTGTTGAGCTATCATTTGTGGCCAGGTCGCTTCTAAAAAAAGATCTATACAGTAGCTCAGTGGGCCTTACCTGGTAAAATAAAAAAAAATTGTTTAGCATTTTTGTTTTGTTTCAGTTTGTGCAATGCTGTTAGCGAGCAACTCCTAATGTTGGTACATCACGTGACGGGGCTATTTTGGCCAACGCAGCGAACCTGGTCGCCTCTGTCTCCCCGGGGCTCTTTTAAGGCCGAGTTGATCTAGACCTTGGTCCAGGACAGGTTTAAATACCACTGTACGATGTTATGCTTAGGTTGCTCTGCTTATACTGGTAGGAACCACCTGGTTCCACCAGCCCACAGGGGATTATTGTGTTCGTCCGTCCGTCGTGCATCCAAAAATGGGAGGGGTGGGGCTGGGTGGAGAGGGGAGAGTGGGCAGGGGCTGGGTGGGGAGGGTGGGGAGGGGCTGGGTAGGGAGGGTGGGGCTGGGTGGGGCGTGAGAGGGGTGGGGCTGGGTGGGGAGGGGCTGGTCACCCCGTGGTGCCCTCATAAAACTCAACGTTTAACCTACTCACGCCGGCTTGTGCCCGCCCTCACAGTCGGCCATATTTGCGGAAAACACCACGCCGCCGTTGACACTGGACATTGACCGAGCAACCCAACGTTCCTACCAGCTCCCTCCGCAGGAATGTGTTAGTGAGGTGCACTAGCTACTCCACTATTGCGTTCCATGAATAATAAAGCCCACAGAGCTATTTAGACAGTCGGGGCAAGTGCTGTTAGCAAGCACATATTAAGCGCATGCTGGAGTAGAAATAGCCATTTGCACACGTGTCCGCCTCTGACTTCCCAGTGCCAGTACACCAGGTACTTATGTTAGCTCGAGTTGACCGAGGGGAGACCAGTTCAGATATCAGTTTCCACTGACGATATTCATGGCCGGGAATTTAACTCCGGTGGCAAGGTTTGAAGCGTGGTGCGCGAACAATTAATTCACAGCCTCCACCCACACGCACACATACACAGAGTGAAAGAGTAGGCCAAAATACGAATTTAGAGGTGTGAATAAGCATTTGCACGTATTATACAAATAGTGACTGAATGAAAGATGCTTGTTATCTTCAACTAGAAATAAGTTCTACATTTTTTCCAATTAATTTATTTGATGGCACCTACATTTCAACGCGTTTGTAGCACAGTGCGCGAACCACTGCACCACTGCTCCCCACATACAAAGAGTGCAAATATCCCCCGTATAGTCTTAACACACTGTTGGGGCAAGTGCTGTTAGTGAGCACCTATGAAGGTCAGTACGGTGCACGAGGGGTGGGTGTCCAGCACCACGCCCGACCGCCTTTGTCTCCCAAGTGGCGATGTTTGCACATTGCACCAGGTACACATTTTTGGCTGAGTCGACCTAGGGAAGGCCTTGACTGGTTCAGATAATCATCACTTGTGTTGGCCACGAGCGGGAATAAAACTCGGGTCGCCAGGTTTGGAGCGCGACCTCTTTGTCCCCACATAACACGCCAGGCACACACACACACAGAGGCACTCAAACCCAGGAGCCACAGCGCAATAACATCTCCACTCTCTGACGCAAGCAAGGGGCATGGGGATAATGTTGCCTTCAGGCAGTGGAGGAGTTCATCTGAGATTGTTCCATCTGGAATTAATATCAACAATTTTTTTGGACCAAGAAATGTTTCCATTTCTCGCACGGTGAGCCGAAATAAAAACAATCCACTACATCGGGCAAACTCGATTCTCAATTTAAAAATATAAAAATGTAATAAAGCCAAATGAAATCCCAAATGTTCCCTATCAAATATCAATAAATGGCAGGTGTAGACGACAATTAGATTTCTCCTTTGAGACGATGGATTTTCCATTTGATCTGCCCTGGGATCTCTTAACTGCAGGTGTTGTTATGAAAAGCACTTATACATGCACGTCACCGTGAGCCTGTCAAATAACAATAATGGTTCTCTACTGGGCGGCAAGGGGAGGGAGAGGAACGGTGGCGCAGCGGTTAGCGTGCTTACACTTTGACTCTGGCTATCTGAGTTTGACTCCCGGCCACAGCTAACATCATTTGCGAGCATTTTTTACACCAGTCCTGCCCCCCCTCCCCCCCTTCACCAACCCATGCTGACCAGAATGGTGAAGTATGGTCAAACAACGACCATGACCGACAAGGGATAGAGAAGAGGTCTCCAATCTGCAGTGGGTTGACACAGTTCTGAGAACAACTTTCTAATTACTCAGATAAGCCTGAACTGAGTCTGATGTTTGGGAATTTAAGGCATTTCACACGCTGCAGGAACGCACACTTCCTTGGAATAACAGCTGCGCTGATGAAGGGTTAAACACTCGACATTCGGCAAACATAGGTAAGCAACCTACTTGCTGTACTGTGCTACTATACGCATCGCCCCCGTGGTCCTGCATACCGCAATCTCACAGAGATTGGCCTCTACCATCGGGATGTGGAATTTGCAATGCTGGCTCACCATTGGAAGGCGAGCACCACCTCCATTGGGAGATAGGGGTTTTGGGTCTTTGAGTAATTTACCCTCCTGTGTTGACCCTGTGAGTACAATGTGTTTTCAGGCGGCGAAATGTAACATTACCTTGAAGCTATGAGTCATTTTGATAAATACTGTGCACGCTTGAATGCAAAGCTTGTGTGGAATGCATTAACTCGAGCCATACATTTGAAATGCGATGCTACTATGAATAATTGTCGGTGCTAAACTCAAGATATGTAGCAAAAGTTTCTATGCCTATTATAATGATTATTCACTAACTTTAAATAACTCACGTAATTAAGATGTGTGTTTACGCGTAACACTCTCAGACACGCAGCTTATCTTGAGCGCTGAAAATAATAATAATAACAACACTAATTTACCCAGATAAGCCACAAAGAGTCTCAAGTCTCTGTTTAAGGAGCGTCCTGCTTTGGGATGTTTGCCTCCATGTGGGAGGAGACCAATGAACCCAGAGGGCACCCACCCCACGCCCCTGAGGTCGATTGCCACTCAACACTGCCATCGCGACAGGGCCGTTGGTGTGCATTGCGCACACCAACCTTGCCGTGTAAGAAACATTGAGACACTTTGAGATCGCAATTAAAGCCGTTGTGATTATTATCAGGGCGATGCAGCGGTAACACTCGTCACCTCGCCCTCCACAGCCAGTAGTGCCTGGGTTCGATGCCGGACGAACGGGCGGTTTTAATTGTGGCGTTTATATGTGCTCACCCAGTCCTGCATGGGTTTCTTTAGAAAAGATTAAAGCCTTAAAAAAATCCAATAATTTTGATACTGGCAAAAAAGGTCCCATAGATTTTTTTTTCTTTCATCGTTATGTTCTCCGGTTTCCTCCGATAGCAAAAAAAACCCTACCGTATTATGTCGCCGGTTTTGGCCGAATATCCCAATGCTGAAAGACGACCTCTGCACATTGCCCAATTCAGATTACGCATCGCGCAATCGCCACCTGCCGCGAAAACATTGCAGGGCGCTCCCGCAAGAGGGTTGAGGACCAGTTAGGCTCCCCTGGGTAAACATGTGTAGTTGTAACAATAATAACAATATTAAATTTAACCGATTTAACCGCTATCATTCTATCTATGGGATCTTTTTGCCAGTATTGAAAATGATGACAAATATGAATAGGTTTTACCATTTCTGGCAATAAAACAGGTGTTCAGATACACTATGAGACCTCCTTTACCAGTGGCAAAATATAGTAGTAGGTTTTACCCTTTAAACTGGTACAAAACTGACACCCCGAGCTCTCAATACGCTGATAGTGAACTGTTTTTGAGTTGTACGCTTTTTGGTGTCATCTGGTCCAACACCAATGGAGACTAGGCTCTAAGGAAAGCTGTCTCGGGTGTGGACCAATCAACTTCAAGGACAGTGCATATTATTATCATTATCAGAGTTGTTTCTTTTTGTTTGCATTTTGACTACTTGTATTGTGGTTATTACAAACATGATGCCTTGTATAAAGGTGTCAGTTTTGTACCAGTTTAAAGGGTAAAAACCTATTACTATAGGTGTTCAGATGTTCAAACACCAAATAGATAACTTTTGCAAGCCATTAAGTCTGCATCAACCACACGTACTTGTGGCAAAACATGCAAACAAACGTGCTCTGATAATTATACATGCATTGTCCTTGAAACTGATTGGCCTACACCACCACACAGCCTCCTTAAGGGCCTCGTCTCACCAGTGTCAGAGCAGAAAACGCCAAAGGCGAACAGAACAAAGACAATGCAAATACCAGGCCACGTATAGCTCGGGCCGAGCAGTTATAACTGCAAAAGGTGTTTGGACGTCTTAATTCCTGTTTTATTGCGATAATTATGTGACCGTGGAATTGACCACCTGCAAGAGGAGAGTGGTTTTGGCTTTCTGGTTGTGCCCTCTCTTTTCCCCCCTTTGTATTGTAACTCAACACGTGCCCAGTACAAAGCACCCATCACAGTACGGGAGGTGGGGGGAGGTGTGCATGAGGAAAGCACTTTGTCCCCAGAACCATGACGTCTAGGCTATGTCTCCCATGATATGATGCCAATGGCACCAGGGTGCCGCGGTGGCGAGATGTTAACTACCTCGCCCGGTATACAGGAGAAACTCCGTTAAAAAAAAGGCTGAGTTGGGTGCGTCAGGGGCTTAACGAATTTGAGAAAATTTGGGGCTCTCTGTGCTATCTAGGTAGCGAACACAAGCGAGAGCATGAACGTTTATATGGGGAGGGAAAGGTTGAGGGGAAAGACAACCAACATAATGGGGTAAAGGTGGACAGGGAAGGGGAAGAGGAGTAGGGGTGTGTTCCCTCCTTTCAAATGTGTCATTTTATTTTTTGGGCACCAGAGGAGTTCTCGTGATTGACAGGAACGGGAAGGATCCACGCTTACCGGATGGCTCGAACGACGGTGCGGAGAGTGGGGCTCAGATTCTCCAGGGAGAGGTCGCACTGACATCTCTTGTCATCGCAGGCCTCCTCCGATGCCTCCGCTTTGCAAGACAGAAGGCGGGGGAGGGAAACGAAACGTGCAACCTCAGTGAGGCCCAGGGCCGTTCAGAGTTGGGGATACAAACAAGGGCGATTTGCCACGGGGTCCTTTAAGTTTACTCTTTGGTTCTTTCGGTAAAGTCACGTATAAAGATAAAATAATAAATTAAATAATAGCATACTACGACGTTTCGATTGCAACACAAGCAATCATCATCAGGTATAAAAGAAATAGCAACAAAAATCTAACCAAAAAACTATAGACAGACATATAAGCAGACAGATATCACAAAGATACACAGAGAGAAAACACGTATCGGCACACAGAGTTTGGTTAGCCCGTGCGTAGGAGGGGCTTCTACCGGTAAACCTCTGGCTTTAATACAAAAAATATATATTAAAACTGGCCGAAAAACCCAAGCCAGTGCCCCCGCTTGAAAAAAAAATTCTGAAATTAATTCAACGCTTTCTTGCATAAATTATTTTATAACGTAATATGTATATATGTATACACCAAGTTGTGCGTTTTCATTAAATGCCTTGTATATAATTAACCAGGTGAATGTGCATTGAGTAACTGTGCGGGCATGAATAATTGCACTTACTTGGGCATAGTTGAGGTGTGTTTTTTAAATTGAGACCTGGCAAATGATGATCGCACCGTGTGTGTCCGCACGTGTGGGTGTACGATGCCTCGGTCTGGCTCTGAGCTCTGACATATTTACATTTAAGACCTTGATGTTGCAAAAACGTGTCAATAAATTCACTGATGCGATTTGTCACGGTGAGGGGCGGTGAATATTGATTCGGCTGTTATTTTCTGCACCGTCCGTGCGTGCAAATGCATGCGCACACATCAAGGCCCTCGCCAGAGTGAGTATTAGTGCGGGACGCAAGTTATTGCCGTATATATATATATGCATGAGGACTTTTGTCAAAGTCTGCGGCTTTGGCCTTTTTAGCTTGCAAGTGAGCGGCATGGTTACTCTCGTGAGATATGTTAAAGAGAGTCAACAGAAAAATACTGATTTAATTTAAATTATAGATTTTGACGGATTTACACCAAAATTGGATGCATTAATAACTAAATATAAAATTCACAATGTGGACGTAAACCGTAGGCTGTGTTTATACGATACTTTGCGAGCCAAAGCCTGTCACAAATTCAGAGCCACAGAGTTTAGTTTGCTCCATTGCTTCATTACAGTTATATTTGAGGTTTGTGTTTGGATTAGGGATGGGGCTTGCAACTTGATTAACATTTTCATGCCACTCTAGAACCGTTTATTTATTCGCCTTTTTAAAACATCCGAGTTTTGTCAGAGCCACACAGTGCGGAGTATAATTTCAGACTACAAGATATAACTGCTCGACCCGGGATATAAATAATCTGATAATTGCATTGTATCTTTCTACTGTTCACATATTGGCGTTCTCTGGTGTGACGCTGTGTGAGAAAAGGATAATCAAGACGGCTGTCTCTGGTGTAGGCAAATCAGTTTTGTAGACAATGCAAATCTATATAATTTTCAGAGCATGTTTTTGATTGCATGTTCTATGTATTTGCTGTTTAAACATCTTAACACCTGTTTTATTCTAGATTTGAATCTAGATTTGAAGTTTTATTGCCAGAAAAGATAAAACCTATTCTCATTTTTCATCTCTATCTGCTCTCAGAGGGGCATTGCTCGAAACATCAGCCAATGCATCTTCTCTTTTAAGGCAGTGCCATCGTTTGATATGTGTGCTAATATTAGACACGTCCATCATAACGATGATAATAATGTACAGTCCTTTGCAATCATCCACTGCTGGATGGAGACCTACTGACATATTGGCTGTGGGGGTCGTTTGACCATACTTCCCCATTCTGGTCAGGGAGAGTTGGTGACAGGAACCGGGACCAATTCAGATATAAATCCACGCACTGTGCTAACCACCACACCACTGCTATACCATAGTTAGGATACGGCTATTGTAAACATTTGGGCCAGTGTTAGTGTCAATGTTAGTGTGCAGTAGGGTCAGTGCGAGAGTGCAGTTTGAGGTTAGTGCTATTGTTGATGGTTAAGGTTATGATGAGGGCAAGTTCCAGAGTTATGTTGAAGGTTAGGGCTCTTGTTGAGTGAGGGTTAGTGGTCATGCGAAAGGTTCAGACTCGCGTAGGGCTCTAGACAGAGGGGACATTCATCTAGGCGTGGCTCTTTCACCAAATGCACCTTGGGTTATCTTAAATTCCACTAATTTCACCTCTCATCCGTCAGATCCTTCATGGCCGCATGAGGACGGAGGATGACTGAAAACACAGCCGGACTGCAGGCTGAGCGGGAGCCTGCCTCGCGATGACCGGCCACTAGATGGCCAGTCTTTAAAGGGGAACGCACTCAACAAGCATGTCCTCGGGTCAGCTAACCTCGCTCAGACCGAGGGCCCCATTCCATGTGGATGTTATGGCCGCCATTCCCTAGAAAAGTGGCCGAATGACGGCGAATTAAAAAAATTCAATCCGGAAAAAAATTATAATCCGCATTTGTCAAATTAAAGGGCAGCCGATTGTACACAGACATGGCACTGCTACCAGCACCGCCACGCGTGGCCCATCGCTGGCACGGTTTAGGCAGGAGCCGACAACTGCACAGTTTCCACAAATGTGGCTTTCATTCGATGACGCAAGCTCCCCCTTAACTTGTATTTACGAGCTTGCGTCTTGAATCGCTGCCTCACTTGATGCAGCAAATCTGGCTGTGACGGTCCCACCTGATCACGGAGACTTGTGTTGCCTCCGAAACGTCGTGATTTTATTATTTTATTTTTATTCATTTTATTTCTTTTTTTTACCTACGTGACTTTACCGAAAGAACTAAGAGTATGTTACTGCTCTCGTTAACATTACAACGTAGAGCGTAAATGAAAGCAAGTTTGTAAAAAAAAAAAAGCCACGTTTTAAAGAAGTGTTGTTGTTGTTGTTGTTGTTTCACACCGTTGTTGAGAACCATATCCCATGGCGGTTGTCAAGGAGACCCCCAACTCGTGGGGGGGGGGGGGGGGCTCAAGACCCCCCCCCCCCGCCTGCCCCACGCCCGCTACGCTGCTCACCACGGCACGGCAAACTCTTACACGATTCGATTCCACAAATTCGATTCCAAAGCTCCGATTGACCCTCCGCTGACCGATACTTCGGCAGGCCCAGTGGTGAATGGTGACGTCACAAAAGTGGATATCGGCATTGGGGGCTCAATCTCAGCACGGGAGCATCTGAGCTAGAAGCTCAGAGGCAAGGAAGAAGACTACAACACGTGCATGAAGGGGGCGGTGGGGTGGGGAGGTCCATTCCTAAACCTTAGAGCAGTCTTTAATACCTGAGCCCAGAATGTCAATAAGATGGCCAATCCCACCCCCTCGTCCCCTAAAGAAACCCCCTCCCCGCCCGCTCTGATGGGTCCAGTGCACCCGATACCGTCGATGACACTGCGAACGCCGTCCAGAATGTCGGGATATTGCAACGTATAATTCGAGTAGGGGATGTGGAATGAAAAATATTTTACCAAAAAAAATGTGCGAAAATATCGCCTGCGGAGTGGACGTCCTGAGATTCGGAGCCGTGAACTTGCCACTTGCCCCATAAGCCGACTCCTTCTGCCCGTTGCCATCATGAAGTCATCACTCACAATCGTCACGTGACAGCCATTCTCATGCCACTGCTATGCCGACAGTGGCATGCCACAGGTGCGTACTTATCAGCAGCATCATCACACGCCCGTCAACCCACGCGGTTTAACCCGAATTCTTGCGCAGGGGAATTGAGTTTTCAAGGTCCATACGGCGTACAGCCGTTTCGATGCAGGCACATACACATTGTTGTGTCTATCTGTGTTGTGTTTCTCGCTTGTGATGGGACTTTGTAGGATGAACGTTGAGATTTATGAGGGGCACGGGGTGACCACTAAGGTCTGAATTGGTCTGTAATCAGGTAGGGGCACTGGTAAGGGGTTGACAGGCATGTCATCATCACAGTGAACCAGTCTCTCTCCACTGCTAGACAATGTACCACCACCACCACCACCACACCACACTGAACCAATCTCTCTCCACTGCTAGACAATATACCACCACCACCACACTGAGCCAGTTTATCTCTATTGCTCGGCTATAGATCACCACCACACCACACTTAGCCCATCTCTCTCCACTGCCAGACAAAGCACCACCACCGCACCGCGCCAGTCTCTCTCCACCGCTGGCTGGCCGCGTACCCTCGGAGCACTGGCGAGACTGCGCCGCGCGGAGCCGCAGCGATGGCCGGAAGCGCGTGCGGTCGTTGAAGCTCCAGCTCTTGGTGACCTTGGCCGGGCTGCCGGGCCCCGCCGCGTCCGCGCTGGGGGAGCGGCGAACAGCGCCCGGGGCGCACCGGCCCCCCGCGCCGCCACGGGGCGGGGGGCCCGGGGCGCCCGCCCCTGCCGTGCCGCCTCCGCCAGCGCCGCCCGCAACTCCTCCGGCGCCGCGTGGGCTCGACAGGCGGACGCGCTCGCGCAGACTCAGCTTCTGGCTGCGCGCGCGGGATGGACACGCGTTGAGCACGTGGACCGTTTAGAACGAGTGGTCACAATGAAGGTCACAAACGGCACAAGAGGCGGTGGGTGGGGTGGGGTGTCTTAGCACAACGCCCGGCCAGCCTTCGTCTCGCCGGTGGCGATGTTTTATGCACACCGAACCAGATGCTCATTGGAGGCTGAGTCGACCCAGGGGTGGCCCAGGACCGGTTCAGATAATCGCCATCACTGGTGTTGGCCGTGAGCGGGAATCGAACTCGGGTCGCTGGGTTCGTTGCGCAGCGAGCTAACTGCTGCACCACCGCTCCCCACACACGTACAAAGACCCCCCGTGTAGCCACTAACAGGCTGTCGGGGCAAGTGCTGTTGGCGAGCACCTATTAAGGCCGGAATGGTGATAAGGGTTTTGTGGTAATCACAACCACCGACCGCCATTTCTCTCCCCAGTGCCGATGTTCCATACACACCGCACGTGGCACTTTTGTTTTTGTTAAGGCTGAGTCAACCTAAAGCTCGGACGCCTCGACTGGACAGGAACAATGAAATTCAAGGAGGAAATGCAAGAGGGAACATTGCCTGGCAAGCGGGGTAGTCAGCGGATCGACAATAGGATAGCACTCGTCACCGTGTGCGGCCGGGAATCACCGAGTTCGTAATGAAGTGCGCTCGCCACTACGCCACGACCACCCACTGCCACATCGATTAACACGCAAACACACACACACACACACGCACACACACTCGCACACACACACACACATGCACACACACACGCACACACACGCACACACGCGCGCGCGCGCGAGCGTTATATTAATAGTGACCGAATGAAAGATGTGTGTCATCTTCAACTCAGAAGTGTCTCGCTTGGCTCTAAGTCTTTCTCTCGCCGGTTACTTCTCGCTGACGGAGTCCTCCTTTACAGGCGGGGCACTTTGAGATAACATTTTTAAGGGCGCTTCACGACTTAAATTTTTTATTAAAAGTAGTACACCATTGGTACCTCATTTGCCAGTAAAAAATATGATAATTGTTTTTTTACCCTTTTATCTGGCAACAAAACTGACACCTTTTTTACGAGGAGTCGTGGACCAATAAACTTCAAGGACAGTGCATACATTATCAGAGTTATGTTTTTGGTTTGCATTATGACTGCAGGTATTGTGGTCTATGCAAACATGACTCCTCGTAAAAAAGGTGTCAGTTTTGTTGCCAGATAAAAGGGTAAAAAACCAATGATCAAAAGTAGTACATTCAAACGCGGTGCGGGGGATGAGCTTTGAAGCCACCAAACGATGATACGCTTGCGTAATTCACCGCGTTAAGTCGTGGCGCCAGAGCACAAATCCCACAACTCTTCTCAGCACATTAATAATGCTCCTTCATCAGCCCATGTGGCGTGTAACTCAGTTGCCAGAGGTGTGGGCGCCGGAGCCTCAAGCACCCGCTGCTGCTGCTCGCAGCACGGCCAGGGACGCGGCTGAATGGTGGGAAACCGCGTTTGTGTGAAGGTGGGACATTGCGAGTGGCAGCCAAACCCCGTGTCCCTGAGCCTCATTAGCGCTCCGATAGGATTCACAACGCGCCGATCCCTAAAGCCCTGGAATATGAATTCATGAATGTGCAGCTGAAGGTCTACGGAAGGTGTGAGCCTACTTTATTTAAACGAAACGACTCATTAAAATGTGCGGGTCTCAGGTGGCACATTGCACTCCAATGTGCCGCAGAATGCCGGTGTGCATGGAACAAGTGACGGAGGCACACTCACGGTATAAATACCGCGTGTGGTGACCCCACTCCCGTGGCACGGTGACGTGTGAGCAGGGGAGGTTGGGGGATCGTTAGAAGAATGAATCTGAATTTGGGTTCACACTGGAGGAATCCGATGAGCTATGAAGCTCGTTTTCACTAATGTCCAGTCGGAGCCGGTCAGAAAGATGATCACATGCTCGAGTGGTTAGCAAGACATCCAGTGGATGGCGGTGCAACATCGCGAGTCAGCTTTTTTTTAACCTACTTGAATTAATTGTTGCATGCTATCCCTCATCCAAGTGGATATTTTGCAGGTACAGTATTCAGGTCTGAGAGGACGTCCACGAGGCAGAAAGAGTGGTGACATCAGCTCGTGCGCTGGCACAAAGATGTTCTGGGTGGATTAGTCTAGCGCATGATGGTGAGAGACGGCGGTGAATTGAGGAGGCCTTCATCCAGCAGTGGATCGGCCATGGCTGACGACGGCGATGAATACTCGCAGGAATGATCGTCTTGAGGCTCAGTGAAGATTTTTTTTTAGAAAGAAGACATTTGTTAGGAGACACCACAACCACATGTACCACGTATAGTAGTTGTGTGTTAATGTGCCTGAAGCCCGCGCCACTATCAATTTGGTTACATTGTAATTTTATAGAATTTCAAAGTGACGGCAAGTGGGAACGTTGCAAAATCAGGTTTTGGAGCGACGCTCAAAAGGTCAGGGAGCGAGGGAAAAACCCAATGGCAGAGCCAGGATTTTCAGGTAGGGGAGGGGGCAACCCCTCCAGCAATGAAACATGATAGAGGAGTTGTTAGTCAGTAAGGACTTGTCCCTTGCTTTTTATTCGACGCGTGTGCGGCGATGGCGCAACCATCGATCGAGGGTCGAATTCGAACCGCGTTGTGTGATCGGCATCGCGCTCGCTGAAGGTGTTTGCCTCCAGGGAAGTCGTGTACTGTATACGCAATTGCGCACACTTCTGTGAGTCACTTATAACCGCTTTGCCGTTACTTATTGACAATTATGGACTCAGACTCTTGTCCTATCATCTCATAGTCCCTGGCACGTAATAATATGCTACACAGTGGCAGTGGGGGTCGCAAAATGCCGATTTATTATTAATAAACCCCAATGATCCGATCGAAATTAGGGATTTTTATCGGATCATTGGGGGGGCACGTGCCACCCCACTCCCCCCACTAGCTCCGCCAGTGGGAAGACCTAAAGCCGGATGGTGGTGGCGGTGTTCAGAATGGACCTTGATTGTCGGGTGTTGACCACGCAACTGCTGTGGGATCTGGCAGAAGGAAGGAAGCAATGGCAAAATAGTATAGCATCAATGACATTGGCTGCAATGGCCTCTTGACGTCGACCATTAAAACAACAGTTACACCGCTAACGTTGGCGGAGAATAACAGACAGAGGTGAGCGGGGGTGAGGAAGGATGCGATGGGAGCTTTTTAATGGAGCTCGAAGTCGACTTGAGGGGAGAGAGAGAGAGTGTGTGAGCTCGGGGGGTCTGGCACGGAAGAAGGTGAATTCTGCGAGGAACATTTGCGTCGACAAAGGTTACCACTCAAGTCGGCTAAGGTGTGGTCTTATGAAGTCCGGTGGTCATCACCTGCTGCGTGCAAATGTCCAGATTCACGTCGTCGTTGTTTGCCGTCCATTGTTGGCAAACGGCTTCGTAATGAACGCAACAGCATGCAAAATGCGCAGCCAATTCCAGAGTTAAACGAAAGTTATAGTGAGTTGAAAGAAAAAGAGTGCCTTCAAATTTGGAGAATGCGGTACCTCTGAACACGGTGCATGCTGTGGACAAAATGCATGTACGTAATTCATTGCTCGTGTGAATCCTTGAAAGTGGTGTTTAGCTAAAAATCTAATTATTCAACGGGCACATTTTTTTATGGGAATATCAAGACCGCTCCAAGCAGTTTTAATAGACCGATGCTTGAAATGACTTGAGGGGACAAACACTTTACCTCCACGTAGACACGTCAGACTGACTCTCGTGAGCGGGGTAAACAAGGCGTACTGTGATCGCTCAGGGATTGTAGTTCTCTTGGGTGTGAGGGGGGGGGGAGCCCCCCTCAATAAAAACACATAAACACTAAAGCGATTTACCGCGAATGCTTTTCGCGATCGTCCTCTAGGGCTCTCTCCAACGTGGCGCATTCAGGTTGGACCCACTTGTTGTTGTTGTTGTTAGACACCGTGGCAGCGTTTGTGTCGACAGCTTCTTCAGCCCGTGCAGCAAAACGTCGGACATCGGGCCGAACAACACGCGATACGAACCGGTGTCGCGTGGGAGATTTATTAAAGTGATATTTATTTATTCGGGAAAGCCTCGCCGAGGATTGGGACTCTGTTCAACGTCTGGCCTGCAATGGGATGTTTAGGGGTGGGGGGTGAATCCATTTTGGGTATTTGAACACGTGCGGAGAGACCGGAATTACTGAACAAAACTCACTCATCCGAGAGGATACTATTTAATCATCCCTAAAGTTGTTATTCTCCTTGACGTACAGCTGTGCAAAAGCTTCCTTTGCAGCAACCCTGACATAAGATGTTCTCAGCATCATCCACCAAAGCCCCACCTTTGAAAGCACCGGGTTACCGCTTCATTGGAATCGCTTGAGTTACATAGCAATCTCTGAGCTCCAAGGCAGATTTTTACAAGTGTCTTGTTTGAGATATCTGGTAAGAAGAATGTTTTTTGAGGAAACTGGAGTGCCCAGAAACAAGCACACGCAGTTAAGCGGGGAAATGATTGGACACGCGGGTATGGTATGGATCGTAGCTATTGAGGTTTGGATGCAATGAAAACCACAACAAATATCCATCATTCAACGAATAATAGAGCATTTTCCAGGTGCAATTATAATCAAAGCAGCCATACTCAAATGAAAATGGTCATACTATAAACACGAGGGCGTTGACAATGAGATTTGCCATTTGTAAGAGATGCATAAAAAAAAACACAGCTCACACTGTGCATCGTCAACGTAAGAGATAACAGATATCACAGTCACTGTATTCACCCGTCACACGAGGCTATTTATAAACACGTAAAGCTTAGCAAGGATTACAGTTGCACTGAGACACGGAGCAGCAAATACATGGCACGGAAGGGCGCGATGAGGTGCCCGCGTCCGAAAGGGGACATTTGAACATGTCCGCATTCACGTCACATTCACGTACCGCTGCGTGCAACGTGCGCGCACCCTAACTTCACGTTGAAACGGGGCAATTAAGGAGGGGAGCCTCGGTGATTGATACGCTATTGCAGCGTTTGAAAATGAGAGCGCGGTGCTGTAGGTGCGGAATTATGGGATGGCCTTAAACAAGATTTGGTAGTCCCCGTTGACCCGAGGCAGATAACCGCGCACGATCACGCGGCGAGCGTAATCAGCCGGCTGCCAGCAGGGAGAAAAAAAATCGGGCATCTCAAAATAGGAAATACAATTTTCCGCTTGACCGTGTTTGCTCAAATGTCACCTGTTGGGCAATGACTTCCCTCCGCTCGTTGTCGTTTATAATTGAAAAAAAAAACATCTTCAATGCAGTGCTGGTAAAGGGATACGGCTGGAGGTTTTGAGTGTGGATGTTTCACTTTGGTCAACAAGGCCACGTCGCATTTGGATGAAGGTGGAGAGACTTTTGAGCTTTTCACAGGCCCAGGGGGTTGTGAAATTTCTCGAGCGTATTCCTCCCCGTCTCACCTGGGCGACTCCAACCTAACCCCCTCCCCCCCCCCAGTTCGTTCTCTACGTTGGGCCCACTCTGGCCTCCTTCGCGAAACCCTCGCCCTTCTGTGGGCCACTATCCGGTGGACGCTCTTTCGCAGCCACTACGCCACCGCCTCTCTGGAACTCACTCCCCACGAATCTCCGGCTCTCCTGGAACCTCCTCCCCTCCCCCCCCCGTCTTCCAACCAACTTCCCACGTAGAACAGAACGTGTCCGATTGCGTCCAAAACGGTCAATACGGACTTGCCCAATTCCAGACATTACGTGTAAAGTTCATGAGCGTAACCAGGTGGTGAGAACTCGAGAGTCTCATTTGCAAGAGAGACCTGGGGCAATATTCTGCCTGTAGGGGACGTCAGCTCCGATTATCCTCGCAGCGTTAGCGGCTTTAGGCAAACCATCTGACAAAGGCGGCGGGCGGTCACCGCATCGCGCGCTTTCAGATGCGCTTCCGTGGCCGTCCGGAACGCTCTTCCTTCCGATATGAGGAAGCCACTGGAGCTATATGCACTTTTAAATAATTTCGATTGAAAGCTCATTTCTTTAGAATTGCTTTGTGTGTTTAGTTTGTTGTCCTTCCCTTGCCCGTCCGATGAGCACGGTTGGCTACGTACGGTGTGAAAGAAGTTCAACAATACATACGGACATGTATAGTGCTCTCTGTGTGATCCCAATTAAGTTATTTGCGGGTAATAATCGAGTTTGTGGTGACATTTTGCACCCTGAGGCCGGCAATCAATGGCCTACTCTTGTGAATCACGCCAGAGGATACCCGCTAATGGTTATTGGATTGGGGAGGGGTGCGGCATGTGGAGTGACGTCAGCCCGCTCATGATTATTAACGAGGGGAGTGGTGCGGCATGTGGAGTGCGCGACCTTCTTGTGCGTTAGTGTAAATTTACACGCGGGCATGAATATTAATGAAGGTGGGGGGGGGGGCTCTTTTGCAGTGACGTCACGCACGGATGTAGCACTGTGCTGCGTAGATTAATTTTGTTACCGTCACTTTCTATACAGAAACGTCATATTTGAAGCGAATTTGCGTTATAAATGATTTCATTCAGCTCGACCTCCCTCTGCGTTCGTGTGAAAATCCCCCACTCATGAATATTAATGAAGGGGGGGGGGTGGGCCTCATGTGGAGTGACGTCAGACAGGTAATTGTAGTGTTATTGAATTTCACTCACCCCCCCCCCCCGCAGTGTGGAAAGCATGAGAATCCATGCTAATTGATTAATCGATGCATAATCTCACCGCTAATTAATTATGAGCCGTCATGGGATCTCCTTTGACGAATGTACTTTGAAGTGATTTGCCTAACCAGTCAGGATACATTACGTTCATTTAATGCTTTCTTTTGTTTGCGTACTCCCGCTGTTGTTGTTACGGTACAGCAGAGGGACTACGGGCGTCGTTGACATGAGCGCCATGCACCACGCGACACACGCGAAAAATGCACGACGTTGAATGTGACATTTCTTGGCAAGATTTGTGCGTACATGCGCGTGTAATTCGCGTGCGGTGTGTGCATGCATTTAGATTTACGTGTATTTGCTTGCATTTGGATGGTATGTCTGTGCACGCGTTTGGATTTGTGTGTATGCGTGCGTGCGCGCGTCTGTTTGCGAGACTGCCTGCGTGTGCCAGTATGTGTGAAACTTATTTGCGTGTCCCTGCGAATGTGTGTGTGTGTGTGCCCTTCGTGCGTGTGCGTGCGTGTGTGCGCATCGCCGATAGGAAGACCAATGGGTGTGTTGCTGGCCAATCGCTCCCGTGGTGTCTCGTGCTGGCTATCATAGGTGCTCGGTGACAGAACATTATGACCAAACAGTCGATTAAGGCCATATGAGGGATCTTTGTATTTTATGTGTGTGCATGCTGGTGTTTGTGTGTGTGCAGCGCGCTAACCACTACACCACCGTTCCCCTCTACAACAATGGCGGTTGTTGTAGAGGGGAGCGGTGGTGTAGCGGTTAGCGCGCTGCATTACGAACCTGGCGACGCGGGTTCGATTCCCGCTCACGCAAACACCCAGTGACGATTTTCTGAACCGGTCTTGGGCCTCCCCTAGGTCGACTCAACCTCAAATGAGTAGCTGGTGCGATGTGTAAACATCGCCATTGGGAGACAAAGGCGGCCGGGCGTGGTGTTGGCCACCCACCCCCTCGTGTCCCGTGCCGGCCTTTATAGGTGCTTGATAACAGCTCTTGCCCCTACAGTCTGTTAAGGCTATACTGGGGGATCTTTGTCTTTGTTGTGTAGAGCAGGGGTGGGGAACCTTTTTTTTGCCAAGGGCCATTTGGATATTTATAGCATCATTCGCGGGCCATACAAAGTTATCAACTTAAAAATTAGCCCGTTATATTTGCTCAAACATTTAATGAACTCACCCCTAACGTGATGGCAGGAACTGCTTCTCTTTGGCGAGGCGTGTGATGATGTTAGCCTGGTATTGATGCTGTTGCTACTCGCAACTGCTTGTCCAGGTTTGCTCCTGGATTTATTGAATTTCGAGTCCGCCTGCGATTGCCTTGGCAGGGCCACACCAAAAATGATTTCGCGGGCCTCATACGGCCCGCGGGCCGGACGTTCCCCACCCCTGGTGTAGAGGATCAGTGGCACAGCGGTTCACGCACGGAGCTTTGACCTGAGTTCTATTGCCAGCCGCGGCAGTGCGAGTGGCGTGTGGCATCAGAACTGGTTCTGCACCTCAGCTAGGTCGACTCAGGGGCCGTCCATAAATGACGTCACGCGATTTTGGACGATTTTTGACCCCCCCCCCCCATCGTTACACGGCGTCACAAAAAGTCAGACCCCCCCCCCTCAAATATGACGTCACAAAGCTCTGCCTCCCCCCCCCGCCAAAAACCATATTTCCATTTTGAAAATAAAACATGCTTCAAATCGCTTTAAACTAGTTGTCATTGTAGTGCGTATTTAATGTGGCGCTGTACTTTGAAAATGTTGTAGGAGAAAACATCAAAACGTCTATTTAATTAAGTAGAACGTTGTCTATATTTATTTAAAGTTGCGCATTTTGATGTGACGTCACATTTCTCAACCCCCCCCCCCTCGTCACACATCGTCACAAATGTCTCACCCCCCCCAGGTGCGTGACGTCATTTATGGACGACCCCTCAGGTGTGAGTGAGTAGCCCGTGGCAGTGTTTAAAGTCCCCCGAGCGCGACGCGGTGCCAACAGCACTTTGCGTGAGCGGTCTGGTGTGAGGCTACGCAGGAAGACACACACACGTGCTGTGGGTGTTCACATCAAGAGTGCGAATGCAGCAGTTTACCTTAAAGTGGCATCGGCTTGTTCTTTCCTAAAACAAGAGGAAAATAAGAGTGAGAGGGCAACTTCACCGGTGTGTTATTGTTTCTACATCGGCACCGATTGAGACTTCCCCTGTCCATAGTCCAGCACGACGAAGGCCACACCTCTCTCTGTGTGTGTGCGGCTCAGCGTTGCCACCTCTGCAACCAGCAACGTCTAAGACGGAGCTGGGGGAAAACAGGCTCCACCCGTGCACTTCGTACGGTGCGAAAGAAGTTTAACGCGCGTACAGACATACGACGTACAACACAGACTAACACAAACACACCACACACACAACACACACAAACACACACAAACACACCACACACACAACACACACACACCACACACACAAACACACACCACACACCACACACACAAACACACAGTACACACAACAAACACAACACACACAAACACACAAACACAACACACACAAACACACACAACACACGCGCGCGCGCACTTAAAGCAGAAAGAATTCAGAATACTTTAATGCAGAGTAGATAATTAAATAAGCAACATGATAAAGTGTCAAATGTTCCCATATTTTAGAAAGAATGCTCTCCGCTTGAGGACAGTGCTATGTTTATTTCTTTATTTTGCCCGAAGGCTGTTGTGGTAAAGGCCACGGTTATTGGATGGGACATGGTTTAATATTTGCTCTGATTTGCAGCTTTTATAAAATGCGCCCCGATTTATTTCCTTCACGCAATATGAAGGCCGGACGACTTGATGAGCGTGAATTAAGTGCATCTTCCAACTGACACGAGGTTGGCACCACGCTAATTCAGTAGTTGGAATTCCAACGCAGGCCGATAAACACACTCGGCGAATGAAATCGAAGCGTTGTCAAAACAACACCCCCGTCTGCTTTAATGTGGCCGTGAACTTCAGACCTCGTGTGGTCGCTCGCAAGCGTAAACAGCGGAGAGAATGCCCAACCCCGTTATCGGCAGGGAGCCGTGAAAATAACTCTTAACGGGGGTGGCTCAACTCAGCGACCCTTCAGAGCAGAGTGATGGAGTGGAGGCACCTCGCGATGACCCCACGTATTGGCCGCGAGTAATACAGAAAACGCCTATTCAAAATTAGCCGAAAACAAGGCATGTAGTATTTACTTGCGTAGCATCTCGCCACGGTGGCAAGATGTTACCCACCCCGCCTGGTATACAGGCGGTCATGGGTTCGTTCGATCCCGACCCTGATGCCTGCATATTTGGAGTTTTCATGTTCTCCCCGTGGTCGCGTGGATTTATCTCCGGGTCCTCCGGTTTCCCCCTCCACATTTAGAAACACGCGTTTAGAGTATTTGGTTTGCTGTAAATTTCCACATGATAAGCCACTTCGTTGGGCTATCACTTGTGACCAGGCCGCTTCAGAAAAATAGCTATCAAGCTCAGCAGGCCTTAACCTCAGAAAAAAAAACGTGTTTTGAATGGTAATATGATCGGTACAAGAAGCCAGGGAAGACAGCGAATTAAGTACATAGTCATTTGGCCAACTGGATGCAACCGGGATGATAGAATCCAAAGTTCGAGTAATTATCGCAGACAGAGCTGAATGGAAGAAGGCCAGGATCGCCGACGTATTTGAGAAAGGCGGCGGCTCAGAGAGAGCGAGACGTACAATGTGAAGACACACAGCGCGTGGCGTCCGTTTGTATTGCTCCTGAAAGTAATCGGCTTCTGAGTAAACGAGTTGGGAGCAATTCTAGATTTGACGCTTTCGTGACTGCAAGGATTCATACTCTTAGTTCTTTCGGTAAAGTCACGTAGGTAAAAAATGAAATTAAAATGAATAAAAGAAAAAAATATTTTATTATTTTATTAATTTTATTTCATTTTAATTAAAATTAATAAAATAAAAAAACATTTTTAAATAAAAAATAAATGTTTTATTTTTTATTTTATTCATTTTTAATTTCATTTTCTACCTACGTGACTTTACCGAAAGAACTAAGAGTATGAGTTGGGAGCAGCTCATCTGAGAAGCAGCGTGCGTACAATGCACGTACAATGCACGTACAATGCACGCTGCGAAACCGAGTACCCTAGTTTATATTTACACTCCATTTTTTGAAGGCACCGTTAACTGCATAACCCGGATAACCTGCCCATAGGTAACCGAGAGGAGTTAACTTGCACCACCTTTCAGAAAGCCAGCAGTGGTGTTCTTTCGGAGCGACTGAGCCCTGGACATGAGAATGTGGAATTTCCACCACTGCTTTTTTCCTTTTCCAAGGCGCGAGTCATTTTGGTAATATTTTCTGAATATAGTTCAAGGTGTGAATTGTTTCTGCTATTAATGCTTAAAAAATATAGAGCTTACAGGAAAGGGGTCCTTATTAAATGTCTCATCATGGTGGAAAGTCAGCAGTGTCAAGCTCTGCCAGAATATTCCCTTTGGCCAAATAGCCTAATTTGATGTTGAGATGATAGGACGAGATGAGCTAAAATAACTGAGAAGTTTAAAGAAAAAAGGTCGTCTCGAGGAACGTGCAGGTTTTTAGGGCTCCCTTGAAGGTATAGAATGATGTGAGCGGGAGTGACCGTGGGATTTCAGGAAGATCATCGCGTGAACGCCGGACTTCTGACCTTGGGCATTTCCAAGTAAATTACGACGCACAGGGCTTGAATGATGAAAGGGAAGAGCTCACCAAAGGAAATATTGTTCCTGCTGCACCCAATATAAATGATTACCAGCGCGGCACATATCTAAATTTTACCAAAATTTCCGCAAATAATCCCCACGAATTCTGTTTATTTCCGGAATTTGTGTTGAATAAAAAAAATGCTTTTTGTGTCGTCAAAATTTTTCATATTTCATATTGCTTTGCTACTTTCACCAAAGCCATGTTTTGGCTTTGGCATTTCACAGCATGGTCCAGTGAAATTCTTCCCAAGAACATTCGCGGCGTGAAGATCGTGACAAACTGTGGCATCTGACACTTTACTTCAGCCCGTCCAAGTGACGCGTTGCTCGTTCGAGTGAACATTACAATCACTACCATTCAGATGCATCTGCTGCAGCGTTGGCTTGCATCAAGACGTGATGCCCGTCACGCCGTATTTACGTGGATGTTTTATTTAGTTATATAATTTTTCACGAATAATTATTCTCCCCCCCAGTCCTCCCCTTTGCCAAAGGAGGGATTCACGATGGCTTTGTTACAAAACCGAGCCAGCTATTGACCGGGCAGTCTGAAGACAGCCTTGATGTATCTCAGCCATTCCTATCACAAATATATAACACGTTCACGCAGACCATTCGAAACAGAACAATGGACGCTTTAGGTGGCAATCAACAATGTAATGAAGTAGAAAATTATGAAAGATTTCTCTACCTTCAACCATATAGTTCACATTTGTACTATTTGTTTCCCTCGATTTGCGCAGGGTTTGGTTTGTGCGGTGGCTTTCGCGACCAATATTATTCAGAATAAAGCTTTGTTTTGGCACGATCGCGTAAACTCACCACCACCCAACACAGCCAATCAGTAATGTTTGTCACGTAAACAAAAGTTCCAATTATATTCTACTCCAGTCCACCGGTGTGTCGGAGAGTAAATCCACAACAGTTACAATTTGAGTTAAGGACGTTTCGCTGGTGATTACAACGACCAGCTTCACCAGAATTGTGAAGAGATCTACGTGTTTCCGGTCTGAAATCATCGAGCAAGACGACGTCACCACTGTGAGCCATTCAGGTGCGGAGAGCAGAGTCGGGGTTTGTTGCAATCACATAACAATGGATTATGTTAGTCTGGAACAGATGGGTAAATCACAGTCAATGAGTATATCTATGCCTTGACACGGCATACAATTGGAAGGGTACTTAATAATACACTTGCAAGAAGTACCAAGGCTGTAGTTGTCAGAAAGGTGAAACTAGTTTGTAATTTCTCTCAATTTCAATAGATTCTCTGATTCGTCTTGTTCAGTCATAATTAGTTTCACACAACCCATCAACGTCTTCAAAATCAATTGAATGTCTTTGTTGGGAAGTACAGGGTGCTTTGAAAATGTTAACACTTCTGAGAATTTGCAACAATACCACGAGAGATGCGCCTCCGGGCTCTAGAGACCACCTGGAGAAGATTCCAGGCCACGTGTTGACAACGATGGCAAACAAGTGGAGACTCTTTGACTTTTGAAGATATTAACATGATATTTGTTATCATGTTACAGTGTTAATTGGTTTTCTACCCTTTTATCTGGCAACAAAACTGACACCTTTATTAACAAGGAGTCATGTTTGCATTGACCACAATACCTGCAGTCGGAATGCAAACAAAAAACATAACTCTGATAATGCATGCACTGTCCTTGAAACACCATGTGAGACTAGGCTCTAAGGAAAGCTGTCTCGGGTGTGGACCAATCAATTGCAAGGACAGTGCATACATTATCAGAGTTATGCTTTTTTTGCATTCCGACTGCAGGTATTGTGATCAATGCAAGCATGACTCCTTGTTAATAAATGTGTCAGTTTTGTTGCCAGATAAAAGGGTAGAAAACCCTATTATCATATTTTGCTACTGGCAAATGAGGCTCCAATGATGTTACAGTGTATTATCCGTTCTTTTTCCATTGAAAACGATAGTCCCATATAAGCGTTAACATTTCTTTGCAGCACCCTGTATGTTCCACAACTGCCGACAGTTGTGTGCTTGCGAGCTATTCATTATTTTTCTGCCGTTCTTTTAGTCTTATGCTAGAAAAACGATTTGCCAAAGAGAAGCCAGTTTAGTCATGCGCCGCAGTTGCCGGGATGTCAGCCAAGGTACTCAGCGAGGAGGGGGGCAGCGCACTGCTCGCGAGCTCACCGAGTCGCTCGTTTGCTTTCACATCTAATGACCGCGTGTCTCGGCGTGTTGAGAATTTGTTGTTGGAGCAACGAGGAAGCATCCTATGAAGACTTGGGACGGCACCAAACACCACGCCTCACCGCCGTTGTCTCCCACAGTACTGGGTGTTTACACACCGCACCAAGTACTCATTTAAGGCCGAGTGGACCTAGGGGAGGGTCCTGGTCCGGCTCAAATATTCACCACTGTTGTTGACCACGAGCGGGAATTTAACTTGGGTCGCCGGGTTTGCAGCGCTGCGGACGAACCACCGCGCAACCGCTCCCCAACAGATTGAAATGTTATTACTGCATGGGAGAAACCTCATTAGCATCGTCTCAGGCTGATATCTTCAGGGAACGGTTAGTATTCATTATGGCCAGACATCTACAGATGGTCAGGTCTCAGAAACCCTGTCATCTGCATATATTCTAATCGCATGGTCTGTCTGGGGAATGAATTAAATCGCTGTTACGCAACCACCAGTTTTGAATAGCAACACCCTTGCCAAATTGCACTGGCGTGTTTACGATTTTGTGGCACGAACAAGCTAGCACAAGCAGGGGGGGGACCTCGTGCTCATCTTCATTGGTGGTGCTGAGCAAGTGGTGGGAATTTCGAGAGGAGTCGGTTATCACGAGCTTCACGAGTGGTTGTGATGACAATATTCTTCTTCTTTTTCGAAGCCAGGGGTCCCCCACCCTCCAGTGCGGCAGGGGCTCGGCTGATCGCATTTGCCCTCTCGGTGTTTTTATATCCTCCACCTCATCCACTGCTTTCCTCGTATCTCGTTCCACTGCATCCTTCCATCTCACTGTCGGTCTCACTCTGCTCCTTCTGCCCTGCGCTTGTGGCATCTCCGTAGCCCGTCTCATTGCATCTTCATTCAACACAAGCCCAGCCACCGACACCCTCACCTCCCTTGCTTTCTCGATGATCACACATTACGGACATTGAAGTTTGGGGTCGTAAAGAGAGGGCACATTTCTGGTAAAATTTCACTGTGCTAGCATTGTTGTGGTACTCGTATTGAATTCACAGCCTTACATCCACTGTTCGTTACTGCTCGAGGGAGTGCTCACACAGAATGTGTTCCTGCATTATCCACCAGTAGACTTGTTAAGCCAAGCAGCGGGGCGGTAGCCGAGTAAGGAGTGGGAGTGCAATGGGAGCGGAGAAGCCGTGCAATTGGGGCACAGGTCAGCCCGATTCGGATTGCTGCTGTACGCACGTTGAACTTCTTTCGCACCGTACGTAGCCAACCGTGCTAATCGGAGGTGCGATGGGTCCCAATGCTGCTGCGCTGGACATTTAGCGGGTGTCATCGCGCAGGTGGCGCTGGCTGATGGCGTTTGTGATCCAAGCGTTACCTCCTCGTGTGGCAAGTCAATAGGGTTTTCTTTGACTCGTGATTGAAAACAAAATAGGCCTATCTCACGGTCAGCCAGCGCCATTGCATCAAGAATCGTATGCGAATGGCTCGCCATTGTCCTGTTGGCCGAGCTGACAAGAACGCTGATTGGGCCGAGATTGAAGTTGGTTCGACCGTCTCGTCCCGACGCATGACCGCGGTGACCCAGTGTGGTGTGATTGCATCTGTGATCAAAGTGGGCCCTCAGTGCAGCATCACGCCATTGTGCATTTTGACAACGAAAGTCGGACTTTCCTCCACGCATTCAACTTCGCATGATGAGGAAGAAATACAAAATATTTCAGTGTAAATTAATAGTTTACATATTAGTTTTACTTTTTATTGCGGTAATTGTTTCTTTTTTTGGGGAAATTCTCGCAACTCTGAGAACGTTGGATATATTTTTTTCTGTATTTTGTGTGTGAAAATGATATTTACCAAAAATTACATCCCAATTGTGATGTTTTTGGATGGATTGTTATTATTCCAATGTAAGTGATCGTACACTATTACCAAGCAGTGCCATGAGAGTACAAATCGTTTACCGCAGGGTACAACGGTGAAGTGTCACGTACACTTTTTTCAATCGCTCATTAAAACGTTGTCTAAAGTTCTCTCTTTTAGAAATCAACTGTTCATTAAATGTTTCTTCGAGGGAGAGGAGACGGGGGGAAAAAACGCTATTCTGCGCTCACTTTGAACAAACGTTGATCGTGCGCGAACGACCCTTAAATTATACGCTTTGTTTTTTTTTTCCGGTAAAGTCACGTAGGTAAAAAAATAAATAAATGAAATAACAACTCAATTAAATCACGACGTTTCGGAGGCAACACAAGCTTCCGTCTTCAGGGGGTACCGTTGTGATTTTGGCTGTAACGGTTCCACCTGAAGACGGAAGCTTGTGTTGCCTCCGAAACGTCGTGATTTAATTTAGTTGTTTTAGTTCATTTATTCATTTTTTTACCTACGTGACTTTACCGAAAAAACCAAAGAGTATGAATCCGTGCAGTCACGAAAACTTCAGATCTAGAATGAAGGACCCTTAAATTGTTTTGGAATGATTTCCACGATGCTGGCTCGAGCGTTCTTGGTTCGCTTCGTATTCTTTGTAGTCGCTGCTCCATTTCTTTCGTGAGATCGGTCACAGAGTGACGAAGCGACCATCTCCCCCCGCGGTGCACCACCAGCATGAACGTGAGGCGGCCCCACGACACGGGGGCACGTAGAGAATTACAACTCGAGGGCTTATCGTGGTCTCATGATCCCTTAGCAAGGCTCTGGGATGATAATCGTTTTTTTACTCTTTTATCTGGCAACAAAACTGACACCTTTTTTACGAGGAGTCATGTTTGCATTGACCACAATACCTGCAGTCATAATGCAAACAAAAAACATAACTCTGATAATGTATGCACTGTCCTTGAAGTTGATTGGTCCACACCCGAGACAGATTTCCTTAGAGCCGAGTCTCACATGGGTTGGACCAGATGACGCCAAAAGGCGCACAACTCAAAGACAATGCACCATCAGAGTATGAGAGCTCGGGGTAAGCATTTACCCCATTGGTACCTCATTTGCCAGTAAAAAAAAATATGATAGTTGGTTTTTTACCCTTTTATCTGGCAACAAAACTGACACAAAAGGTGTCAGTTTTGTTGCCAGATAAAAAGGTAACACAAAAGGTGTCAGTTTTGTTGCCAGATAAAAGGGTAAAAACCCAATGATCATATTTACTGGCAAATGAGGTACCAATGGTGTAAAGGCTCTGGGAGTAAAGTAAAAAAAAAAGTTAATAAAACATATTTTTCGATCGAGTCAATACACGTCTACCTGTTTTCGTGCCACCGTGAACACGCCAATACCACCACGGAGGCGAGACGGACGTCGTTAATACGAGTCATGATTCGCTCCTGAACATATTTTCACTGAATAGAAATGAAAGTGTTGCGGTGTGCGACTCGTTCCGTGATGAACATTCCTTGGGCACCACCACGAATCCTAACCTCTTTGTGGCATCACATTAGCGTCTGTGTAAGCAGAAAAAAGGATAAGAAGAAAAACCCACGCCAGTAAATATATCAAAGCCTCTGAGCCTGGTGAAAATAAATCACTCCGCAAAGGTTAGGAACCTTGTGCATGACGCAACTCTGGTGGGGTTCTCCTTATGACATGAAGCTCCTGTTTCATATTTTTATTATGTTTTCTTACGCCATTTCATACCCTTTTTCATATCGGGTGTTATTTTTTTAAAACAAATCAGGTTCCAAATTACGACGCGCGCTGAGGTTTATTTTGCCTGCAGCGCGCAGCAGCTTTCCAATTGTCACGGAGCAATTCACGGGTGATTGAATTCATCAGCTTGAACGAAGGCCGTCACAGCACACGCAGGGGGTGGGTGGGCCAGCACCACGTCACCCGCACACGTCTGCCCAGTGGCGATGTCTGCACATCGCACCACGATACTCATTTGAGGCTGAGTCGACCTAGGAGAGGCCCAGGAGCGGTAAAGATAGTTATAATCGTCAGTGGGGTTGGCCATGAGCAGGAATCGAACTCGAGTGGCCGGAATTCGTAGCGCAGCGCGCTCACAGCTCCTCTTCCGCTCCGCATAACGTACAAAGACAAAGATCCCCCGCACAGCCTTAAAAGACTGCTGGAGCAAGTGCTGTTAGCGAGCACCCATCATGTACACACCCGCACGTACACGCGTACATACTCTGTGACTCCATCTCGCACAATATGCAATCTCCGCGGCTTAGTTTCGTGAATACATTTCCAGACCCGGCACAACACACCCAGTAAACCTCTCGCCGTGGGCTGCGGGTCACGTGCCAGCTACTCCACTCTGAACACGTCTGCATGGCCTCTCACGCGGTTTACAAAAAAAAGAAAAGGAACATCACTCGAAAAACACCCCCCCCCACCCTCCCCCTCCGTAGGTCTCATCGCAAACAATGTCGGCGTTCATTCCGCGCGCGTCGCTCTGTTCTTTGCTGCGAAGGAATAAGAGAGGGCCCCTCGCTCTACTTCTCCGCGCGGAATCCCGGAGCAGCACTCAACATGCCTGTGAAGTGCTCGCATCGTCGCCTTCGCAGGCGTGCGGGCGAGCCACAGATCACGGGCGGGGAGGGGGGGGTGCAGAGAGAGAGATGGGGGGGGGGGGTGCAGAGAGAGAGATGGGGTGGGGGCTCACTCACTTCAAGGGGCTGCAGCAGTGCAGCGCTTTCAGGTAGGGCTTCCAAGTGGCCACGGAGAGGGAGTGCTCGTCGGCCGCATAGAAGCGCCACATGCACTGCAGGAGGGGTCCGGGCCAAGGGGTGAGGGAGACAAACAGGGGAGGTGAACACGGTGGCGACATGTGCGCGTGCGTGCGCGTGTGCATGTGTGTGTGTGCATGCGTGTGTGCACGTGTGTGTGGAGGGTGGCGTTTGTGCACAGACTTGCCCTACATGACATCATAACAACAGTCTGGACCATTGGACGGGTTCCGCAGGATTGGAAGGATGCTCTGGTGGTCCACCTCTTTAAGAAGGGGGACCGCACAGACTGTAACAACTACAGGGGCATCCGACCCCTGAGTGTTCCGGGAAAGGTCCTGGCAAGGATTATTCAACATCGCCTTGCTAGGCATGCTGAGGAGAGGCTTGCGGAGCCCCAATGCGGTTTCAGGAAAGGGCGGTCCTGCACAGATGGCATATTCTCTGTCCGTCTGCAACAGCAGAGGTGTAGGGAATTCCAACAAGACCTACATCTCTGCTTTATTGACCTGGCCTATGATACCATCAGTAGGCCTGGGCTCTGGGTTGTTCTTCGTGCTTTCGAAGTCCCTGACTCTCTGCTCACGATCATTAAGGACTTTCATGATGGTGAGCGGGCCCGGGTAAAACTATGTAGCCAGAAGTCGGATCCATTCCCTGTACACCTTGGGGTGCGACAGGGATGTCCCCTGGCTCCCACATTATTTAACATCTATTTCGACCACGTAGTTCGTGAAACCTTCAATAGCTGTACCGGAGGAATTTCCATCTGGTACAGATACAATGGGAGGCTGATCGATGCCCGGGTGCGGGCAAGGGTTGGCTCCCTATTGCTCAACCACGTTATGTATGGCGATGATCTGGTAATTCCTGCTCACTCAGAGGAGGAGTTGGAGGCGCTGCTGCTGAACCTGTTGCTTGCCACTAAGAGGTGTGGCCTTACCATCAGCCCCACCAAAACTAAGCACCTGCCTGGGTATTTTGTACCATCGGACACTCCAGGCCCACAACTCCCAATTGGTGATAGTGCAGTTGTGGAGAGAGTGGAGAGTTTTCCATACCTGGGCAGTGTGCTCATGACCGGCTCTAGTTTAACAGCAGAGGTCTCACTCCGAATCAGTCGAGCGGCATTATCTTTTCATCGGTTGCATAACACTGTGTGGAAGCTACCTAGTCTGTCGCTCCGCACGAAGCTTCAGGTCTTCTCGGCCACAATCATTCCTTCCCTTCTCTATGCTTGCGAAACGTGGACCCCCCAAATGAACATTTTTGCCGATTAGAAACATTTAGGCTTGCCTGCCTATGATCCATCCTGGGTTTAACCAGAATGGATTGTGTGAGGAGCTCACAAATCCTTGAAAGATCTGGACAAAGTCCCATCGGTGAGCTCCTCCGGCAGGCAAGGCTGCGTTGGCTGGGTCATGTAGCCCGCATGCCCAGCCACCGCATGCCTAAACAGGTTTTGTTTGGCCGGATTGAGGGGGCTAAACGGGCGAGGCACGGGAGAGAGAAGAGATGGAGTGATGTGGTACAGGAGGATGTAGAGATGAGTGGACTTGCCGATGACTGGTACCAGCGGTGTCATGATCGGCCTCTGTAGAGGAGGCTCGTGAAGGACACTACTGGGCAGTTGGAGGCAGTCGCCCTCCAACAACAACGGAGGGCGGAGGAGCGACGCTCACAACAACGAACGGAGCGCCGGGTGGCTAAAGCACAGCAAGTTGGCACAGTAGGGGGCACAGGTGGTGCATCAGCCAGTCGTCTCAGGCAGTCGACCTGTGGCCTTGGGTCAGCCCCGTGACCTCCTGCCAGCGGGCGTTCGACACTTCACGTTGCCTCAAGGTGCACATAGCCTGGCACAAGCGTCGTGGTGACGTCACCGCCACTTAGTGGCGAATGGCGGTTGTTGTTGTTGTGTGCGTGTTTGTAGTGGGGAGCGGTAGTGTAGCGGTTAGCGTGCTGCCCCAACAGCACTTGCCCCAACAGTCTGTTGAGCCTACTCGGGGGATCTTTGTTGTTGTTTTTTTGGTTTGAGATGCGGCGCCTCGTAAAAAATTCATCGCGTTCCGAGCGCTGGGAGCGAGCGCCGTGCGAGGCAAGTGAGCGCGGGGTGATTACACTGGTCAACAACAACAAAAACATTTTTTTCTGGCCTGGACTTTTGCAGCTGTTTTAGACTAATTTCAGGGTGCTGATTCCAAATCTGATCTAAGATTTGCTCTATCACATCTCATTTTTATGCTATCGGCATACCCCATTTTCATTGATTTTACCCGAAATTAACTCTTGTCACTTATGATTGCAAGTTGTTGCGAGTTAGTGACTGCTTTAGTGTTAAAATATGGTGCTGTATTTTTAGGATAGTGTGTTTATAATATCATTTAATTTAGATATCCACATTTATTTAATATTTTTCTTCTGCAGTTTTTATTGAAAATGCATTATTTGATATCTCAAAAACCTGATGTGATAGACAAAAACTGATGCCAGATTTGGAATCAGCTCCCCCAAATTATCTTAAAACCGTTGGAATTCCTTATGCCAGAAAAAGTGTGTTGACCAGTGTTGTCGAACTCTGCGCGGCACGATCACTCCGTCGTTCAACGACGCGACGGCGCTATCGGCATTCATCAGCGCCATCGCACGGGAGAGCCAAACAACCCCATAATGAGCAGTGAGAATGATTTGACATGTAGGCTTTGAGAACATTTGTTTATTATTCATAATTCCTTGCTTTTAGGGTTTGTATCGCCATATTGGTATGATGTAATTTTTTTTTATATAACCATCCACAGCACCTGAAAGAGTCAATAAAATCCAGTTGCAACGTGGTTTGCAAATATGCCGATTCGATGAGTTTTTTTGAGCAAAAAAAGTGAGTGTTGAAAAGTCAGAAAAATGTTGACAACTGGTGGTGTATTTGTCCACGTCTGGTGGTGGAACGAGAAATAATATCGTCTCGTGTGGCCGCTGCGGGTATTTTGAAATGTTGATGATGACAGACAAGGGAGGGCCCATCCGTGTTGAGCATGATGCCACGGGGCATTTGAACATCCGTCGTGCAACGGACAGAATTCCATTTCTGTTAATGACTCTACCCTACTACAACTGCTGTCAGGTGGCCGTCGGAGTCTGGGTAGCCGTTGCCACGGTGGCTAAGAGATAACTACTTCGCCTGGTATGCAGGAGGTCGTGGGTTCGATCCCGACCCTGATGCCTGCTGTATTTACTGGAGTTTGCATCTCTCTCTCGCTCCGTGGCCGCGTGGATTTTTCTCTAAGTCCCCCGGGTTATTCTCTCCACATTTATAATCAATGTGCGTTTAGAGTATATTTGGCTGCTACACATTTCCGCGTAATAAGCCACTTCGTTGAGCTATCATTTGTGGCCAGGTCGCTTCAGAAAATGCGTTACATAGCTCAGTGGGTCTTACCTGGCAAAATACAAATATTTTAGTTTAATAAATAGTTTGCAAACTGGCTCGGCGAGGCATCAGGCTATTCACGCTCCAGTGTGCGCTGCCCTGCAGTTTCTGCTCAGTGTGTGTGCTGCACATATTGCTTGTGGTATGTGTGTGCATGCTGTGTCGTGGTGAGTATGCGATGTGTGATGTGGTGTGCTGTGTTGTGCTGTGTGTACAATGTGTGTTGTGCTGTGTGTACAATGTGTGTTGTGCTGTGTGTACAATGTGTGTTGTGCTGCGTGTACAATGTGTGTTGTGCTGTGTGTACAATGTGTGCCGCGTGTTGTGCTGCTCTGTACCTGGATGAGGCTGGCCGCCGGGTTACGCCGCTTCTCAAAGTGCTTCTGCCGGTGCTGTTCCTGCACCTTGAGGGCAAATCCTGAGCCCAGAATGCCCTGGGGGGGGGGCACCAAATACACACACACACAAACATCATCAGCAGTCGCGGTCAATCCACTGCCGGATGAAGGCTTTCCCAAGCTGCCGCCATCTCTCGCGATCCTGCAATGTCACATTTCACCCGGCACACGGGCCGATATCACCGCTCCGTCTCTCCGTCGGACGTGTTTTCGGATGCGTTGCTTTTCCTTGGCTGCCACTCCATCATTACTCTTGACCCGCTGGCCATCGCCCCCTTCTAGCGGCGTGCCACACACATTTACATGTCGACAAAGGTTCTTCCCCTGTCGCCTGAGCAGACCGTCGGGGCAAGTGCTGTTTGCGAGCACCTTGCAAAGGCTGGCAATACACACGGGGGGGGGGGGGGGGGTGACCAACAGCACGTGCAGCCGCCCTCGTCTCACCGGTGGCGATGTTTACACACCGCACCGAGTACTAATTTGAGGCTGAGTCGACCTAGAGGAGGACCAGGACCGGTTCAGATAATCGTCACTGTGGTGTTGGCCGTGGGCGTGAATCGAACCCGGGTCGCTGGGTTCGTAGGGCAGTGCGCTCACCGCAGCACTACCACTCCCCACCCTGCATGCATACGCATGCTCACACATGCTCATCACACGCTCACGCATGCTCATCACACGCTCACAGAAACACAAGTAAACAACAAAATAGCTGGTTTTCGCCACCAAGTGGCAGTGACGTCACCGCGGCGCTTGTGCAAGGCCAGGTGCAATTTGCGGCAGCGTAAGTGTCGAAGGCTCGTTGACAGTAGGTCACTGGACAAACCCAGGTGTCTTGGGTTGAATGACTGAGATGACTGGCTGAGGCACCACCTGTTCTCCCGACTGTGCCAATTTGATGAGTTGTGAGCATCCCTTTTTGTTGTGAGCATCGCTCCTTTGCCCTCTGTTGTTTTTAAAGAGTGACTGCTTTCAAACGGCCATTAACAACCTTCACGAGCCTCCTCCACATAGGTCAATCATGACACTGCTGGTACCAGTCATCAGAAAATCCACTCAACTCCACATCCTCCTATTGCACATTATCTAATCTCGTATCTAGCCCATACCGTGCCTGATTAGCCCTCTCTAACCGATCAAACAGGAGCTGCTTGTGCATGCGGTGGCTGGGCATGCAGGCTATATGACCCAGCCAACACAGCCTCGAGATCCTTTAATGGATTACTTCGCTTCCTCACACAAATCCAACCTGGTTAAGTCTAGGATGGATCGTAGGGTCCAGGTTATGCAAATATAGAAAAGGGAAGCCATAAATGTGGCTGAGAAGACACGGAGCTTCGAATGGAGCTATAGGCCAGGTAGCTTCCACATAGCGTTATGCAGCCGATGAAAATATAATAATGCCACTCGACTGATTCAGAGTTGAGACCTCTGCTGCCAAACCAGAATGAGTTAAAAGCATACCACCCAGGTATCGGAACTCCTACACTCTCTCTACAACCGCCCCATCACGCATGGGGAGTTGAGGGGGAGGAGTGTTTGATGATACAAATTACTAGGACAGGTGCTTTATTTTTTGTGTGGCACATCCTAAGCTCAGAAAGTCTCCAACTCATTCTTAGAGTGAGCAATAATTACCAGATCATGACTGCAACTGGGAATAGACTAGCCCCCCATTGTATCTGTCCCAGATGAAAATTCCTCTGGCATAGCCATGAAAATCGTATTGCACTACAAAGTAAAGCATATGTTCAATAATGTAGGAACCAGAGGACATCCCTGTCGCACCCCAGGGTGAACCGGGAATGGCTCGAACTCCTGGCCAACCGGCTCTACCACCACCTGCTCACCATCATAAAGGTCCTTCAAGACTGTGAGTAGAGGCTCAGGGACTATGACAGCACGAAGGATAGTCCACATCCCTGGCCTATTGATGATAGTATAGGCCTTGACCAAGCCAATAAAAACATGGTGTCTGTGCAGGACTGACCCGTTCTGAAACCATATTGGGGCTTGCCTGGCAAGGGGGCGATGTTGAATAATCCTTGCCAGGACTTTTAGTGGCCTGACAATAAGGAGGGAGATACCTTGGTAGGGCAGCCTGCGCAAAGTCACCACCAGCAGTTCGCTTGGGAGATCATGTCTGCCCAGTACTCTTTCCTGGTCTAAGACTCTGCATCGCTTTTCATACTTCCTCAACAGACGGCCCATCAGGCAGCCACTCACAGGGAGTGGCTACTTCCTCCAATATTTGAGGTACTCAATTGCCACTGAGTTGTCCTATGGGGAGGCCCAGGACCGGTTCAGATAATTAATCGTCACTGGTGTTGGCCATGAGCGGGAATTTAACTCGGGTCACCGGGTTCGTAGCGCAGCGTGCTTGCTGCTACGCTACCAAGATATACAAGTACACACATGCACATGCTTGCTTGCGTAATTACGTGCATATCCACCCATGCACACGTGTATCAACACACAGATATACACCCACACACACACAAACGGTGACATATCAGCAGGCAAATCCTCCAAAAGGACACACCTGTATGAATCTCAGAGAAATGAATACTCACAAAGGATCACTGTCCTTGCGGGTTTTCTTTATTTAATTCCTACACTTGACAGCTTAACATTGAACTCACCGCGACTCATATGGTGGACATGTCCATGAGACATACACGCACGTGTACATCTCATGGATATCTCGCACACACACGCACTCCCACTGCACACGCACACACACATTCCCACAGCACACACACACACGCACTCACACTGCATACGTACACACACACGCACTCCCACTGCATACGCACACACACACGCACTCCCACTGCATATGCACACACACACGCACTCACACTGCATACGCACCCACACACGCACTCCCACTGCATATGCACACACACGGACTCACACTGCATACGCACACACACACGCACTCCCACTGCATACGCACATACACACACTCACACTGCATGCGCACACACACGCACTCCCACTGCACACGAACACACACACGCACTCACACTGCATACGCACACACACGCACACCCACTGCATATACACACACACGCACTCCCACTGCACACGCACACACGTACTCCCACTGCATATACACACACACACGGACTCCCACTGCATATGCACACACACACGCACTCCCACTGCACACGCACACACACACGCACTCCCACTGCATACGCACGCCACACACACACACATTCCCACTACATACGCACACACACACACACATTCCCACTACATACGCACACACACATGCACACCCACTGCACACGCACACACACGCACTCCCACTCCACACAGGTGGGAGCGGTGGCGCAGCGGTTAGCGCTACGCTGCGCTACAAACTCGAATTTGATCGCCGCTCACGATCAATCACATTGGAGAATATTTGAACCGGTCCTGGGCCTCACCAAGGTCGACTCAGCCTCAAATGAGTACCTGGGACGGTGTGTAAATATCGGCACTCGGGAGACAAAGGCGGCCGGGCGTGGTGGTGGCCACCCATCCCGTGGCTCGCTAACAGCACTTGCCCTTAAAGTCTGATAACGCTCTACGGGGGGACTTTGTCTAAGTCTTTGACACTGCACACAGACCAATCCACATTCTTCTACGAATGAAAACAAAAGAACAAGCAAATGCTCGAAGTTTAATTTACGTGTTTCGTGTTTAACGATTGTGTCACCCCGACCTGGTAGTAAATAAAAGGCACAAATACAGAATGGGTCTTCACGCGTGGATTAATGCAAGCACAGTTTAGTGCCTCTCGCAATTTACACTATTGTAGCCTTTTTTTTAATTGTGTAATAAATCATTCCTGATCCGGTAATTGTGCATGTGTACGCGTATACATGCAAATTTGCTTCGTACTTTGTATTGCGTGGGGCTTGGTGCCGAGCTCATGGGGAGGACAAGTGCCTCTCTCAAGCGCAGTAGAGACCAAATATCCGCGGAGAGATACAAACCGCAAGCGAGTTTGTAAATACGTACGTTGAACTTCTTTCACACCGTACGTAGCCTACCGTGCTGATCGGAGGTGCGGGGGAAGGACAGCAAACTAAACATAAAAAACGCTTCTAAAGAAATTCGTTTTCAGTTTAGATTTAAAAGTGCACTAGCTGTACTACCCGCCTTCGCCCGGGACTTGTATCCACCACGCCCGGCCGCCTTTGTCTCCCCAGTGGCGATGTTAATACGCCACACCAGTTACTCGTTTTGAGGCTGAGTCCATCCCTCACCGCTCTCCCTCCCTCACCGCTCTCCCTCCCTCACCGCTCTCCCCCCCTCACCGCTCTCCCCCCCTCACCGCTCTCCCTCCCTCACCGCTCTCCCTCCCTCACCGCTCTCCCTCCCTCACCGCTCTCCCTCCCTCACCGCTCTCCCTCACCGCTCTCCCCCCCTCACCGCTCTCCCTCCCTCACCGCTGAACGTGACACTTTTTTACTGAATGGCCATGTTGGGTGGTGGATAAGGGTGACAACACATTAATAACCAAGGCGATCTAAACCCATTAACGTTGTTTATGAATAATGTTAGCGAAAGCGTACGTGTTACAAATTGACTAACTTAACTCAATAACCAGGCTACAGTCTACATGATAGACTGGCAGTACACCCACCCAGCTGAATAAGCAGGCTACAGTCTACATTATAGACGGCCAGTACGCTCAACCAGCTTAATGACTATTTGTACAAAGAACATTGAAAGAATCGATTATAATAACCAGTCTACAGTCTACATTATAGACTGCCAGTACACCCACTCAGCTTCATAAGCAGGCTAGAGTCTACATGATAGAGTGGCAGTACGCTCACCGAGCTTAATAAGCAGGCTACAGTCTACATTATAGACTGGCAGTACGCTCACCCAGCTTAATGACTATTTGTACAGTCAACATTTAAAGAATAGATTGTTGGCGCGTTGGGTTTAAAAGTAATATTAATTGCACACATTGTGGTGGGGGGGGAGTGAAGAGTACGTGAAGCTTTGATGAATTTACCTCAGAGTCGCGTGGTGGGTGTCGAGGCCTAGTAGCGTGCAGAGCCTCCGGCCTCGCCAAAATTGCCCACCCGGCAGAGGCAGGGTACGGGTGCCGTTCCCCCCCCCCCCCCCCAGCGCTACAATAATACTGTCTAATCGCTATTATTTTATTATCTACGGAGCCTATAATAGTAATTGAACACATTGGGGTGGGAGGGGAGTGAAGAAGACGTGAAAGTGTGATGAATTTACGTCAGAGTCGCGTGTTAATGCGTGCGCCTATTTTTAAGGGGAATTAAAAATGGCGTCCACCCCGCGCCGAAGGCGTCGCTAGCCGTTGGCAGGGGCAACCGCCGTCCAATGAAAGCGACGAAGGCGTCGCTACCCGTTGCCAGGGGCAACCGCCGTCCAATGAAAGTGCGTATGGTCCGGCGACACACAGACAGACAGATTCACGATTTTATATATATAGATAGCTCCAGTGGCTTCTTAATATCGGACGGGAGAGCGTTCCAGACGGCCCCAGCAGAAGCGCATTTGAAAGCGCGCAATGCGGTGACCCTCTTTGTTCGATGGCTGTCAAAAGCTGCTGCGACGATGACCGGAGTTGACTTGATGGTTTATGCTCCTTGATGAGACCAGCAAGGTATTGTTCACACGATTTACACGTTTTCCCTGCCACGACAACCACCTACCCGTTAACCAAGACCTCAACAATGCAGCTCACTGCCGATTCAAGCCCCAATGCCCCTTCTGGGATCTCATCCAGATCTGGAAGAACGCTGCTAGTGGACAGAGTACAAAACAACGCGGACGTCCAGAATGAACAGCTCCTCGTTCGAGACCCAAACATTGCACATCCTGTCTCTGAGCCTGCTAGCTCCTGCTCCCAGCTCAGTGGGCCTTACCTGGAGGAGGGACAGCAAAACTACACAAACTCTAGCTCCCGAAGCCCTCTCGTTGGATTTAGCAGACCTCGACATTGGCATCTGGCTGCTGAACACACGGCCGATGCCACCACGCGCAGGAACGAAACAGAAGGGACGGTGGCATGGCCTCAGGGGAAGCGCGCTCTCCGCTTGTTGCGGAGGTTCGCGTCCAGCGGCGTCCCTGGTTAATGCTGCAGACGTATTAGCCTTAAATACTTATACGCGCCGTCAGCTTCCAAGGAGTTACGTACACGTGACAGGTCCCGTGATGTCATCCTCAAGATTACGCCATTGGTGTGTCGGCGTCGTGGTCCAATTTGAAATATTGAAATGCAAAAGACTCAAATGGCTATCATCGCCCCCGACTGCAAAAAGCTTGGCGGTACCCTCATGAAAGAGAGTCGTGAGACTCAGCGAGGATTTGCTGCATGAATAAAATAATAAATTAAATAATTTATATGGTAATAAATGAAATAATACAGATCATCCTCCCCTTTGCCATGTGTGTGGCATATTGAGGTGCGGTTAGAGCTAGACGCTTTTAAAAAAAAAAAATTCAGATCGATTATCGCGCTTGGCTACGCACGGTGCGAAAGAAGTTCAGCATAGACTTTTACACACGTGTGTGTGTGTAAATGTTGTTACAGAAGAATGGAGAGAGAGGGCGAGCCGGCTTGATGACACGAAGAGTGAAGATTTGCCCAGAGAGAATAACAACGAGCAGCAGTAATGACCGAGAGGTCGGGTGAGAAGGAAAGCGGAGGGTGTGTTGAACAACATCCTAAGAGGGTCACAGCTGTACCAACGGTGAAGTTCACTCTGCGAGAGAACGTGGCAGAGGGGAAGAGGATGGCAATGGGTCGGTTGGTTGGACTATTAAATTGAAAACATAAAAAAAAATTCCCAGGTAAGGCCCACTGAGCTATACGACTCTTTTTCAATAGCGAACTGGCCACAAATGATAGCTCAACGAAGTGGCTTATCATGTGGAAATGTACATCAGCCAAACACTCTAAACGCAGGTTTCTAAATGTGGAGGGAAAAACCGGAGGACCCGGAGAAAAATACACGCGATCACGGGGAAAGAGACACGCAAACTCAAAATATTCAGGCATCTTCAGGGTCGGGATCAAACCCACAACTTCCTGCCTACCATGCGAGGGAGTTCACATCTCGCCCACCGTGGCGCACAGCGCGAGCAGTTGGACCGGGCCCCCCACAAGAGACGCGAGAGATGGCAAACGTCTGTCATGAACGTCGTCCCTGAGTTACAGTATGAGGATGATGCACGATAGATGTGGCAATGTGTACCTGAGTTCGATTCCCGCTCACAGCCACCACTACTGAGATCATCTGAACGGGTCCAGGGCCTCCCCTAGGTCGACTTAGCCTCAAATAAGTACCTGGTGCGGTGTTTAAACATCGCCACTGGGCAGACACATGCGGCCGGGCGTGGTGCTGACCACCCACCCCCCTTCGTGTGCCGTGCCGGCCTTCATAGGTGCTGCTCGCTAACAGCACTTGTGGCTCTACGGGGGGATCTTTGTCTCTGTGTCCCGAGCAAGCGAGCGTGAACCAGTCTGCGACCACTCACGGCAGGGAGGGCGAAGAACGAGATCCCGAGCAGCGCGAAGCCGGCAGCCAGCATCCGTCCCAGCCACGTTTTTGGGGTCTTGTCTCCGTAGCCGATCGTCGTCAGGGTGATCTGCAATAACCATCGTGATGTGCACGCGGCGAGGGGAACGGGTGTTACACCAAGACGCACCGAGGGCCACGGAGGCTGCGAGCTGAACGACGCATGAGACTTTGCCGTTACAGTGAAGGAGGAGGAGGCTGATCATTGCACATTCGGGTTTGGTGAATTCACGCGTTCACAAGCGCTCTTCGTTATATTGGTGGGTGATTTTGGGTACTCTATGCGTTGGGGAAAAAAGCATGGTCACTCGGGCAGATACGATATACTGGACAACACAGTCACATCTTAATTTTGGAGCTTTCGTGACTGCAGGAAGTATTCTTTGGTTTTTTCGGTAAAGTCACGTATAAAAATAAAATAATAAATAAAATAATAGCATACGACGTTTCGATTGCAACACAAGCAATCATCATCAGGTATAATGAAATAGCGACATAGAATATAACCAGAAAACTATAGACAGACATATAAGCAGACAGATATCACCAAGATACATAGAGAGAGCAACCCAGGTACAGAGAGAGGTGATCGTCTCTGTGGGGTGGCCTTAAATAGACAGAGGGGGGCGGAGGCAGAGAGAGGGAGGGGGTAGGGAAAACATTTACATGTCAATGAGTACGAAGGGAGGGGAGTAAGGTAAGCAGGCTTAGAGGGAGACAGAACACACTAAATTAAATAACCTAGCAAAGTATCGAAATGTTATGTAAAACGACACAGAGAGTGAAATACGTAATCGACCAGGCAATGCGTTAATTGTGTGTTGACCGACTCTCTGTGTCGTTTTACATAACATTTCGATACTTTGCTAGGTTATTTAATTTAGTGTGTTCTGTCTCCCTCTAAGCCTGCTTACCTTACTCCCCTCCCTTCGTACTCATTGACATGTAAATGTTTTCCCTACCCCCTCCCTCTCTCTGCCTCCGCCCCCCTCTGTCTATTTAAGGCCACCCCACAGAGACGATCACCTCTCTCTGTACCTGGGTTGCTCTCTCTATGTATCTTGGTGATATCTGTCTGCTTATATGTCTGTCTATAGTTTTCTGGTTATATTCTATGTCGCTATTTCATTATACCTGATGATGATTGCTTGTGTTGCAATCAAAACGTCGTATGCTATTATTTAATTTATTATTTTATTTTTATACGTGACTTTACCGAAAAAACCAAAGAATACAGTCACATCTCTTTCACCATATAGATTGTTGGGGCGAAGCTGTGAGTGAGCACAGGGCACGAGGTGGTGTGAGCAGTACGACACACGTGTCGAATCAATTACTGAAGTGGCTGAGCGAATCAGGGATCAGCAGAGCCCAAAGCTGACACCACTGAGATCCCGTGTTCTGCATTTCCATGCCACTCATTCGGGATTTCAACAGCAGCGAGTCGATGGGCTCAGCTTGAGTCACCGATGACTGCGCCATCCGCGAGCACGAGAAGCCCCCACCCCTGTAGGCCAGGGATGGTGGTGGCGGTGGTGACGTCACGTGCGGAGCGCCGTACCGTGCCCCACCACAGCGCGTCGGCATAGGTGGCGAACTGGTCTTTGTTGTCGTCCTTCTCGGCCAGGTAGACCAGGAAGGAGGAGAAGACGAGCGCCAGGAAGCCGATGTACCAGGCAGTGATGAGCTCCTGTGGGAAAACAATACACAGACACACAGTCCACGGCGAAACATTGAAATCCATAACCTTGTTATCTGCTCTTCCAATGATCTGCAGCCTCGTATATATATACTAGCTGTACTACCCGGCTTCGCCCGGGACTTGGATCCACCACGCCCGGCCGCCTTTGTCTCCCAAGTGCCGATGTTAATACGCCACACCAGTTACTCGTTTGAGGCTGAGTCGACCTAGGGGAGGTTCAAATAATCGTCACCGGTGGTGGCCGTGAGCGGGAATCGAACTCGGTTCGCCGGGTTGGTAGCGCAGCGTAGCGTTAAGCACTACACCCACCGCTCCTCACACACCACACACGCACAGACACACACACAGACACACGCAGACACACACAGACAGACACAGACAGACACACACACACACAGACACACAGACAGCACGCTAAGCACTACACTACCGCTCCCCACACACCACACACGCACACACACAGACACACACACAGACACACACACAGACACAGACAGCACGCTAAGCACTACACTACCGTTCCCCCTACACAACACACGCGCGCGCGTCCATAGGTACACATACACGCGCTTGCTGCAGACACACACGACTTTCAGGGTGCGTAAGGCAGTAAACGACTGAAATAATAAAGCGGCAATGCTGTGCGAGGAACGCCTTAGACCAGCAACACATTTGTGTAATGCGAGCGTAAACACACAAACACATACAAACACATACACACACATACATACACACACATACACACAAACACATACACACACATACACACACATACAAACACACAGACATACACATACACACAAACACACACATACATGCACACAAACACATACACAATACACACATACATGCAGACACACAGACAGACACGTAACACACATACATACACACACATACATACACAGAAACACATACACACACATACATAGACACACACATACATACACACAAACACATGCACACACGTACATACACACATACATAGAGACACGCAGACATACACATAAAGACATAAAAAAAAACCCACATACATACACACACACATACACACAAACACATACATACACATACATACACACATACATAGAGACACACAGACATACACATAAACACACATACACATGACCCGGCTTCGCCCGGGACTTGGATCCACGATGCCCCGCCGCCTTTGTCTCCCCAGTGACGATGTTCACACACGACAGCAGTTACGCTTTTGAGGCTGAGTGGACCTAGGGGAGGGCCAGGTCCGTTTCAAATAATCGTCAGCGGTGGTGGGCGTGAGTTGGAATCGAACTGGGGTCGCTCAAGCAGCTTAATGACTGTTTGTACAAAGAACATATAAAGAATCGATTATAATAACCAGGCAAGAGTCCACATTATAGACTGCCAGTACACGCACTCAGCTTCATAAGCAGGCTAGAGTGTACATGATAGAGTGGCAGTACGCTCACCGAGCTTAATAAGCAGGCTACAGTGTACATGATAGACTGGCAGTACGCTGACCCAGCTTAATGAGTATTTGTACAGTGAACATTAAAGTAATCGATTGTTGGCGCGTTGGGTTTAAAAGTAATATTAATAGCACACATTGTGGTGGGGGTGTAGTGAAGAGTAGGAAAAACTTTGATGAATTTACCTCAGAGTGGCGTGGTGGGTGTCGAGGCCTAGTAGCGTGCAAAGCCTGCGGCCTCGCCTAAAATTGTCGGCTTGGAAAAGGCAGGGTACGGGTGGCGTTCCTTCCCCCCCCCTAGCGCTCCAACAATACTGTGTAATGGCTATTATTTAATTAAATACGGAGCTTATGAAAGTGGCGAAGGCGTGGCTAGCCGTTGGCAGGGGCAACCGCCGTCCAATGAAACTGCAGCCCTTGGCGAAGGCGTGGCTAGCCGTTGCCAGGTCCAATGAAAGCGGCGAAGGCGTGGCTAGCCGTTGCCAGGGGCAACCGCCGTCCAATGAAAGTGCGTATGGGCCAAAGTCCACACACACACACACAGACAGACAGACATGAACGATTTTATATATATAGATACGCACATGCAGAGCTGGGACAATTAATAAAATCAAGTTGTTTAAATTAATGAAAATTCTAATCACCACTCTTTGTGTGGTCAATTGCTTGGGTCCTATTACAAATGGTAGCCACTCCTGCATCGTGATTCCCGAAGGCGCGACAACCCCCCACGAGCCACACCTGCCGCGACGCACATTATGACACCGACCAAGCCCCGCCCAAGAACCTCCCGTCCAGCGGCACACGTGGGAACAGAGCTCACATATTCCTTTACAATTACAATATTCGCCATTGGAACCTCCTTTGCCAGTATCAAAATATGATAATAGTTTTTTTTTACCCTTTTATCTGGCAACAAAACTGACACTATTTTTTACAGTGCATACATGGACAGTGCATACATGATCAGAGTTGTGTTTTTTGCTTGCATTCCGACCGCAGGTATTGTGGTCAATGCAAACATGACTCCTTGTAAAAAAAGGTGTCAGTTTTGTTGCCAGATAAAAGGGTAAAAAAAAAACAATTAACTACAATATTCTCGTGTGATCCGAGCACTCGAGCAATGGAACCGATAATCGGTAGAGGCATCGATTATCTAGACAACCGGATTACAGCCCAGATCTGCAAAACGTGCGCGTGTACACAGGTACGCGTGCACGGGGCTACTCCCCGCACAAGGGGCACAGAACATCACGACGGGGACAGCCACCGGAGCGAGCATCTCCCTCGACCGCCCCTGAAGCCGCGTTGCATCTCTCCGTCACAATGCACCGTGCGCATTGCTCGGCGCAAGTCGTCGGCACGTGCGTGGCGCGGTGACAGCTGTTAGCGACGATCTGCCGAGCAGCATTCGGCCATCCTTGGAGATGGCAGCAAGCGTGGCGCCCGCTACCTGCCTGTGCGACGCGACGCGGTGAAGATGCCTTTGAATGTCTCCGCAGGGGGAGAGGCGACGCTAATTTAAGGCAGTTTCTCACCGCACCTGCCCTTATTTTAAGAAACTTATAAACACGGGGCTCATTGCTATTCATGAGGCAGGTCATATATATATGTATGAGTGTGTGTGTGTGTGCGTGCGTATAAATTATATTATTTCCGAGGTGTAATGTAGCATTGGATAATTTAGTCATTCCAAATAATAGCTTTTGGCTTTGAGCTACAGAGTTATGGATCAGCTTAAATCATCTCGGGTGTGATACTTTCATAATGAAAAAGCTAAAATTACCCACGCGATAAATGGAATGACTTTTGAAAATTTGTGCGACCAGCATATTCTCGTTGCCACAAGTTCTGCCAGTGAGGGACAATGATCGCTTCTGTTTACAGTCCCAATTGAGTAATTTGTGACGACTCACAAAGCCCCCGTGTGCGATGCAATCGTTGCCATCCAGGATCACGGCATAATTCAGGGATTTACAACGATAATTAGCCAAGAATGTCTGTGTGTCCCGCGCGTGACGTCACTCCACATCGGCTAGCCCCCCTCATTAATAATCATGAGCGGGTGACGTCAGTCCACATGTCCCATTCCCCCCTCATCAATAATCATGAGCAGGTGACGTCACTCCACATCGAACAGCCCCCCTCATTAATAATCATTAACAGGTGGAATCTTCCAAATGGACACCCCCCTCCATTAATAATAATTAGCGGCTGACGTCACTCCACATGGGGGGGGCGAGGCGCCTCCTCCCCCCTCCGTAGCATCAACTACAACTCTCACTACAAAGGCAGAACCCTCACGTCACGCGATCTCCGTAGCGCTGTTGAGACATCAAAGTAAAAAGGACGTCATGATGAACAAGGGATTATAACCTTTAAATGCAATAGGTCTGTGTCACCGCGGCCTTACAAATTGCGCACGAATTGATGCAATGTATATCACGTCGCGGTCTGATTTTCGCCTGCACGTTTGAGATTTACTGCAATGCACCCGTCGTCCTTGGACGGGAACTGTTGTCAATCGAGTGGTCTCTAGTGGCTGGAGGGTGTCTCTTGCGAACCCGTTATACACAACACATACGCAAATCGAAAGCTGTAAGGTTCTTAAGCATGCGATTCGATGCGTATAACATGAGCTAGAATATTTAAGAAACTAAACGTTTTATTTCACCAGGTAAGGCCCACTGAGCGACGTAGCTATTTTTCAGAAGTGACATGTCCACAAATAATAGCCCAACAAAGTGGCTAATCGCGGGACAATTTACAAGCAGTCAAATACTCTAAAAGGTTTCTAATTGTGGAGGGAATAACCAGAGAAAAATCCACACGACCACAGGGATAAACATGCAAACTCCAAATATACAGGCGTGAGGGGCAGCATCGAAACCCACGACCTCCTGTATACCAGGCAAGGTAGTTAACATTTCGCCACCGTGGAAATTTATAGCAGCAAAATACTCTGAACGCATGTCCATTCTAAATGTGGAGAAAAAAACTGGAGGATCCGGAGGAAAATCCACGTCACGACGGGGAGATAGCCATGCAAACTCCAAATATACAGCCGTCAGGGTAGGGATCAAACCTACGGCCTCCTGTATACCAGGCGAGGTAGTTAACATCTCCTAGCCACCGCAGTGCCCATAAATGGTAAAGGTGCGGCCCTGCAATTGCAGGTTCTGCTTCAGGAGAGTGCTTTGGTCTACTCTTCCATGCTAACCAGACATCGTGGAAGGGCAGACTAATGAATATCAATAGATACGTCTGCATCATTGCACTGCTACTGATTATGATTATGACTGTAATGTTCATAAAGCCACGACAAGCAGTAGAGGACAATGTGACTTATCGAGCTTGCAACGAAAACTTAACTGACTGCGCCATTACTGCTTGAATAAAAACAACGAATGCCATGGGTTTGAAGGGTTTCAACTGACTCGGTGTTACATTGCACGGCAGCGTGTCAGATTGTCGACTGTGTACTGCTAAAACCACCATTTAAAGGTCTGACTTGGCAGGAGAGTGACAAGATCACCCA